ACTATCTGATTCACTACCACTTGGAGAATACGCATCAGATAAGTATACATCCCCACATAACTCAGTACTGCCACTCTCTTCATCCGATAGTATTTCATTACACAATTGTTCAAGCCTTTTTTGCTCCGCTTCGTAATGCGACATCACAAATTTGGTATTCAATAATTTATAAACAGTAAAGCAATTTGGACAAGATGACGTACAATACCAACAACGCTTCAATAATAAATGACACGAAACAGTGCTCAACGCGCGACATGATGCAAGTCTTGACTTGCAAAAAACGCGACGCGACTTATGTGCCACGCGACCCGACTGGTCTGTGGGCCACGCGACATACAATTAGTACCTCAGAAAAAAAATCAAAAAAGGGGAAAAATCATAGGATTTGAGAAAAAAGTCAAGTCAAAATATTAAACCGAAACTTAAAACAAGCTAATTTGACAATAATAACAGTTTGGCCCAGTGGACTGGATTTTCAGATTCTACTGTGGCGCTTAACGTGTCAATGTGACATTTCAATATTCGCCATCTAACAGACTAGATAAAGCTAGCCGATGCTACGTGCTATTGAGCCTGACGATTGACTTTTATTTAAATAAACAATATATACATAATATACAATAAATAGTGAACATCTGGTACTAGTACCAAAATGGAAGAGATTAGCATAACATCTCGCACATCGCTGCTAAAGCGAGATCTGCACACCGCATTTGCCGACACGAAGGGGTTAGTAACGGCGTACAATGTAATATGCTAATCTCTTCCATTTTGGTACCCGAGTACAGCAAAAATAGCCAATTCTCAAGAACTCTTTTTCTTGTTCAAACGGTTCTCTTGTGCCTTCAAGATCACATCGGGATCGCGGATTGGCATATTTCTGCTTTTTCTGGGATCGACCAGTTCTGGGAGCAAGCAGTTCATGTAGAAGAATTTCAATTTCTCTTCCATTTCATTTTTCCCGAAAACGTCATCCTTTCGAATGACGTCTATTTTCAAACCATACGGGGACCAAACACCAAGCACACAGTACTCTCTTTGTGCAACGTGTAGCTGCCCTTGAATTTGGTAATACCACTTATGTTTTTTATTTATTTCATCGTTTATCCAAAAAGTAATTTTTTTGTTCAGAATGCCCTCTTCAGGGGTCATTTCTCTAGCCGACCATGGGCATTTAATTTCTAGCAGACCTTTTTCGCCTATCAAACCATCTGGCGATGCTGCCAGAAATGGATGGGTCCTATCAATAAACAACCCGCAAGAGTGTACTTGTGATTGCGAATATGATTTCTCTATTTCTGATTTTGCCACGCTTTCATGCTTTTTTCCATAGTCACATGCATTGCTAAAGAATTCGGTTGGGTATATTATGGCGTTTACTAGAGCTCTGCAACTTGTTGTATCTCTTCTTCTACAAACCTCACCAAACCGAGACGCAGTCAACCTCATTCTTCGACGAAGACGCCACAAATTGCAATCCTGAGATTTTGTGGCTTGCTCGATCTGGGAAATTTTGGAGTCGGTTTTTGCAAGTTTTTTCAAGAATTCTACCTTGGCAGCCTCTATATCTTCGTTGCTCATGTCAGGCTTCTCACAGAATTCCCCATAGGATGCGTTCTCTTTAGTATCATTATCTCTGATTTTAATTTTCCTTGGTTTCAGCTTCCTTTTCAGATTTTTGTGCGCTCTCCTTTCTTCAACTTTAGCAATCAAAGAGGTTGGACTGAAACTAGGGAGTAGCCGCTTTTGGATCACACAAACAGGTCGCTGTGTATTGTGGCTCACTACGGCTGCAGCACATCTTCCTTGGTAGGATCTCTTCTTGCAATAATTAATCCGTTTACCCCCAATGAATTTAGCTATGATTGAGTTAAACTGCTCTACAATACTATTATCGACGTCATGAAGTAAACTTACTGCATTTTTAATCAGAATTGCCAGAAATGATATCAGCCTCTGGTGCAAATCTAAAAAAAAAGGGTATACACACCTGAATTTGAAGATCCATGCCATCTGTCTCTGTTAGAGAATGCATATGCGAAACCTTGCTGTCATTTTTAAGCTAAAATAACATATATAATATAGTTATAATAGTAACTACGTATGGTCTAATTTATTGGCAAAATGAATGCTAAAATTCATAATTGTTTTGGTACCTACTGTTCTATCTGGAAAACGTTTTTTTTCCTGTGCGTATTTAAATGCGGCTTCTTCGAGACGCCACGTTTATTTCTCTTATTGTTCATTTTTGATACCTTGATAAGAAAGACACTCAACAATAACAGCACAACAATAACAACACAACAATAACAACACGATAATACAACAATACAATAACGGTAATAAAAGTAATAAGGGCTGAGTATACTATGCGCCAAAATAGGGAAACAGTCGTACGCTAGATCGTATATCCAAATCAAATCCGACTCTGTGCAATATGCAAATTCAACCAGGCACGCGAACAGCACACCTCTGCGTATTACTATCCTTTTCTAACGTAGAGCGCTTGCCTTGTCACAACGCCGTCCTACTAGCGTTTCCCTATCACCCCCCCCCGATTCCCCTCAGAAACTCTGCTTGACTGTGAGAGCGCCGTTAATAAGAGAATCTTTAGCAAAAGCCATAGAAAGTTTTTATTTTTAGGCAACCTGTAAACCTGCAGAAAAAACACAAATTATACAGTCAGCTTCAAATATTAAAAAAGAGGAAGAAGACAAAATAAAACCCGGTAATGAATCACAACAGCAATGCGAAATTAATGAAAATACAGATAAACAGAAAGCAAAAGCTTCTCAGGAAGCTATGAAAAATAAGATTGCTCTACTCGAAAAAAATCTGAATGCTTTGTATTCTGCGAGATATACTATGCCAAGCCGTGCTGAAATTGATAAACAGATCATTAAGTTGAGCGAGGAAATAAAAACAGCAAAACAGTCTTTAAACAGGAAGGTTCAAAACGCAGTTGCCCAGAAGAAACACAGGGATGGTATGAAAAGAAAGTTAGAAGATATTTGTCATGAAAATCCAGAAATAAAAAAAAGACTATCTCTGAGGGATTCAGTGGGACGTCCTAATCTTGGAAACAATCAACATTCACTATTGAAAACAATCGCGGATATAGCTTTATTTGGGAGTGCAGCAGATGATAGAAGACGAACGGAATCAATTCGCGGCGTAAAAACTCTTGATGAACTCACACAAAAATTACGTAAAATAGGATTTGACATTAGTCGCAGTGGGAGATATCTTCGTTTGATTCCCAGAAAATCTAATTGTGCAGAGGGACGAAGACATGTATCGACAGTCCCTGTTGAGCTCATTCGGGCTCAAACTGATCACCACAAGAGCCACTTAGATAGCAAGTTCGCTGCAACATCAATCCATTATTTAGAGAACATAGCATCCATACTTGGACCAGATCAAGTATTTTTCATATCTCAAGATGATAAAGCTCGAGTCCCTATTGGCGTAACTGCGGCAAATAAGCAAGCACCTCTTCTAATGCACATGGAATATAGAATCAAATTGTCTGATCACGATTGGGTAATCGCTGAGCGTCATAAATTAATACCATCTGTCTATGCTGGTATCAAAATCACTTCCAATATGCTAGGACAACCATAAGCCATTGGATATTCTGGACCAACATACATCGCTATCCGAAGTGGAAAGCATAGTTCATCTACTGCTAATACTCATGCTCAGGATTTCGAGACGCTTCTAGAGTTTCGACCATTAGCTAAAACTGACCATGGACTAGTAAAACCAGTGGTAATCATGACGGTTGATGGAGGGCCAGATGAAAATCCACGTTATCAAAAAGTCATAGGGTTTGCTATACAATACTTTAAGTGACATGATCTCGATGCATTGTTTTTAGCTACCAATGCTCCTGAAAGAAGTGCGTATAACAGAGCAGAGCGTAGAATGGCTCCTCTTAGTCGGGAACTGGCTGGTTGTTTAATATTGCCTCATGACCATTTTGGGTCTCATTTGGATGAACGTGGCGTTACAATTGATGAACATTTAGAAAGATCTAATTTCGAATTTGCAGGAAATGTATTAGCTGAAGTATGGAGTTCAATGGAAATTGATGGCTATAATGTTAATGCAAAATATGTTGGGGCAGGTGAACAAGATCTTCCTGATTTTCCCGACATTAAATGGTATTCAGAACATGTGCGTGAGAGCCAATACTTGCTTCAAATTGTAAAATGTAGAAATACAGAATGGTGTCGTCCAAGAAGTGGCCTATTTAGATTACTAGACAATAGGTTTCTTCCACAACCTGTAAAAGTAAAACAAACAGTTGATGACTTGGTTTTGGATGAAGGAGGGCAATTTTTTAACCTTCCAGTCAATTTAGCTCTACGCTTAAGTGCTTCACTCAAAGATTTCCTGCAAATGTCCTACGATTATTTTTGTAGGACGGTAAAATTGAGGCTATCAAGTCGAACATACAAAACGTGCGGTCTTTATCATGCCTCCGTCAAGTCACTAAATCGTCACATCGAAAATATCCATAAAAAAGTAAACACGCACAAATCTATTTTCTTATTTTTGAAATTATAATTATAACGTTATAATTATAATATTAAAAAAAGAATACATTAATTGACAAATGTTTACGGAAGCATGGGGGGAGGGAGTAAGAGCTTTGCTTACTTTTGCTGAGAAGGGGGATGGAGGGGTAAATAATTGTAACGATCTGCTTACGTAATACTTGAACGGCCCCGTTGGAAAAATGAAGAAATGCCAATTTTAAACGTCTTTGCCTTTCTTGTTATTGTTTCTTGAACCACCCACCACCATGTTTAATTCACTGTTTTTTTTTTTAAATTATATTTCACACAGAGACATTGAAACACACCAGATAACAAACTAAGCCCAAATCACGCGCTAAACCGGCATCTGAAAGAGAGACTGACTTTCATCCATACTTACAGTATAGGCGTTGTGCAGGAGACAGGAATTCAGTATACAAAACATATGCTCCTCATTATGTCACCATTTTTTGAAGCAATTTTTAAAATGAAACATACAAACCGTTTATCGTGTATTTTTATTAAATACAAAACATATTTGAATGCAAAAAATGCAATGAAGTTTTCTTACTTTGATCGAGTCATAAATGTCACGATACGGAAATATCCATTACATTATAGCATTCTAGCAACGTAATTATTCATGATACATAAAAGCGGAATAATAATAGTGTTTTAGTAATTATCTTTATCTCTTCTGTCTCTACGTTGCCTGTCCCAATTTTGGCCGCCTCCGCCGCCTCTGTAGTTTTGCCTGTCTCCTCTGTACGCACCCTTGAACAACAAAATTCCTTTAGTACAATATTCTCTTAGCAACTAAAAAATATTTGTTTATTCCCAAGTTCCAAAATACCTAGTTAAAAAAGATTTATTTAATCGAACATAATTGATGCAGATGAATGTTCCCAGCATCTACTAGCAATTCATAAAGTCCCACAAAAAACTATCGAATTGATGAGTACAAAACGTTGTAACGACAAAGTAAAATGATAAAAATTCTTTACCTGATTGAGTCCTTTGGAGAAGAAGTTCCCTTTGGTTTCCAAGATTCTCTCGTTGGACTCTACGAAGTTGTTGATCTTGTCAGCCAGTTGCAAGGCGAGCGACTGAAGCCTGGATGGCTCGCTCTTGTGCATCACCACAGTTTGCGTCGGATCGTCCAGCGACGCCTGCACGGAACAATATTTTATGGCTAGAGTATAAGTTGGAATCAAACTATTCAAAGATTCAGTGGTTACAGTGTAAATGCAGTCAAAACTGTATAAATGGGAAATACAAGAAGTTTTACGAGGCTTTTCAATCACTTAGATGCTGTTTTATAGTCGTCCCAAGAGGGCTGAGTGCCGTTGGAGTTGATGCACCCTTGGAAATAATGCCTCAAATCGCACTCAGCCCTTAAGAGTCCTTTATAAATATGACTCTAGTTTCTTAAATAGACAGGTTTAATATGGTAGTTGTTTTATATACTAAGTGACATATAAATCCGAACACCCAGTTTAAATGGTTTTATTTTAATAAAAGTTGGTGAATGTATTCATCTTACTGTAAATAACAAGTGAAAAAATTTTCAGCCTTATCAGTTGGACATTCCGGTTTGTATACTGCTTTTTTTTAATTCACTAACGCTCTAACAATGAATATTTCAGCCGCAGTAAAGAATCAACGTTGGCGGATTTTGGTTATTGACATCCTTTACGATCGGTTACGATGCCTAGAGTAGGGAGACCTGTACGATTTCGTCAACTTAGTGAGTTTGATAGGGGCCGTATAGTGGGACTTCGGGAAGCTGGACTTTCTTTTCGGGCAACTGCAGTTAGAGTGCAAAGAAGTGTAGACACTGTGGTTAGGTGTTGTCAGGCATGGCTTCGAGAAGGCCGTACGCAAAGAGCAAGGGGCACTGGACGACGCCGTAGACCAACAGACCGTGAAGATCGCCGCCTAAGATTATTGGCCTTAAGGGACCGTTTCTCCACTACCAGGTCCATTGCAAATGAATGGTTTGCAGAACACGGAAGACCTATTGGCACGCGAAGTGTTTACCGACGAATGAGAAGTTTTGGCTTGTTTTCATACCGGCCACAATGGGTCCTCCCTTTAACTCGAGAACACCGACGTAATCGCCTTGAGTGGTGCAGACAACGGTCACTCTGGGATCAGGAATGGAACAGTATTGTCTTTAGTGACGAGTCTCGATTTTGTTTAGGCATGCACGATGGTCGTGCCAGGGTTAGAAGGCGAAGTGGTGAAAGGATGAATCCACAGTTTTTTGTTGAAAGACATGTTCATCACACTGTTGGAGTTATGGTTTGGGGTGCTATAGCTTATGGTTCCAGGTCACCTTTAATCTTCATCAGAGGTAACATGAACGCGCAGCGTTATATCCACGACGTTCTAGAACCCCATCTTTTACCCTATCTTGACACCCTGGCAGATCCAACTTTCCAGCAAGATAATGCCCGACCACATGTTGCAAGAGTCACAATAGACTTCTTTCAACATAATGATGTTACATTGTTACCATGGCCACCAAGATCTCCCGACTTATCCCCTATTGAGCACGTGTGGGATATGATGGGTAGGAGATTGCTCAATTTGCAACGTCCTCCTCAGACTCTAGAGGAGTTGGTGGTTGCCTGGAATGAGATACCACAGGAGGACATTGACCACCTGATCAGAAGCATGCCTAGGCGCGTTGGAGAATGCGTTGCACATCAGGGTGCATCCACACATTATTAAATGTCAAAGGGCTTTAAAGCAGTGCAATCATTTTGAAATTTTTATCATTTACTTATTATGCTTCATTAAGTACTTATACAAAATTTTATTAAAATAAAACCATTTAAACTGGGTGTTCGGGTTTATATGTCACTTAGTATATATGCGTACACCGGCTAGATCTAGTAGTATAGAAACCGGAATGTCCAACTGATAAGACTCAAAATTGTTTCACTTGTTATTTACAGTAAGATGAATGCATTCACCAACTTTTATTAAAATAAAACCATTTAAACTGGGTGTTCGGATTTATATGTCACTTAGTATACTAGATATCGCTTAGTGGTTTTTCTCGCAGCGGTAATTGAACTATATATAACTCGGCGGCCGGGAGATGGGGCAGAGAGTACGGAATACGGTGGACTAGCAGAGCGAAGAGAAGTATAGTGCAGTCAATGGTGACATAAGTATTAGTCAGACATAAATAGTGGTGCATATAAATGTTTTATCAAGTTAAATGAATTAGTGCATTTCTTTTTGTGGAATCCAGTGTTTTAATCCACACCCTAAAAAAAGGAGAAAAACGCTACAATATGTTCATTTCCCCTTACTAGTAAAATGATTAAATTTTCAGCTTGATTGATTCGTCAACCGACTGCAGAAATTCGTTCAATACTGTGTTAAGGATTCACGATTTTTTATCGTGAAGCCACTTGATGATTCATTGAGTGGCTTCACGATGTAATGCTTTCATGTTTTTAAAAAAAATTTTAATCTGTTTTTAACTTGTTCTTGTCCTATTTTATATAATTTTGACCATTGTACCATCTATCCAGCTTTCACCATGTTACTGGGCGTTTCCCTCATCCTATACGTAAACAACAATTAGCAACATCCTCACACACTACTCTGCTGATGATGATGGCAAAGTCCATTGAAAGCTAGAGAGAATTAAAAAAAGTATAAAGAGTCCTCTTTGCTTAAATTTTGTCGAAGTACCCAACAAAAGGCGGAAGCTTTAATTTTTCACTTAACTGGTCTAGACGACAATGACCACGTATCAAGTTATATATATATATATATATATATATATATATATATATATATAAACAAGTAGGAAAATAATGGGCAAAATCCGCAAAAAGGAGGAAAGTGGATTCGAGCAGAAAATAGGATAGGTAACCCGAGCGATACGCATTTCTGCTGGTTGGCTTCATCAGGCCCGAAATGAATGCACATATGAAACTACAAAAGTAGATACACATGCCCACACATCCGGATACGGGTGTAACCTGAGGAAACGAAGTTGGAGGGGAAAAAACGACACACGAAGTTAAACAATCATCTACCAAATCACTTGGAAAATTTTGATTGAATTGAACAGTTATTCTATCATTCACAAAATTGTAGTAGCAATATAACAAACAAATCAGTATTTCAAAAATTATTGTACGAATTTAATAAATTAATTAATGATATCAAGATAACGTTTGAAAATGTTTAAAGGGAAATTAAAAAATATTTCATGGAAAACCAGAATTCATAATTTTGTATTAAAATACAGACATAATAATTATATTATGTGATATACTATGAAACATTGCTAAATAAATTTACAACAAACCAACAAATTTGGGCTATTCAGCAACAAGGTCCTAATTATAAAAATAAACATCGACAAAACTAATACCTACCTCAAATATTAATCAAAAATGTTTGAAAACTTCCACTTATAGAGATTTAAATGCTAAAGTGTCGGTACTTCGTTCTAATTGTCAATAGTAGAGGTTTCTCATATATCCAGGGCGCACTTCAGCAGGATTTATTGTATAAACTTACTTGAACATCTGTGATACTAGAAATGTGCCGCAATTTCTATTTTGATATGAAGAATATTCGAGCACCAGCATATTTACACCAAATAATTATTGTAATAATTTGCTGCTATTACATACCATTAGTTCCTCATTGATGATCATCTTAGAGATGATGGAATGCACGACCGGTTTCTGCAACTGGAACATATCCGCTAAAGTGGCCATGGAAATCGAATCGTAGACGTGCGAATAAGTAAACAAATATGTGCGCAGCGATTCTTCTTTGATCAGCTTGCTGAGCATGTTGCGCACATGCTCCGCTTGGTAAAACAAATCCCACACTTTCGCGTTCATCTTCTCGTTTATTATGTAGCCGTTGCACGCCTGCCAGTTACCTGAAGATAACACGTTTAAATAATTAATAATAAAAGTTATTGGCGTCACAGAGAAATTCATTTTCGGAATAATACGCTTTTATAAGAAGCATTTTTTTAAGTTTTTGCTTGTATAAGTAGGTGTTTAATCTGCTCAGGTAGTTTATTGTAGAGCTTTATGCCCATGCAGTTTGTGTCATTTTCCGTTTTGGCAAGCCTGTGAGCAGGGAATTGCAGTGTTAAAGCGTTTCTAGTATAATAGTTCTGATTATCGGTTAGGCTACGAAAGCTTGTCAAATTTGATTTGACATGTATCAATAGCTCATAAATATAGATACATGTTAAGGTTAAAATTCCCGTCTCTTTAAAACCTCTCTACAACTACTCAACTTGTTTACCCATGCCATTAATCGTATAATCCTCTTTCGAATAATAAAAACCCTATTTGCTAGATAAGATGCCCCCAAGCTATTATACAATAGGTTATAGTTGATTGAAAGTAGGAAAAGTAGTAGATTAATAGTTTTTTAGGTTTATTACATTACATAATCATGATTTTGAATTTTGAGCTGCCATAACTTATTTTAGAATAAGGGATAGATAACTTTCTGAGGTAAATTTTTATCTTTTCTTGCCCCTGCAGAAAGAAAAGTAGTTTTCTTGTAAAAGAGAATGTACATGGAAGTTTCTTCAAGATTTGAGTCTTTTAAATGTGTAGTTCTGTCTCAGACATAGAGTAGAGAGTAGATTTTTGAACAGTCTTTTTCTCTCTCTAGTGTTTTTTTTTATACAGTAAATTTTGAAAACGAGGCAAGCAGCCCCTATCTTGTGACGTTCCTTACGTCACTGCTCATTGCTGGCCCCTGGTTTTTGACCTGAGCGCTTGTGAGCTGAGGACATCTCAGCTATACCTAGAGCTGTTGCTGAAAGATAAGTTTCGGTTTATGCGTTAAACTATTTGTAAGGCCTATATTTGTAAAACCTTCGTACGTGTACCATGGCAAACGTTTTGCAGGGTTATTACAGTCTATTAATTTAATTGTCAGGTAGTTTTTAATAACATCCTTTCTTTTAACTTGCATTCCAGTGGTGGGGCATATGTGCTGCTTGTTTTGACAATATATTGTGATTCTTTTTTAGATATCTTGTTTCATTTGGCTCTCTGTATACAATTAATTAGGTTTCATCATTAGTATTAGATCCATTTCTTTGTGTGGTGGTCAGGCAAAACAAGTTCCGACTAACAACTCGGGGATTTGTGGCTTAATCGGCAAGACAACGCACGTCCCCGTATTGCTCGTCGTTCTGGGGACTTTCTTCAAAAAGCAGGCGTAAATGTTTTGCCGTTTCCACCCCGTTCACCGGATTTAAGTCCCATCGAACATGTGTGGGATATGATGGGGAGGAGATTATCCACTTTGCACCATCCGCCACAGACTCGGTCACAACTAATGCAACGAAGTTCGAGTTGCTTGGAATGAGGTGCCACAACCAGACATCGGTCATCTCATTTTAATAAATAAATTAAATAAAATTTCGTGAGAATGTTATCGTTTCATTCTTGATTTAAGACTTCCACATTGCCAAAAAAACAAGTTGAAGAAATTATTTTTTCTGAGTGTAACACTTCTAATGTTACCGTGTGTATTTGCCCTTAGTTGACTTAATCATGCCCTGTCGTAAAATCCATTCTTAACTGACATGTCCACTACCGCCTTATCACACGTCTTGTTTGGGTTCCTCATAGAGATATCCAACCCCCTCCTACCCCAATTTCTGAAAATGTTAATAATCCTATATTCTCTACCAAAATTTGAAATGTGTGAACTCCCATTCCACCCCTCAGGGGTGGAGCTTGAATTTTTTTGTAAGCGTCCATTTACACTGTATCAAAGAACCGAATATATGAAACTCATATCTGTATACCTTGCTTCAAAAAAAATACTACTTTTCCCATAGTAGCTTTTACGCTTTATTTGAACCGTTTCCGCCGTTTTGGCATCTAAACGGAACATACATACTTTCGCATTTACAATATTAGTAAGGATCATAAATTCAATGGTGAATGGTTAAACCTAGAATACTGACCGTTCCTCATGGCTTTCGCAGCAGCGACGACATGTTCTCGCATGCTCTCCGGCGGCCCCACCAAACTCTGCCTCTCGGACGATCTCAGCTGTTGATAGAAAGTTTTGCTGATCATTCGTCTTCGGGCGTCGAACTCGTGCGCCGCCATGTACGGAATTTCGATCAGCATCGCGGACACCAAATAAACGCACTCCAACAGCTCCAGGTTGATGTGCATGTGGAACGGCATCTGGCGCTGCTTCTCGATCTTCTCCTGCTCTTTGCTCCTTTCGTGTTGACGCTGAGGCAGCAGGCCTGCAACCAAAACAAATGTAATGTAATTGTTTTTCTTTAAGAACATTATCCCGCAAAAACTGTTTTAGGGGTACCAAAAAAAAGGGAATACTGTTTCGCAAACATCTTAAAACCTTCAAATAGAACAGGCTCTCGAATTTTTTCAACATTTTCGTCTATTCGGGCAGTTGATGGACGTCCAGCGCGAGGTTTGTTATCAATCGACATTTTTAAATCGAGCTAACCACTCGTACACCTGAGTTTTTCCTATAAGCATCATCTTTAAGCTATTTTCAACATTAAAACAGTTTCAGCAGCATTTTTACCAATTAGAAAGCAAAATTTCACAGCTGCACGTTGTTCACTGAAGCTTGCGATCGTAAAAGACGAAACAAGCACGAAACAGCTCTAGCAAAAGTAATAATAATAATTATAATAATAAGTTTATTCACGTAACATACAAATATAACTAAAACTAACGTAAATAAACAGAATTTACCCACAGAAGAATAAATTCTTGTGTGTGGGTATTAACTTACATTTTCACATACACACACACACACACACACAGACCCATGTCGATTTGATTCAATTTTGAATTTTGTTTTATTTGAAATATTTCTTATAAAGGGTTGTCCAATAGGGACGCAGGAAAGTAAATGTCAATTTGACATAGACGCCATCTTTGTTTTCTGTCACCGACATGTCATTTTGTTAGTTGAATGTTTACCATTGATCGCTATGGAGTCGTATTCGATTGAAGACCGCATTAAAGTTATTCAAGAGCACTACAAAAATGGTGCAAAAATAAAAAACACGTTTCGCGCGCTTCGTGAACATTTCGGTCGCAACAACCGCCCAAACGAAACAACCGTCGGTCGTCTGGTGCGTAAATTCGAGGCGACAGGTTCTGTGGCAAATCTGCCAGGCTCTGGCCGGCCAAGGAGCGTTCGCACACCGGAAAATATTGCTGTTGTGAAGGAGAGTGTGAGAGACGATCCGAAACAATCAACAACGCGTCGATCCCAAGAATTGGGCATTTCGAGAACCAGTTTGCTCCGCATTCTCCACAAGGATTTGAATGTACACGCCTACAAGATCCAATTGACGCAAAAGCTGCGTCGGGCCGACCATTTTTCGCGCCGAACGTTCTCAGATTGGCTCCTTGAACACCGCCAAATTGATGCCAATTTTTCATCAAAAATCATGTTCAGCGACGAAGAACATTTCACTTTGAATGGGACGGTAAACAAGCAAAACTGCCGCATCTGGGCGAACGAAAATCCCCGTGAGTATCAAGAGCAGCCGATGCATCCTCAAAAAGTGACTGTGTGGTGTGCATTGTGGTCAAAAGGCATCATCGGACCTTACTTTTTCGAAAATGCGGCCGGGGACGCCGTTACCGTTAATTCTGAGCGATATCACGTGATGATAGAGGACTATTTTTTGCCGCAACTTGAAGGAATGGATATGGATGATGTTTATTTCCAACAAGACGGTGCAACATGCCACACAACCAACGTCAATATCCATCGATTGCAGTCCTTCTTCGGTGATCGCGTGATCTCGCGCAGAGGAAATGTGCCATGGCCACCAAGATCGTGCGATTTGACTCCCTTGGACTTCTTTTTATGGGGATATTTGAAAAGCAAAGTCTACGTCAACAAACCAGCCACCCTCCAAGAACTCAAAAACAAGATCATTGCCGAGATAAATGCCATAGAACCGACCATATTGCAAAATGTCATTGAAAATTTCGACCATCGCGTGGACGTCTGTAAATATTAAATTTCCATAATACTCACACGTGGGCCCAAGAAAATCATCATACCATTCCTGAAGGTCATTTCCAACAACGTTTTAAAATAAATATTTGGTCGGGTATTCTTGACGATCAGGTAATTGGACCTTTCGAGTTACCCCCAAAGTTGTCAGGAGAAGGATACCTTAGCTTTCTAGCCAATAACCTACCAGAACTTTTGGAACAGAGCTTAGACAACATGCCATTACAACGGAGACAGAATTTGTGGTTTCTTCATGACGGGGCACCACCACACATTTTTAGAGGCGTCATTTAGTATTTGAATGAACATTATCCAAATCGCTCCTGATCCTCGAAAATGGCCAGCAAGATCTTTTGACCTCAATCCGATGGATTTCTGGTATTGGGGAGAACTTAAGGGCTGGTCCAATAACAACTGAAGCACAACTTCGCGAAAAAAATTTGAATGCGGCTGAAATAATAAATGGACAACTTCGAGGACCTAGAATAAGAAATTGAAAAAAAATACCTTGGTAGGTGCTTGGCTATTACAGAATGGTGGGATTAATTCCCTTACAAAAGGAGGGATAGCTGCTATGGAGCCTCTCGAAGGAAAGGCTACCCAAATGGAAGCTCCGAAGCAAAAGTAACCAAGGGTAGGAATTCCCAAATGAAGGTAGAACTCTCGAGCAATGATGGTTCACGGAAATGGGAGACTGGTCCTCGTAGCCGTGAGTCGTACTTATAAATCGATTCAGAGTATTAATGCAGACAGTTCCCCTCAGCTCGATTCGCTAATGGAGGCCGATTTCTATCAAAATCTCCACAACCCGAATAAACCCAGCACTAACGCAGTTTGTAGCCGCTGAACTGCTACACGAGAGCACCGGGAATAGCACCAAGTCACGTTCAGACCTCGGATATAAGGTTGACGGACATTACAAAAAATTATGATTTTTAACATCACAATTCCATAACGAAACAATCCCCGTTTCGAACAGAAACATCAACCACATCCCGGCAATGGCTTTTAAAGAGATGGAGAGTAGAGTACGATCCTCCACCACATAACCATTAGATCAAGAGAAGTAGTAGTAGTAGTAGTAGAAAGATTTATTAAGCACATTTGGCTACATAAACAGAACACTTGTAAACAACTTAGAACTAATAAATTCAAGCCATATGGTGTATGATGTAAATGCTGGGCAACCTATAATTGTAGATTTAACAAGTGATTTCTCAATTTTACTTTAAATTTTGTCAAAGTTTTCTGGTCTTTTATCTCCGAGTATAATTTATTATATTCAATCAACCCTTGATGGAATACAGATTTGTAGCATATGTTATACTTTTTGGTCATTAAATGGAAGTCATCTTTATTTCTGGTATTATGTAAATGATGGTCGACATTTGATGATGTTAAATTAGTTAGACTTGATGGAAATATATTATTTTTTACTTTATAAATGAATATCATTACAAGATATTTGATAAAATTTTTTACATTGAGCCATTTTAATTTGCTAAGCATTTGCCTAATTGGAGTATATTTATCTTTATTTAGTATTATTCTCATGCACTTATTTTGTAAAATTTGCAGTCTTTCAAAAATGGAATTATTTGCTAAATATAGAATAGTCGAACAGTACAAGAAATTTGGAAGAATGATGGTATTATAGATAATTTTTCTGCTATATGAACTCAGACATCCAGAAACTCTCGATAAATATCCCACTTTACTACTAATCTTATTAATAACTTTTTCATAATGAATATCAAAAATTAATCGAGAGTCAACAAAAACTCCCAGGTATTTAAAATTTTCTACGAATTCAATATCTTCACCATCAATATTCAGTTGAACATTTGTACATTGTTTTTTTCCGATTAACAAGGCTTTCGTTTTACTTGCATTTAATTTTAGTCTGTTAGATGCTAACCATTTTGAGACAAGCTTCAAGTCTTCATTTATATGAATATTTTTAGTACTTATATAAATCATAGTGTCATCGGCGAAAATTTGAATTTTGCATTTTTTGACTATGGCAGGTAAATCATTTATGTATAAAATAAAAAGAAGTGGTCCCAGGATACTGCCCTGTGGAACACCCAACGTATTTTCAATTTTTGATCAAAATAGTGTCATTAATTTTTGTAACTTGCATCCTTTTAGACAAATAATTTCTAAACCAATCTAAAACACTTCCTGTTATACCATATGCCTTCAATTTACGTAACAAAATATCTCTATCAATCGTTTCAAATGCCCTCTTCAAATCCAAAAATACTGCTATGACCACTTCTTCTGAGTCTATGGCTCTTCTCCAATTCTCAGTTACCAACTGGAAAGCTGTTTCTGTGGAATATTTTTTTCGAAAGCCTGCTTGCGCCTCCACTAAAATTTTGTTTTCTTCTATAAACTGCATTAATTGGTCATGCACTATGGACTCTAATAATTTTTCAATGTCTGGTAACACATTTACTGGTCTCATATCGCTGCATCTTTTAGAATTTTTTATTTTGGGAACTGGTGTTATTGTAGAGCATTTCAAATTTTCAAGGAAAGAACTGCTTCTCAATGAACAATTGATCCAATTTAATACAGGATATCCCAAAATTTCGAAACAGTTTTTCAGCACGTTTTTAGTAGTCATTTCGGCACAGTTGTTATTTGATTTTAAACTGTTTACTTTTTTTCTTAGATAATTCACTGATACGCTGTGAAATTTTGAAAGTGTATGCAACATTTCCCCCTGAAAACTGATTTTCATATAGTCAGGCGCAGCATTGGCAGTACCCACAATATCAACAATACTTTCCACAAAATATTCATTTAGTTTGTTTGCAATCACCAAAGAATTTGTTTCGGTACCGTTTTCGAATTGAACTTGATTTACACAATCATGCGGCTTCGAATTGATCAGTCTTTTTAAAGTCTTCCACATCTTTACACTGTCGCACTTGTTATTATCGATTTGTTTATCGTAGAATTTTCTTTTTTCTTCTCTAATTACATATACACATTTATTCCTAAGAATTTTATATACCTCCCAATCATCATTTGATTTTGTGAATATACATTTATTGTATTGTTTGTCTCTCGAATTTTGAGCTGCCTTAATATTCTTGTTATACCAGGGAGTATTTTTTGTCGAGCCAATCACTTTTTTATCAGTTGCAAGATCTAAACAAGTTTTTATATTTCCTATTATGTTGTCATATATTTTTCCATATTATCACCAAAATTCCAATAGCAGCCAGCAAGTTCTCGTTCAAGTTTTTCGTAATTAATAGTATTTACGATTTTCTTAATTTTTGTATCAGAAAAATGCCCTACCAAGGGCAGCATTGTCCAACTGTGATCGCTAACTTTAGGTGTATGTACAGCTTTAATCCCTGCACATTCGAAATTTACAATAACAAGATCTAACAAAGTCTCTGATAATGATGTTATTCTGGTACTCTCTTCAATTTTTTGCTTGAACCCATAGTTGTTTATGGTTTCTTTCAATTTTCTTGTTTTCATGCTTTTACCATAATAATTTAAATTAAAATCACCTAAAAGTATTATATTGTTTCTAAAATTCCACATTTCTTCGCATTTTTCTTCAAAAAACGTTAAAAATGTATCTGCATCACTGTTTGGTGAACGGTAAAAAGTACAAAGATCATAACGTTTCCCAAATAATTTGAACTGTATATGTGCATGCCAGTATGCATAGTCTAAAGTGGTACAATCGAATAATGTGATCTGTATTTTGTGGCAAACATAAATCACTACACTAAGTGTTTTACGATGAAAATAAAATTCATTTTTTTTAAGAACTGTGATAAAATTATTATCCTAAATAAGGAAAACGTTGTAATAATTTGCTTTATCAAGACATAAATAATTTTTAGTTGACCTTCAAAAGAAACTGTAACAACATTTTATGTGAAAAATCGCATCAGGAAGTAAAACGGTAACTGACCTTGAGCTAGCAGTTCCTTCGGTTTGCCGGTCATCATCAGATCGACAAGGCAATTGTGAGCGTCTTTGATGTTTCCATGTCTGAACGCGCACAGTCCCAAATGCGCCATCATTCTGTTGTAGAGGATCTGCGTGCTGGGATCCGAATGCTGGATGGTCTCCTGGAGATGGGACATCAGCACCAGGTCGCGGGCTTGGAACCAGTTGTCGTGCAATGCGTGATGATAAATGTGAGACAGGATCGCACGGGTACGCAATCTGGAAATAATAATAATAATAATAGGTAATTTATTAACATCAATTACAAATTGTGAACAAACTGATATGCCACAAAAGGAAAATATCTTTGTATGTGGATACCATGTTAACACAATTACACAGCAGTTACAATGAACTGATAAGACAAAAAAAAATCATATAATATAAATGTAATATGTATCTGAAGTCACTTGAAATAGCATAAAAACCTTTGGTCGGCGCGTCCTTTGTAATTTCATGACGTATCATAGGCGTGCGGCATTTATTTAGAACGATAATAATAATGTTTTTATATCACAATAAATGGATTTTACTATCTTCTTATTTTTTTGATTTGGGATAAAAAATACTTATATTGGGAGTTTAATTTATGTTGACTGAAAGTTAAGAAATGGAAAAATTACAGAATTCCAACGTTTGACATAGGCAAATATTTACATAGCAGGTAGGTATATAAAAAGGTATATAAAGACTTACATTATAGGTATTTATATATCATCCTCGCCTTCGGAGCTGTCGCTAGAGTCATCTTGTAGAGGAATTACAACGGGATTTACAGGAGGCAAAACACAATATTCATTTTCTTTTTCAATAATATGCCTAGAACACTGCTTCCATAGGTCTGTGGCAGCAATATGAGATACTGCATCTCTTATTGTGGCCAATAGCGATTCACTTAATTGAGGGGTCTGATTATGTTTTCTTACTTTTTTTTTAAAGCAGCCCAGACCAACTCAATCGGGTTAAAAATGCAGTAATAGAGAGGTAGACGTAATACTTCATGGCCATTTTGCTGAAGCAGATTGTCAACAACATACTCTTTTTCAAATTTTTGTCTTTTAATAAGATCCAATAATATGGCTTTGGTTGATTTTTGTGGTATTTCTATTCCCTTATCCTTCATAAAATCAATAATGTCTTGTTTTTTGTGCCTGTATTCGGAATTTTGTTTTTCTGTCGGGAATGGTATGGCGCATTGTCCATAATAATCACTGAATTGTTTGGTATTAACTGCTGCTCTATCCACTTTTCAAATAAGTCGGAGGCCATGTCCTCATGATAGTCGGCACATGATTCTTTGATATTTTTGGCAGATAACAGCAAGGCATTAGGTATATACGTAAATCCATTTTCACTGCCAGCATGGAGAATAATGATTCGTTTTCCACGGTTGCATGGTGCATTTAAAATGCACTTGTTGCTGTCGTCAAGCCAGCCGTACTGCACAACATCATGGGTATCATACCACGTTTCATCCAGGTAAATCAGATTTCTTTTCTGCTCTCTACAGATTTTAACAAAAATTCTTGGCGCAATTCAACGATTCGAGACGACTCCATAATCACCATTCTTTTATCTAATTTTTTGTATTGAAAACCACACAGTTTTACAATACAGTACAGTGAGTCTAAGCATTTGTAATTATAAAAATCTTCAGGATAATCTTTTAATTTATCCCGTATCATTTCCAACGTGGGCACCAAATTTTCTTTATAAGATCCGTATATTATACGACGAATATCTTCCTGAAAACCCACGTCTATTCTTTTTAATTTTTGCCCTATGCGCTTTCTGTGGAAGGAATGGTTGACTACATCTCCCCTTTTTATAACCCGATAAATGGTAGACCGACTGATTTTTGCCAGGATACAAATTCTGTTTAAAATTTGATTTTGCGAGGAATCTGGATTTTCGTTTTTCAGACAATCATACATATTTAGGATTACTCTTTGGGTCTGTTCCTCTAAATCTTTATGAAAGAATTCTGCCTGCACAGGTTCATCAACCATCTCCTCGTGGCTTGGAGCATTTTCCCAAGGTCTCCAAAGAGCCATATTTAGGACACACAAGAACAATCAACACAACAATTAAATCAACAAGTAAACTGAGTATTCAAAAGTCAAAAACACACAAACTAATAAAATCTATGAAAAAACACGGACAGACTAAATAAAACACGTTTATTCACCGCTACACGGCACTGGCTAAACTGTTTCAATTTTCAGTAGCCACCTGCACTTGTTCCGAGCTCGAAATACACGCTTTCTCATTGGCTATGTCCACGCATAGGCGTGCTTTACTCCACGTGGACCGGTGAAACTGCCTTTGATCTCTTATACGGGGGATATTTGCTGCGAAATTTGGCGATTTTTGCAGCAACAGAGCGTGTTAAATATAGATATATAAAACGCACCCGGTATTTCACAGTGTTTCAAGTGACTTCAGATAAAGTATACATTAATTTTGGATCGTAGATTAGCACTAAAGGAAATATATTTATGTTAGTTTTTTATAAATTACATCATGTTTATATGAGTTTTCAATAGCCACTCTTATAAATCTATTTCCAATAATGATATTCAGTTTTTTCTAATATATTTTGGTAAGTCAAAAAAAGGTCGCACCACCATTTGTGACTCCCCTGGTATATTTTGGGGCAAACGCTCGGTCACGTCAATTTTGATTTCTAGGGCGACAATTCGGCGTGATCCAAAAATAACCACCATTTTTTTAGTACGTTTTTAGTAACTTTTGCATAATGAAGTTCATACCTTATATCTTCAAACATTGTGAAGCTATGGGGTTGTCCAAAACGGACGCAGCAAAGTAAACGCATATTAAAACAAGAAAGATTGATATTCAAATGAAGTTGGGTACTTTATTTTGAAGGTTCATTTATACCATTTATGCATGAAAAATAATATCGCTCAAATGTTCACCACGACTGGATTTACAGACGTCCACGCGATGGTCGAAATTTTCAATGACATTTTGCAACATGGTCGGTTCTATGGCATTAATTTATCTCGGCAATGATGTTGTTTTTGAGTTCTTGGAGGGTGGCTGGTTTGTTGACGTAGACTTTGCTTTTCAAATATCCACATAAAAAGAAGTCCAAGGGAGTCAAATCGCACGATCTTGGTGGCCATGACACATTTCCTCTGCGCGAAATCACGCGATCACCGAAGAAGGACTGCAATCGATGGATATTGACGTTGGTTGTGTGGCATGTTGCACCGTCTTGTTGGAAATAAACATCGTCCATATCCATTCCTTCAAGTTGCGGCAAAAAATAGTCCTCTATCATCACGTGATATCGCTCAGAATTGACGGTAACGGCGTCCGCGGCCGCATTTTCGAAAAAGTAAGGTCCGATGATGCCTTTTGACCACAATGCACACCACACAGTCACTTTTTGAGGATGCATCGGCTGCTCTTGATACTCACGGGGATTTTCGTTCGCCCAGATGCGGCAGTTTTGCTTGTTTACCGTCCCATTCAAAGTGAAATGCGCTTCGTCGCTGAACATGATTTTTGATGAAAAATTGGCATCAATTTGGCGGTGTTCATGGAGCCAATCTGAGAACGTTCGGCGCGAAAAATGGTCGGCCCGACACAGCTCTTGCGTCAATTGGATCTTGAAGGCGTGTACATTCAAATCCTTGTGGAGAATGCGGAGCAAACTGGTTCTCGAAAAACCCAATTCTTGGGATCGACGCGTTGTTGATTGTTTCGGATCGTCTCTCACACTCTCCTTCACAACAGCAATATTTTCCGGTGTGCGAACGCTCCTTGGCCGGCCAGAGCCTGGCAGATTTGCCACAGAACCTGTTGCCTCGAATTTACGCACCACACGACCGATGGTTGTTTCGTTTGGGCGGTTGTTGCGACCGAAATGTTCACGAAGCGCGCGAAACGTGTTTTTTATTTTTGCACCATTTTTGTAGTACTCTTGAATAACTTTAATGCGGTCTTCAATCGAATACGACTCCATAGCGATCAATGGTAAACATTCAACTAACAAAATGACATGTCGGTGACAGAAAACAAAGATGGCGTCTATGTCAAATTAACGTTTACTTTCATGCGTCCCTATTGGACAACCCTTTATTTTGAGTTTATAATAAAATTCGACTAACTTAACTTACTGGCAATAATGGAAAGCACAGCATGAAATAATAATCATGGATACCAGCAAGAACATTCAGCATCAGTCAGTGTCACGGTATATCATAGAAAAACTTCGTTTTTCATTTCAAAATGTCAAATACCTACCTAGTTGTGATAAATATTGAACAATAACTTATTCAATTCAAGAAAGGGTAGAAATAACAAAACTGTATTACCAAAATGCGAGCATTGCGAGAGTTACTGCCTAGTTGTTTAATGCGTTACATCCATACAAAAATATTAACGATAAGAAGTGGCTAAGTTGATAAGAAAATCCACTAGGATCTTTTTAAAATATCAAGAAGTTGAGCACAAATAGTAAGCATTTCAACCCACCATAATTCTTGCGCAAAGACAAAATTTTGTAAAAAGCTCTGATAGCACCTTAGGCAATTATGTCCTGCTTATATCCAGAAAAACATCACAAACTGCAGAACACAAATTGAAGGTAACGGCGAAATGGGTACATTTTACGGGTCATGAAATTCAAAAGCTTCTTAATAATAGAATGTGTTTCACTGATTTCAACCCCCCCTTTATAAGCAGTACAATTTTTTTATGTCAATGAATAGGAACCCCTGAAACGTCAAAAACCGGAGTATCAGCAATTGTTACTTTTTCTTTTTTGCCTATAGCACCGTCGCCACCGGACTAAAACTACAAAGCTTTGGCATACTAGTAACCGCATGTGAAAATTTCATAAAAATCCCAGCGGTTATTTCCAAGTTGATGAGTGATACATTTTTTCGTGATGTAGATATCATATGACTTAAAAAACATAACATCTCATTTTAGAAATTTTTCGCGATTACAATACTTCCTCGCGAATGATGTGGAAAGTAAAACGGCTTTAAAATCGCGATTATGAGTACATATTTGCAGAACGACTGATCTACGCGATATTATATGAAATAGGGCCACCAAATTATCTGAATACGTCCTTTCTTAGTCCGTACATTGCGCCGCAACGCTTGGGATGGCAGCACGAAACAGTAGACAAAATTCGTCCAAAATACAATTTTTAGAGGTTTGCGCGCTTCGAAATTGACGCTTTATTTTTTTATATTTTTGGATCAAATTTTCACAGAGTGCTGAAAACAAAACCTCATAGGGTGCTATAGAGCCACTTTTTTCACTAGGTTCTTTTTAAAAAAATCGCGAAGTTGACCAGAAAAAGTACGCACTTCAACCCATCATAAAACTTACGCAAAAACAAAATTTCAAAAAGTGCTCCTATAGCACCCTGGACATTAACCTTCTCAACATACTGTAAGAATTTCATTAAAAAATATTGGAAAATGGAGTGTCAGTGTTGAAGCAGCTGAACCCTTGTAAATGGCTTGAAACTCACTGCGTCGGAGCCGCCTTAAAAATCTAAAATGTAACGCAATATCTTATCTTTGGATTACCCTGTATTGTAAAGCTATAGATGAAAAGACGCCCCCCTAGAAATCAAAATTGACGTTTCCCAAAATATACCAGGAGCGTCACAAATGGAGGTGCGACCTTGTCGTTGCCCACCCTGTACGTGACATGAAGAATACCGAATTGACCGACAACACGCATTCATTTTTTGAAGCAGTCCGCATATACAGAGTCAACTCAAATACTCTAACTACCTACCTGTCAGTTTTATCGTTGGCGTATATGAATTTGCACAGCTTTTCCATCTCTTCAACAGATGTGAATTCGTCTTTGCCAATTGAACCTTCCCCAGATTTCTTCAGCAAAACGCGCGGATCGAACTTGTAGTACAAATGCTCGATCTTGCGCAAGTATATGCGGCACAGCTCGGACGGAACGTTGCTTCTTTCCAAGTATTTCATCGTTTTATCGATTATTGCAGATACTATTAAAAAAAACTATAATTACTACCACCTCTAACAAACATTGTGATACGACATAAGGGGCCGTTCAAGTATTACGTGAGCACTATGGGGGGGCGGGGGGTTATTTGCTTTGCTTATTTTGGATGACATGGGGGGTAGGGGAGTTTAGATGATGATTACGTCATCGGTAGCTATTTACTTTTTTACACGAATGGCAACTCTCACGTTGTCTTTGCTTGAAAACGTAACGCATTTTCGGGGAATCCCGCAAATAATGCATACGTTTAGTGAACAGCGCGCGGTAATTCCCCTAGCCGCTTTAGAACCGCGAGGTGTTCACTTGTCTAAATTTCCTCTATAAGTGTATTTTTTCGTTTGGATACTATAGCGAGTAGACGTATTGTAAGCATAGTAAAGCGAGTTCACATTTGTGTTACCATTGATTCCATTAGCCAAAGTTTAATGTTTAAATAAGATGTCGTATCATATAGACAAATACAAGTTATACCAAAAATTGTTTGAAAGTTTTAAAAAATCTCATATACAAAAGTTAGTTAACGAAGTGTGGCGAAATTACAAATTACAAGCATTACAATCACAAGGAACTAGATATTATTGTATCTAAGAGAATCGAAGAAGAATTGCAAGCGGCGACTAAGAATAAATGCAATCTACTCAATTTTTTTTCTAAGGTGAGTGACGAAATAATTTTAGGTACCTATGAGTACTAGAAATATTAGAAATCGCCAAAAAGTTTCTCTTTAGGGTATTGTCGGGAACAGTGGCTCAGTCGGGTACAGTGGCTCCATTCAATATCTCCAAAACGAGAGAGACTATCTATCTGTCGCAGTCATCTACATCAAGTGTTTACGACACAAATGCGCATGAACCAGTCGGTCAGCAACTAAAGCACTGATAGCACGCGTCTCGCCTTTGTGTTGGTTTTCAGGTACCCAAAATTACATTTCCAGGTAAGTTTGACTTTAAAATTCTAGCTTAATTGCTGTAGTTTATTATTTATTTATATTTTGTAGTAAAGTAAGTAGAAGCAAGATAATTTTAACTTTGCTTAGAACAGTCAGTGCAACGTGAATATGGCACAGAAGACATATATTTCAAAATGGCGTCACGGTCGACAGTGGCTCAGCACGTGGAAGTACACAGTGGTTCACGAGCCACTGTGTACTATTAGTGAACCATTGTGTACCGCTTACTTGAATATTTGTTTCAGAATGCCTCGCAAGAAACGGGCAATGAGAAAAATTGGCAACAGATCCGCTGCAGACGTTAAAGCTGGGGTACTATTAATAAGGCAGGGTATGTCTATCAGAAAAGCAGCTACGAGTTGTGGTGTGCCATTTACTACCCTGAAGAGGTATTATTGGAAAACTGCTGGTTCCGAAAATCTCGATGAGGAGCGATTCGAGACGAATTATTCTGTGAACCAGATCTTTACCGCATCCCAAGAAGAGAAGTTGAAGGAATATTTTTCGCATTGCGCTCTTCTGTTTTACGGATTAACTGCAAGAGAATGTCATCAAGTGGCGTATCAATGTGCTAAGCTAAATAATATAAAGATGCCTAAATCTTGGACAGACAATGAAATGGCGGGTAAGGACTGGTTAACTTTGTTCAAACGTAGGAACAGGTTTTCTTCCAGGAGACCAGAACCTTGTAGCCTAGCAAGAGCTACAGCCTTCAACCGAAACAACGTCAATAATTTTTACAATAATTTAGAAGATCTGATCAAGAAAAACTCGGCTTTTGCAAATGGTACCCGTATATTTAATCTGGATGAAACATCAACGACAACAGTGCAAAAGCCTCAAAAAGTAATAGCACCATTAGGCAGAAAATGCATTGGAAAAGTCACAAGTGGTGAGAGAGGAACTTTGGTAACCACATGCTGCATTGTAAGTGCCAGCGGCAACGCTTTGCCACCAGTTATGATATTTCCTAGGAAAAAATTCAAAGATCATATGATCAAAAACACACCTGCAGGAACACTCGGCTTAGCAACGCCTAGTGGATGGATGAACGCGGATAGTTTCACAGAAGTAATGAAACATTTTATCAAGCATACGAACTCTTGCAAAGAAAATCCTAGTATGTTGGTAATGGATAACCACGAGTCACATTTGAGCATTGAAGCCATACAGTTGGCAAAAGATTGTGGAGTCAATCTCCTCACTATTCATCCCCACACTTCGGGGAAATTACAACCACTTGACGTGGGAGTATTTAGCGCGTTCAAAGTATATTATAATGCTGGCATCGATTCCTGGCTTATGACACATCCTGGAAAGCCTGTTACCATATATGACTTAGGTGAAATCATTGGGGCAGCCTTTCTTAAAGCAATGACCCCAACAAACATTACCAGGGCTTTTGCAAAATGTGGTATTTACCCATTCGACAGAAACCTTTTTACAGACGAGGACTTTCTGCCAAGTACAGTAACAGATCGTCCAGGTCCCTGTTCAGACTGTTTGCCACGTGAAGAAGGGCTCATAAACGTAAACATCAGTTCAATGAATGTCATCGAGTTGGGAGCACCGGAAGAGACCACTACTGCGCACTCATCGGAGCATTCTATTTCACAGACTTGTGCAACATCAGAAAAACCATGCTCATCAACGTTGGGTACTTCGACGACACAACCAAGTCAAATTGAAACCACTGTTGTGTCTATCAACCATCAATCCATTTCTAAAGAAGTGGAAACGAAGAACCTGTCCGATGAAGATTCAATTTTGACAAAAACAAAAGTATCCAATACCGTTTCAGTTCCATCAGGACTCCAGTCATTAAAAATATTAGCTCCTGAAGTGCTCATATCAGCAATTTCTTCGAACAAACTTCCACCCAAGCCATATATAATTACCCCGACACAAGACGTTGCTTTGACACCATCCATTTCTCAATCAGCTGAGAATACTTTTACATCTCCGTTTGAGTTTAGAGACCCAATAAAGACTGGACCTAGAACAACTACCCGCAAGCGAAGGAAACCAGGCCGTAGCATGATTCTTACTGACACATCGGAAAAAGTTCGTCTAGAACAAGAAAAAATAGCTGCTAAAAGTAAAAACACTAATAAGAAGGGAAAAGTCACTCGAAAAGTATTACAAAGTGATGAAGAAGATAATGATCAAGAGAAGGAAACAGTGGAATATGCTGAATCTGATGATGATACAGACTGGGCAGCAGAAGATGAAGACGAAAACTCTGACGAAGAATCAGGGATTATAACTGAAAGGCACCTAACCAAATCTCTAACTCGTGCGCCACTAGAGGGCGAATATGTGATTGTACAATTTACAACAAAAAAACTTACATCGCTTTACGTTGGAAAGGTGATAGAAGGTAGAAATGAGAATAATGAATTCTACATATCATTTCTGAGGCGTACGCCTGGTACTAGCAAATTTCACATGCCTGATAAGCCTGACCTTTCTGTTATAAAAGAAAGTGATTTGAAATTACTTCTGCCAAAGCCTTCAATTGTTGGCACTTCTTCTAGGCCGTACTATAATTTTGGACTAGATTTATCCCAACTTCGGATATGCTAAGAGGTATAAGGGTTATGGAGTTATTAATTTTTATTTTTGACTTGTTCTACAAACTTTCATCATTCGATGAGCTTAAGGAGTAAGATTGGTTTTTGTCTCTGATTGAAATAAAAGTTTTTTTTAACATTATAAGTACAAAAGAATACTTACAAAGTAATGTGTACATTTGTAAGTTAAGTAGAAGACTTAATTTTATTTGCTTGCTGATTATTATTATTGTTATTATTTATGCTTACGATGAGACTTATTAAAGTAGAAGTTCTTCAGTGTTTTGTAAGGCAAATAGGAGTCTGATGTATGTGTGATTTTGATTATTTCAATGTTAACAGCTACGATGCGCTCATTTTGTTTTTTAATATAGTAATGGGAATAAGTTTATTTTGATCAGTGTTTTTTCCGAGATATTCAAATGTGACTCAAAAATAAAGATTTCAACAGCATTCCCGTACTTTTGATTAACTCGGTTTGTCTTGAGTCTCTGTGTACTGTTAGAACCACTGTGGACCACTGGGGTGTGTCACTGTAGCACCCTACCTGTGCACAGTGGCTCATTTCTAATTTTTTACAAAATCATTATTGGTTGTTTTTTGGCACCCTTTGTGGACATTTCGATGGCACAGGATAAAAATTTCATAACCTCTGCCCACATTGGCCGAGTTTCAAGCCATTTGGTGAAGACTCGATGAATATTAGAGTCAACTGAAAAAAAGTGAGCCACTGTTCCCGACAATACCCTACTGATTAGAAAATATGATGGCCTATCTCAAAGTATAGAGGTAATATTCATTATATTACAGATTTATTTCTTATGATTGATTCCGTCATTTGCCACAAAGTACAGGATGTTAGTTTTATACATATATACAGAAAACTAACACCCTGTATTTTGTGACCGGAACGTATTGCAGTCAACATTCACTATTGAAAACAATCGCGGATATAGCTTTATTCGGGAGTGCAGCAGATGATAGAAGACGAACGGAATCAATTCGTAGCGTAAAAACTCTTGATGAACTCACACAAGAATTACGTAAAATAGGATTTGACATTAGTCGCAGTGGGACATATCTTCGTTTGATTCCCAGAAAATCTGATTCTGCAGAGGGACGAAGACATGTATCGACAGTCCCTGTTAAGCTCATTCGGGCTCAAACTGATCACCACAAGAGCCACTTAGATAGCAAGTTCGCTGAAACATCAATCCATTATTTAGAGAACATAGCATCCATACTTGGACCAGATCAAGTATTTTTCATATCTCAAGATGATAAAGCTCGAGTCCCTATTGGCGTAACTGCGGCAAATAAGCAAGCACCTAATGCACATGGAACATAGAATCAAATTGCCTGATCACGATTGGGTAATCGCTGAGCATCATAAATTAATACCATCTGTTTATGCTGATATCAAAATCACTTCCAATATGCTAGGATAACCGCAAGCCGTTGGATATTCTGGAAAGCATAGTTCATCTACTGCTAATACTCATGCTCAGGATTTCGAGACGCTTCTCGAACTTGAAGAGTTTCCACCATTAGCTAAAACTGACCATGGACTAGTAAAACCAGTGGTAATCATGTCGGTTGATGGAGGGCCAGATGAAAATCCACGTTATCAAAAAGTCACAGCGTTTCCTATACAAAACTTTAAGCGACATGATCTCGATGCATTCTTTTTAGCTACCAATGCTCCCGGAAGAAGTGCGTATAACAGAGTAGTACTTTTGCTGACAAGGGGGTAAATAATTGTAATAAATCTGCTTACGTAATACTTGAACAGTCCCTGAAGCGTACTTTGAAAAAATACTTTACTACAGAACAAATAACTTTCTGCAACGAAATTCATTTTCTTTTAAGCTAGTTGATTTAGAGGTGATTAAAACTGTACTGCAGTATAAAATCCAATACTTCTGGAACGGATGGTATCACGTTACAAATGTTAAAGTTATGCTTTCCAGTAATTGGCATTCATCTGCTACACGTTATTAACATTTGCTTGGAAACTGGATACTTTCCCGACCATTGGAAGACAGCTCTGGTGACTCCTCTGCCGAAATTGTCTAACCCGATATCCATCGCTGACCTCAGACCAATAAGCATATTGCCAATAATGTCTAAAATTTTAGAACGAGTAACTTAGACACAGATTCTAGATCAACTCAATGCACATAATATAATCCTCAACCATCAATCAGCCTTTCAGAAAAATCGCAGTACAACTACAGCCTTGTCTTATCTCATTGATAGCATCATATCTTCCATCGACAGTGAAAACATGAGCTTGCTGGTACGGTTAGACTTTTCCAAGGCCACTACTATGGCTTCGATGAAGTTGCCTGCAACTTTATTAGGTCATATTTAAGGGAACGGAGGCAAAAGTAAATATCAGTAATCAAATTTCGACATCAAAGTACATTCAGTCAGGTGTTCCACAAGGTTCAGTACTGGGACCATTGATGTTTTTACTTTACACTGCAGATTTACATGATAACTTCAAGAATACACATGCCCAATCCCTCAAAATGTTCTGCCATATTATTTGGCAATGAAAGATTATGTGAAATCCTTAAACCATTAATTCACATCGAAGTTAATAGGGAGGAAATTATTTTTTCTGAAATAGTAAAAAATTTGGGCATTCACTTTGACTCGGACTTACGTTTTAACTCCCATCTGAATAATGTCTTGAAAAATTGTTATCTATCCCTCAGGATTCTATTTGCAAACAAACATATTCTGCATAGAAACATCAAAATTAAATTGTGTCAAAGTTTGACTTTCACATACAATGCAATTTTATATTACAATTGCTTAAGCCAGGAGCTGAAGACTATCCAGTCTTCCCGGAGTTTTAAAACTCAGTTAAAAAGATATTTACAAGAATTGCAAAACAACCGCTGGCTTAAGAAGTTCTTTCATTTTCATACTTTTTATTTTTGATTAGTTATTTTTCCGTTACTTCATAACCTATTATCCCTTCTTCTTTTTATAGCTAAATTGGCATAAATCGTCCTATTATACTGTGAGTTAACGTAGTAATGTAGTTTCACATTTTTTTTTTGTATAACTTGTTTTTTTTCACTTTTGTACCGGGTTAGATGGTGGAATAGCAGGTGCCAAATCTCGCCCCATGTAATGTACCATGTTTTGGTCAATAAAGACGATTACACTGATCAACAGCCAAAAAATATCCTAAATAAAATCAACAAAATATTACTATTTTTAATGTGCTAAAACCGGAATGAAACTTATTTTTTCAATATTAGTTCAAGTTTAAGAGATACGGTAATTATATGTGTTCCTGCTGTGACAGTGTTAATATACTGTAATTCACAAGAATGCACGTGCTACATTTTTATATTCGGCAAGGAAAAATGATGTAATCGGCATGATTGTGTTACATTATACATACGTGTACATTATATTGTTTTATATTAGCCATTTTTTCCTCAGTTGGCTGACAGCGTTCAGGCAAGATGTCTCGAAAGTGTGTAAACAATCCAGATCAGTTTTGTTACGTGTGTGGTGATGTGACTTTTGCGTCTCAGAGACGGTCTATTACTCCACTAATAACAAAGGCATATCAGCTTTATTTTGGTTGTAAACTAGGTGATCAAGACAAACAGTGGGCACCCCACATCTGCTGTAATACATGTGCTTCAAGTCTGAGGAGTTGGTTAAATAGCAAAAAAACGGTCTATGCGCTTTGCTGTCCCAATGGTTTGGAGAGAGCCTACAAATCATATTAATGATTGTTACTTTTGCATGGTACCTTGTGTTGGACAAGCCACAGGTATGTCCAAGAAAAAAAATCGGTTATTAACTACCCAAACATACCATCTGCGATGAGACCTGTGCCTCATAGTGACGAAAATCCTATTCCAAAACCCCCAGAATCCTACACTTGCGAATCAGAAAACGAATCAGATCATGGCGATCGAGTGATTCGTCAGGAAGAAGATATGCCATCAACGTCAAGAGATCCTGATTTTATACCGAGCACGTCATGCCACCAACCGCACAAAATAACACAGTCAGAATTAAATGATCTTGTAAGAGATTTAGAACTTCCAAAATGTAAGGCAGAGTTACTTGGATCAAGACTGCAGCAGTGGAACTTGTTAGAAGACGATGTTTCGGTATGTGTTTTTCGTAAACGCCACAAAGACTTAGAACTATTTTTCAATATGGAGAATAACTTGGTTTTCTGCAGTAACATTAACGGCTTACTGGCGGCTTTAAATATAAACTATAACCCAGAAGAATGGAGATTGTTTATAGACAGTTCAACATTGAGTTTAAAGGCAGTGTTATTGCATATTGGAAATATTTTACCATCTCTTCCTGTAGGGTATGCAGTTCACATGAAAGAATCATATGTCAATATGAAGTACCTATTGACATGCATAAAATACGATGAGCACCAATGGCATATTTGTGGCGATTTGAAAGTTGTTGCACTTTTACTTAGGCTGCAGCTAGGCTACACAAAGTTTTGCTGTTTTTTGTGTGAATGGGACAGTCGGGCAAAGGCACTTCATTACACCAGACAAAACTGGCCTGTTCGTCAATTCCTAGAGCCAGGTCAAAAAAATGTACAGCATATGCCATTAGTAGATTCGAAAAAAATTTTATTACCACCACTGCATATCAAGTTGGGCCTAATGAAAAACGTTGTCAAAGCATTAGATAGAGATGGGTCAGCTTTTCAATACCTGCGTCAGAAATTTCCAAGACTAAGTGAGGCAAAGGTTAAAGAAGGTATTTTTGTTGGGCCACAGATTCGAAATATTTTGAAAGATACATAGTTTGAAAACACTTTAACAGGTATGGAAAAAACTGCTTGGAATGATTTCCGTCTGGTGGTCACTAATTTCTTGGGAAATAGAAAAGCTGACAACTATAAAACCCTTGTCAAAAATATGCTGTCATCGTATCAAAAGTTGGGCTGTAATATGTCTCTTAAGATACATTTCCTACACTCACACCTGGACTTTTTTCCTGACAATTGCGGAGCCGTAAGTGATGAGCACGGCGAACGTTTTCATCAGGATATTTCAACAATGGAAAAAAGGTACCAGGGAAAGTGGAATCCTTCCATGGTTGCAGACTACTGTTGGACTCTTAGTAGAGATGCTCCAGAAACGATCCATAAAAGAACAGCAAAAAGACAGCGCATATAGTGATTCTTATAAGTATATGAATCTTGTTACTTTTTTAATATATCCTTAAAAATAAAAAGTTTTTTTTCTAAACCGTAACTAATTTTTTTATTTCATTGTCATTTTTGGATTCAGCGCCCCAAAATTAACAAAGAAGTGCACTTTTCCCACAAGATACAATTAAAAAACTAAAATTTGTTGTCCAGTGTTATTATTATTAAGTTTACTATCTTGTTCCGTTTTTTTATAGAACAATTTGCACAAAATTGAAAAGTGTCCGAATATTTAGTTGTTTGGGCTCGTATATTCTTCACTTCGCCTATACAGTATATAAGAAATAGTTTGGTTGCAATAAAGTAGAATCATGTAACAGAATAGTTGTATAGTTGACAAAAACTGAATCTTGCACTGACGCAAATGTTCTATAGCGGCTGCAAGAGGTTTACACTTTTGTTGCATAACTGTTACCTGCGGCCCTTATACAACCTCTTAAATGACTGAAGTGTCCTATTAGGTGTGCCCATTCCGATTGTATAGCTGTTCTAAGAGCGTTTTGCCAATGTTCTTACAGCATACAATGCTGTGTAAGGAAGACTTCTTGCAACTCTAATAGGAGTGATAATTGTTAGTTGGGTAGCACTAGTGCGAAAAAAGGGCCATAAGGTTTTTTTTTGTAAAACATTTAACTCACCTTTAGCCTCGTCCTTGAGCCTTTCGACGTACTCGTTGCTGTGCGGATCGCATTCCTTCAATAGTTTCGTGAATTCATCGTCCAATCTTTCGACGCAGGTGAGCGCGCATCCGCGCACTTTGTAAGGAGGCGCGTCCAATTGTTCAGTCTCTTCATTCACCGTCTCAGAAACGGAGATATTTTCGTTGTTCAACAGCACGTTCAACACTTCGGACATGCGGTCCAACAGTTTCAGCCAGTACTCGGGTTTCATCGCGTCGGATACCTACAACAAATGGAGGATAAATAATATGGTATAGATTTAAGAAATATGTTGTATTCAAGAAAGCACATTCAATGTATTTTGATACATTAATGTTAACGGGGCTCCTACAATCACGAGCACCATCTGCTGAGGTAACGGGGGGTGAAAAGGAAACGAGGGTAGGCTGGCCTTATGCGCTCGTCGGCGCTACTTTAAAAGAGGAAAGGATGACTGCGGGTGCGTACCGAGGTAATTTTTTATAATAACAGAGTCGGATTTCGATTAGAGCGATCTAGCCTGTAAATCGTTTCCTATTTCGGTACTCAGCAAGTGATCATTTAGTATTGTTCTACCCTTGTTATTGTTCGTCGATATTGTGTTGTTGAATTGTTGTGCTGTGATTGTTCTTGAGTGCCTTTTTTATCAAGGTTGATAATGGCAATAAAAGGTCATATGCGACAATTTTAATTACGAATGCAGTGAGTTTAATTCATGATGAGGACAACAATAGTTTGGAGCAGTTCAACTCTATAATCGCAAAATACATTGGGGTAAGCGAATAAATTATTGCAAGAATAGGTCATACCATGGAAGATGTGCTGCAGCTGTAGTGAGCCACAATACCGAGCGGCCTGTCTATGTGGTCCAACCTAGCATATCACTAAGATAGAACATAGACTCAAACGCAAGAATCTTGAAAGGAAACTCAAACCAAAAAAAAAAGCTTATATAAAAACAACTAACAATTCCAAAGAAAATGAATAGTTTTATGGCGAATTCTGTGAAAAACCTGACATGAACGACATTGATTTGGAGGTTGCTAAGCAAGAATTTTTAAGGAAACTTAGAAAAGTCTCGATTTGGTGAAGTTTGTAGAAGAAGGCAGACAGCAAGCTGTCAAGTTCTAGTAAACACCATCATATACCCAACAGAGTTTTCTAGTAAGACAATAAAGAAAAGCAATACAAAAATCATGGGACACGGCAGTTCAATCTTGTGGTTTGTTTATTGATCGCACGCATCCATTTCTGGCAGCATCACCTCCACCTACCTATTACAGTAGACAAGACATGTACTTAATCCAGGTATAAGCCTACCTGTTTATTGCTTTGCAAAAACTACCTAACTGTTTCCTCTTATTTTGGCCGCATAAGATATTTTTATGACCCTTGTTCAATTGTTCCCATTTACCACATGACCCTTGAAAACATAATTGTGTTTATTGACATGAATAAACGAATTTGAATTTGAGTTCTTGAATTTATTTTAGGAAAGATATAAAATTATTTGAATAGATTTGTTCTTAGTCGGAACGCACCGTCGCGTCGCTTGGACTGGCAGGACGAAACAGCAGATGAATTTCACCCAAAAACCGATTTACACTTCATAGCCTTCGTTTAATTTTTATTATTTCCAAATGAAATTCTTGCAGCGTGCTAAAATAAAGTCCACGGGGTGCCAGCGATCCACTTTTTCGATTTTATCCACTAGGATCTTTTTAAAATATCAAGAAGTTGAGCCCAAATAGTAAGCATTTCAACCCACCATAATTCTTGCGCAAAAACAAAATTTTGAATAAAGCTCTGATAGCACCCTAGGCAATTATGTCCTGCTTATATCCAGAAAAACATCACAAACTGCAGAACACAAATTGAAGGTAATGGCGAAATGGGTACATTTCCCGGGTCATGAAATTCAAATGAAAATGCAGGTATAAAATCTATCAGATTATCATTCTCAAAAACATATTTCCTTGACATATCGATAATTTTAAAGTTCCACGCTAAATTCCCCTATACTTGACTGGAGCGATATCAGAATTAATTTTTACTACTGTCGGTAGTTGCAGATCTGTTGGCTCTGGAAATTTCATAAAAATCCGAGCGGTAAATTCCAAGTTGATGATGAGTGATACAGTTTTTCGTGATGTAGATAGATGTCATATGCCTTAAAAAAAAACAACATCTCATTTTAGAAATTTTTCGCGATTACAATACTTCCTCGCCAATGGCGTGGGAAGTAAAACGGCTTTAAAATCGAGGAGTATCAGCGGTCGCGATTATGAGGGCCACCAAATTATCTGAATACGTCCTTTCTTAGTCCGTACATTGCGCCGCAACGCTTGGGATGGCAGCAAGAAACAGTAGACAAAATTCGTCCAAAATACGATTTTTAGAGGTTTGCGCGCTTCGAAATTGACGCTTTAGTTTTTGATATTTTTGGATGAAATTTTCACAGTGTGCTGAAAACAAAACCCCACAGGGTGCTATAGAACCACTTTTTCATTTTTTTCACTAGGTTCTTTTTAAAAAAATCGCGAAGTAGCACAAAAAAAAGTGCGCACTTCAACCCATCATAAAACTTGTGCAAAAACAAAATTTCAAAAAGTGCTCCTATAGCACCTTGGGCAATTATCTTCTCAACGTACCGTATGAATTTCATTCGAAAATATTAAAAAATAGAGTGTCAGTTTCGAAGCAGCTGAACCCTTGTAAATGGCTTGAAACTCACTGCGTCGGAGCCGCCTTAATGAGTGCATAATTTTTTTTATTCAAAGCCAGGATAAGTTTGTATATAATTAATAGGATGTCCCAGAAAAAGGTTCTTTTTTTTCGAATGCATCTCTTCTAAATTTGCTTGAATAATGTCAAAACAATTGTAAATAAAGTTTTATGTACCTAAAACCAAGACAACCGGCACGGGTATTACGTATCTTGAAAAGTGACATATCGATTTTTTTTACCATTATACTGTTTTTTTTTGACATTATGTAAGTTTTTCGAAAAGATGTTAACTTAGCACTAGATGATGGACACTTTTGTAAACTCGTTTTACTATTCGTCATTTGTTTGTCTGGGCGCAGTACTTCTTCCACCGCACTCTGCAACCCATCGTGGACCATTTGTCGAATAAGAATTAGGTTTTGAAATCCATACACGGTTTCCCTATTAACATTCAAATTCAAAGATTGACCGAAAGTCGTTATCCGATCGCAATATTTATTTTTTTAGTTGTTAGAGTCAAATGGAAGAAAATTAGAGGGTTCGTTAATGAGTTAACAATACATAGGGACATAAAATTATGAATAAAAAACAAAATTAACATTATTATTACCTTAGGATTGTAATCAAAGATGGCTGAAATGATAGCCAGCTTGATCTTGACGAGTATGGCGGGTCCCAATTGATGTTGTTCGGAAACGTTTTGCAATTCATGCAACAACTCAATCTGTTCGCGCCTGTCGGTCCGTTTTTTACCTCGGGCCGCCATTATTTCGCTCAATTTCTTGATCACCAAGTTCAGATCGATCTCGGCGTCTTTAGCGAACATCTTCGGTTTCTCCTGCACAATACAAATAGCATTTTAAAATAAACATACTCCTTTCAGGCAATATTCTACAATTTAAAATGCATCGAATCGAAATACAAAAAAAATTAAATTTTACTAAATGCCGAGTGTAATATATGCAATTGATTACAGATTAAATTGATTACATGTATAATTATCACCGTTTATACAATTTGCAATATGAATGTTTAATATGATTCCAAAGAAGCAAGTATGTGTCTGGAAAAAAGTGTAAATACTAACACTAGGTATGGCGACTCCTCTCTGCACGGTTTCCCATTCGCCTTCCTCGTCATCTTCCTCCGCGTCCATTTCCCTCTTGGCTTTCCTCCTTTCCTTCTCTTTCCTCTCCTTCCGTCTTTCTTCCCTTCTTCGTTCTCTTTCTTCGTCATCCTCTTGTCCGCCGACACCCGCCGCGGCAGCCACGGATTTCTGTCAAACAACGCAACCGCATCATTCATTATCCTTCTTTTAAATTCAAAGACGCGCAACGAAATGAAAACAGACTAACCCCAAAATCACTAGCAAGAGTACGACTGAAAACATGCCACGCATAAACTCATACACCTGACCTAATGACGTTGTTGGCGCATTTGCGGAACACTTTAGTGGGAGCTATAATACTCCAACAGCTCAATCTAATTTTTCTACTGACTACCATTTCACTGCTACACTAGCTATGCCTAGTGTACAGGAAATCGATGTGCTACAGGCGCTCAAGAAAATTAAGCCAAAAATGTCTGCAGCGCCTGATCAAATACCTGCATTTTTTGTGAGAGATTGTGCGTCCATTTTAGCATATCCACTCATGATCATTTTCAATCTCTCTCTGAAAAATAATCACTTTCCATCTATTTGGAAGTTGTCTAGGGTAACTCCTGTTTTTAAAAAAGGTGAGAGGAATTATGTAGAAAACTATCGGGCTATCACAATTATCAGTAATTTCGCTAAAACATTCGAAATAGTGATACAAATTGTGCTATATTTTCATGTAAGCAGGTCTATCTCCGTCTGTCAACACGGTTTCATGAAGGGCAGGTCCACAGTTACTAACTTGCTACATCTTACTCAATATGTTTGTGAATCAATCGATAGACAACTTCAAACGGATGTAATATATACTGATTTCTCTAAAGCGTTTGATAGTTTAGACCATAACATTCTACTCAATAAGTTATCTAGATTTGGTCTTTCAGATGCATTATTTATTATTTATGTCATAGGAAACAATATGTTATGTGCAATGGACATAAGTCAAGCGAATACCCTGTAATGTCCGGTGTTCCTCAAGGATCTAATTTGGGACCTCTGTTATTTATTATGTTCGTAAATGATATTTCTGAAGTTACGGATGTCGATTTTCTTATATATGCTGACGATATGAAACTTTTCTGTAGAGTCTCTAACACTGACGATTGTCATCGCTTGCAATGCAACATTGTAAGGGTTGACAGCTGGTGTCGTGAAAACAGACTTGTTTTGAATGCTGCTAAGTGTCACGTTTTGTCGTTTACTTTAAAAACAGGGGTAATGATGTATGAATATAATATTGGTGACAGAAAACTTGACAGACCTAGTACAATTAATGACTTGGGAGTCACATTTGACAGAAAACTTTCCTTCTCCTATCACATTGAAAATGCTGTTGTGGCTGCATCAAAGGCGTACGGTTTTATTGTAAGAAATACCGGTGATTTCCACAACTCCTTTACACTGAAAATACTGTACTATGCTTATGTAAGATCTAAGCTTCAGTATGCGTCCCTGGTATGGTATCCTCATCATCAAATATATATTGATCGCTTAGAGTCCGTTCAAAGAAAGTTTTTAAAATACCTCTCATACAAAGCTGACGGGATATATCCCGCTATTGGCTTTCCTCATAGTGAGTAGATGGCGAGACACAAAATCTATAATTTAGAGAGCAGACGCAAAATGAATTCACTTAAGTTCATTCACAAGCTCATCCATGGCATTATTGACTCCAGTGTTATCTTAAGAACAACTTAACTTCTTAATTCCTAGATTAGCGCCACGAACTAGTTTAACTTTTTACTTAGCCAGGCCTAGGACTGACAAGTTTTCCCCTATATATAATGTGCCGTAATTATAATTCAGTTAATAGCGTTTTAGATATATTTTCGTTTTGTGCGACTTTGGAAGACATTAATGCTTATTTTCGTTAATGCTTGCTGGTGTGATTGTTGAGTGCTGGGTAGGTAAAGCTAGAACGCTTTTTTATTTTCCTCCCAGTTCTGTTTTGAGGTTTGTTTTTGCAACGTTTTAGCTTTCTCTACATACATCCATAACATGCATTTGTTTATATTTTCATGTTTATCCATCCTGTAATTGGCTATGGCTGTTGCTGAATAAATAAATAAATAAATAAGGATGTGATACCTTTAAGAATCGCTCCCTCATCGAGGTGTATTTGCCCTCATCTTCATCGGACGATTCGCTGGATGAATCCGAGCTGGACGGCCAATCGTCGCTGTCGCTGCCCGAGGAATCCTTGTCGCCTGCGACCCCCGCAGCGCCCGCGCCACTTGACGGTTTTGATGAAGGCTTCGACGGTGCAGCCTTTGATGGAGCCTCAGCGTCTGAATCCAAGTCGGCCTCTGAAAACAGCACGACAACACTTTATACAACATCACATTTACTCCATACTGATATCAGTTATGATTATACAGCATGCAATTTAATGGATGGCTTAAAATACAAATGATTCCTTAGCTCATTTTAGGGAGCAGCGGTGGCCGCAGTAGTAGACTCTTCGGTCTCCTAATCAGTCACCGTGCGCTGTGCGAGTTCGAGTCCCGTCCCAGGAGAAATTTTTATCTTGGCTATGGATGTTGTGATTGTCCGTAGGTGGTAGACGGTCTCTGACTGTCGAACGTGGAGGTACCACCCGGCGGATCTCGTAGGCGGAGCCAGAATGTGTGAATGTTGGAGTATATTCATCTTTATTTAGTATATTCTCATGCACTTATTTTGTAAAATTTGCAGGCTTTCAAAAATGTAATTATTTGCTAAATATAGAATAGTCCAACAGTACAAGAAATTTGGAAGAACGATGGTATTATAGATAATTTTTCTGCTATATGAACTCAGACATCCAGAAACTCTCGATAAATATCCCACTTTACTACTAATCTTATTTATAACTTTTTCATAATGAATATCAAAAATTAATCGAGAGTCAACAAAAACCCCCAGGTATTAAAAATTTTCTACGAATTCAATATCTTCACCATCAATATTCAGTTGAACATTTGTACATTGTTTTTTTCCGATTAACAAGGTTTTCGTTTTACTTGCATTTAATTTTAGTCTGTTAGATGCTAACCATTTTGAGACAAGCTTCAAGTCTTCATTTATATAAGAGATACCAGACTGAATATTTTTAGTACTTATATAAATCATAGTGTCATGGCGAAAATCTGAATTTTGCATTTTTTGACTATGGCAGGTAAATCATTTATGTATAAAATAAAAAGAAGTGGTCCCAGGATACTGCCCTGTGGAACACCCAACGTATTTTCAATTTTTGATGAAATAGTGTCATTAACTTTTGTAACTTGCATCCTTTTAGACAAATAATTTCTAAACCAATCTAAAACACTTCCTGTTATACCATATGCCTTCAATTTACCTAACAAAATATCTCTCAATCGTTTCAAATGCCCTCTTCAAATCCAAAAATACTGCTATGACAACTTCTTCTGAGTCTATGGCTCTTCCCCAATTCTCAGTTACCAACTGGAAAGCTGTTTCTGTGGAATATTTTTTTCACCTCCACTAAAAGTTTGTTTTCTTCTATAAACTGCATTAATTGGTCATGCACTATGGACTCTAATAATTTTTCAATGTCTGGTAATACATTTACTGGTCTCATATCGCTGCATCTTTTAGAATTTTTTATTTTGGGAACTGGTGTTATTGTACAGCATTTCAAATTTTCAGGAAAAGAACTGCTTCTCAGTGAACAATTGATCCAATTTAATACAGGATATCCCAAAATTTGTAATGTTCAATATCTACATAAATGACCTTTTTTCATTGGACAGCAAAGGAACAATTGTGGGATTTGCGGATGATACGGTAGTGATATATGAAGGTGCTAACTTTGCAGAACTACAAATAATCATTGAGGATGATCTTAAAACTATTCTTGGATTTTATAACAGTAAACTTTTGATCGTGAATATCGCAAAAACCAGCTTTGTCCCCTTTGCTTCCTACAAAAATCACTTGCCAAACATTTATCTAAGTTCTAATAACACAATAACCATCAGACGGAACAGTGACATAAAATATCTAGGCATTATCCTTGATGAAAACTTGAAATGGACGAAGCATATACCGTGAACAAAATTAGAATGCTGTTAGCAAAATTTAAACATCTAACAAGATTACTAACTGTTAAATCTTTAACATTATATTTTGCACTTGTTCAGTCTCATTTAAACTATGGTATCGTTGGATGGGGAGCTGTGGCTTCAAGTCACCCCAGAAATCTCGAATGCGTACAAAAATACATACTTAAACTGATATACAAAAAAGAAAGACATATCCTTCCAACAAGTTGTTTGCTTAAAAAACAAATAAAACGTGGTCCCAAGCGTTAAAATCCACATGTACATAGAAGGCACAAGCTATACATTGTAAGTTGTAGGTCATTCTCAGATTAATTTTTTCTATTTCCTAACTAGTACTTTTTAAGCCTTCATATATTATACTTAGTGTAGATCTATTTAGCCTCAGCGGTCTGTGAAGAAATAGTTATAGATAGATCAGCCACTAGTTTAGTTAAGTCATTAAGCCTTAGCGGCCCATTTTAAATTATCTGTAGTGTTGTATTTTAAAATAATTAAGTTTAGTTTTGGTCCGGTTGGATGTAATGGCCACGCACAGGTTATCCTTTAGTGATTAGTACTTCCTCTGATATACCATATTCTATGAGTACAATCCATACTTCACTTACATATATGGAATTTCACTCAAATCCATATACATCACTCATTTGTTAATTAGAATAAAAAAGGATTCTATTGTGTTACGTCATCGTTAGTATATAAGTATTTTCTGTTTTCCTTTACCCGCGCACAAGGGCCACCCTTCTGCGGGCGCTTCATTTATTTGTCCTCTATATAATTCTATGTGTAATGGTTGTGTATTTTGGAGACAAATAAATATTACTATTACTATTAATAAATGAACTACTTCGATGTAATTTCAACTGTAAGATGATATCATATGCAGACGATACTGTTTTAGTTTGCACTGGTCATTCATGGGATGACGCAATACGGAATGCCGAGTTGTCATTAAATAAAGTCAAATGCTGGTTGGATAACAATTTACTTAAACTTAATATCTCTAAAACTAAGTATGTAACGTTTTCTCCAACCAAAGCAGGCATGCCATTACACCACCGAACATTAATTATAAATGATAGTGCTGACACTGTCGAAAGAGTTGATGTTATTAGATACTTAGGAATCACTGTTGACAGTAATTTAAAATGGCAGAGTCATGCCGAGCTTTTGTCATCGAAATTAAGGAGAATTATTCATAAGTTTTTCATTCTTAGGAATATTTTAAGCAGAAAGAGTCTTCTCTCAATATATAACTCGTTTGTGGGGTCTCTACTAACTTACGGGATAAGTATTTGGGGAGCCGCATACACTAGTACTTTGAAAATACTACAAACCACGCAAAATTATATTGTCAGGACTATTTTTCGTATCCCATGTAGGTCAAGTTGCAGATTTGTTTACATTGAAAATGATCTTTTGAATGTTAGAGGTTTATATATTTTTGCTGCTCTAAAATTTGTTCACTCCCGAAACAATGTTCCAACCAGCCACGCTTATGAAACAAGAACTAAAATAAATATAAGTTACACCTATACCAGAGTGAATAAATCTGTTTGCCAAAAATGCATAAAGTTTGATGGTATTAGGTTGTATAATAAATTACCCCTAGAATATAAAATCCTCTCGAAGTATAGTTTCAAAAAAAGAATTAAGAAGTTCATCTTAAATAACTTTGACATGCTTGCATCGACGGTAGCTTGACTCAACTCAGTAATTTCGTTTCTATCTAATGTTTTTTTTTTATTTCCTTTTTTTATATACATTTGCTCATAATATACTTTATGACCATTAGCCATGCATTGAATTTGTATATTGTATGACACACACAAGCGTATAGCTTAGGTTACTATTATTTTGTAGTAAATTGTAGTACTCTTGTTTCTCTGCTTAACCTTTATGCAAAATTTTTATTGTTTAAACAACATAGTTTGACCTTACTCGAAATATCCCTCTATCATATTTCAGATATTCATATTTTATGTACTCTATATTTATACTTCTGAGTGTTTTTAGTATGCTTCTGTACTATTGTTATGAATTTTAGATTTGTTTATGCAGAAACGTAATTTAGGATTTGTGACGACAAGATCCAGACATTTACCCTTTACGAAAGTATACAGAATTTTCACAATTCATATACCGTTACTTGCTGGTTCTAGATCTGATGCTAGTATCTTTGCTCAGATTTCTGTTGCAATCTTGGTTATTCAGGGTAGCAAGAGCATACAAGCTCATGTATTTTTGAAGCTTTTTTTATTTAAATTGTACTGAAGGTTGTTTTTAATTTGTAAGTTATATTGGTTTTTGAATTTGAATAAACTTTGAACTATTAAATTACACCCTGTATACAATTAACATCATTCATATCTGCTTGATCAATCTATACTTCGCGCTTCAATAGTATTTAGAAAAGTATATTAGTAGCAAATCACTTTTTCAATGAATGAAACTTACGTTTTTCTTCTTCTTCCTCGTCATCAGGTTGTTCTGGATTCTCTCTGAACTTAGCAATATCCTCTTCAAAGTCCTTGATATACTTTCTTAGCTTCTGTCTCATTGATGCCAGAGATTTACTGAAAACAGTTTCAAACTCTAGCAATACAATTTTCCATACAAATAAATTTGTAAATAATGACTGTCCTATCATTGTCTATTTTAGAAACAGCAAAAATAAACCTAAATTTGAAACAAATATAAATTACAATAATAGACAAAATCAAGATCTTAAATTAGTAGTACCTAAAGCAATACTTGTGAAAGAATCAATAATTTATAATGGTCTGAAAATTAACATGTGTCTTCCTGATTCTATCAAAAGAAATCATATTATTCATTATCTGAGTTTCAGAAATCACCCACTTAAGATCCACTTGAGTAATTATATTATAGTTTAGTTTTAAGTTAGCTGTGTCATTAAGAATGATTGTATTCTTCAGACAATAAAGCATATTTATCTATCTATCTATAACATTATTGTTATTCAAATTGCTTTGAATAAAATGGATAATGAGTTACAAATTAACTTGTAAAAATAGTATGCTTAAATGACGTATAAATAGTTAAATAGAATATAAAAAGTATGATGCATAAATGTAGCAAGTAAAATAATCAGTCAAATAGATAAATATGTAGTTATTAAAGGTTACAAAACTCTTGTAGAGAGTAAAAACACTTAGGGTACAGGAATGTTGAAAGATGTTTTTTGAAGACTTTAAGTCGTTGATGGCTTTTAACTTGGAGGGCAAATTATTGAAGATAGATCCACATAGTCACAGCTATTACATGATAATGACAAATATAACCAAATTCAGCAGAAATGTCCATACCTGTTATTTTTGCTCATATTCTTACGTCCTTCTCTATCTTCCCACATCTCATTGATGAAATCCTCCATTTCTGCCAAACAACGGATGAAAAAACGAGGAGTTTGACCATTTTCTTCCTTTGCTATTACTGGAATTGCCTTTGTGTATGCTTTTTGTAGATCTTCAAAACCTGTACAATATCCAAATATGAAGTATCTATAATGTATATTGGAGAGAGAATGACTATAGCCACATCAACATTTTTTGTTTCTTCTACAACTGGTTCAAATGTAACTTTATATAACTTACAATTACAATAAGCTTCTCTATCTACTTGTCATATTAATTTACAAATGAGCAGAGCAAAAGCCAAAAGTTCTAGATGGTGATATAATTATGCACTCTGGTTTAGTTAAAATCTCAACTATATAGCCATAGCTAAGATCTTTCAACTTCATATAAAACAGTCTACAATATCTGATTATATTGAAGCAAAATATATGTTAGCTAGTTTGAACTGTTTAAAATCATGATGCGTACTTACTATTCAGCATACTAGACATATCTTTGATCTTCTTGAAATTCCTGATCTGCTTGATAATATTGGTGAGTTCCTCGTATCTCTTCTCTTTAGCAGAGCGCACAACACGTTTGACCTCTTCCTCATCATCACTAAACTATAACGAACACATAACTCATGAACATTTTGCATGTGTGCAACTTGTTAAATTTAGCAGCAAATACTTACGGTGTACACTGGAACTTGGGCACGTTGAATTGGTTCCTCATCTGACGAACTCTCCGAGGACGAGTCTGACCGCGCGAAGAATCTGCTCATATTTCCTGAACTCCTGAAACAGAATGATGCAAACCTGAAAAAGGTTATGACGTATTGGACGTACTTTGCACAGGTTCACTGGTAAATTAACCGGCAATTAGGGGACTATGGCGTATTTACCTTCTCGTGTGAACAATAACTATTAATCACTTCCAATTAAATATAAATTTATCTCACAGGCATCTGGCATACGGGCCGATTTTGTAGAGAACGTGGAAAAGAGGTTATGTTTTGTTCCACTGAACAAGAAATCTTGAAGAATCCAACACAGCACACAAAATATTCATGGTTTATGTTTTCCCCATCAATTATAATTTAACTCATGATGATTGGTTCATTGCTTTAATTCCAACTGTCAAATTCTAGCAAGTAGCATTTTGATTGGTTCGCCAAAAGACTAGCCTTGCTTATATTTACGTCAAATAGGAATTCTTTCTTTCATGTGATTTTTCGACTAGATCATCAGTTGGGGGGTGAAACGTCTCAAGCCGCTCCCACACGATGTGGCGAATGCCTTGTTACAGCGTTGGACACATGGCTATTCGCCACATCTTGTGGGAGAGCGCTGACGGATTGCATGTGTCCAACGTTCGCCACATGCTCTTGTCGGTAAATTTGACCGCGTCAAAGGACGTTACAATGCTTCTCGAACTTGAAGAGTTTCGACCATTAGCTAAAACTAACCATGGACCAGTAAAACCAGTGGTAATCATGACGGTTGATGGAGGGCCAGATGAAAATCCACGTTATCAAAAAGTCATAGGGTTTGCTATACAACACTTTAAGCGACATGATCTCGATGCATTATTTGAAGCTACCAATGCTCCTGGAAGAAGTGCGTATAACAGAGTAGAGCGCAGAACGGCTCCTCTTAGTCGGGAACTAGCTGGTTTAATATTGCCTCATGACCATTTTGGGTCTCATTTGGATGAACATGGCGTTACAATTGATGCGAGCAAACACACAACACTGAGCAGCAATCGAAGCAATCCAATGTCATCGAAAACTTAGAATCATGGATTCGGTTTTCATGGACTGAAGACTGTTAATTTGAATTTAATATATGTACCAAAAATTTAAAATAAGTTTGTTATGTTAGTGAGATATAATATTTTTGTCCTTTACTCTATGTTGAATACCGTATCAGTAAAATATAATCTCTATCATAAATCTGTTTTCTTATTTTTCAAATTATAATTATAACGTTATAATTATAATATTAAAAAAAACAATACATTAATTGACAAATGTTTACGTAAGCATGGGGGGAGGGGGCAAGAGCTTTGCTTACTTTTGCTGACAAGGGGTTGGGGGGGGGGGGGTAAATAATTCTAATAAATCTGCTTACGTAATACTTGAACGGCCCCTATCACTATTTTGATGGAATTTTGACCCCAGGTTACTACTATCAAAATGACGAAAAAGCTCTGCAGTTTTTGAAAATCGGTACAGTGGCAGTGGAGCTATCGTTGAAAAACAAACAAAAAACGGTCAAATTTCGTTTTTCGACATTTTCTAGGCTTCTGACAGACTTAAGTTTTGGTCGCTGAGGACAGATCTGAAATTATTTTTCCTTCAGTTGTAAAGGTTAAAGCGCGACACTGACACCGATAATAGACGTTGGCGCTACCATGCGTCGTACGCCCGAGACTAAAAAATTCATCCCACCGTGTAGGAGCTAGGAGACGCACTTGCCAATTGCCAAGGTGTAGGGTGTCGAACGTTGTACAACGCTGGAAGCATCTTGTGGGACCCGCATAAAAGACTCGTTCTTCCAACCACCTTTATTTGCTATAGTAGGTGTCAAACACAAAGAAGACTTAACGATTCGTTATCATTTTTGTTGTATTCAAAACTCTCTAGTTCTTTTCCGCATCAGATGTATACTTTCAAAAGCATTAAAGCACACAATCTTTGACAGGTGTCACCAATTGGCGCTGCAAGCGGGCAAATGTCAATTTTCCGTCATTGCACAACAATTCCGTGTTCCGTACTTTCGATCCTATTATTCTGTGGTGTCCAATTTGTCAATTTGTTGTATTTTTGTTTGTGGAAACATTTTACGAGGATGAGACCGCTAAATTACTAATCTGTATAGTATGGCTCTTCAAAATAATAAACAGAAGCGCTGTTGCGTGCTAGGTTGTCAATCGAATATCGTAGTTAAAAATTGCAAATTGTTCAAGTTTCCGACCGATTTTGACTCATGTCAGAAGTGGAAGTTTGCTTTGAAGTTAATCGGTACAATTTCGGAGAACCATTGTGTCTGCGCATCGCATTTTTGCAATGATGATTTTGTAGGTATGTAATAGAACTAATAAATCAAAACCAACAGAATACAATTGGTACAGTCAAATGCAAATAAACTTTAAATCAATTTGCCTATGACATCTGTCATTTTCGTTTTTTTTATGAACAAATAACGAGAGGGCGCAATGTATGACGGTGATTATTTGAAATTTTGAAGCAAACCTTCAAAATATGGTCACCCCGTTTCTTAATTTTCTTAAGCTATATCCACACCCGTATTTCTGTTTCAGACTGCCATTTTTGCGCTCTCTTAAGACATACAAGAGGATGTTTATGTATTTATAGGATATGGGCATTGAAAACTAATATGAAAATTGCCATGTTTATAGGGACATGAAAATATTATAATAACTTTTTGTTACAAAATTACCATTTTTATGTATGGCTAGATAATTTGGAACATTAAGTTCAAATAATATGACCATTAAAAAATAGTATAGTGACCTATGAAATTGAATTTGCTGAACATGAACTACCTGGCACTCCCTCCTTATGGTTTATATCCAAATTGGGCCCAGATTCGGATTTAGGGCACCAGATTTTTTTCAAAAAACGAGTCTTTGTCGTGACTGTATGCAGGGGTTTTGAAATCCTGTCATAGAAAGTCTCAAAAAATTACAACCAAACGAGACCTGGAACATTCAAGCAGTTTGGGATGCTGAATGCGATTGTAACCTTCAAAAAAATTGTGAAGGGTCATGGAACGAAATTTGACTTAAATAATAGTTCACATGGCATTTTTAACAGGACCTGCTATCTGGATGCAGAGTCTACAAGTTTGACGCTAATCTTTTTCCAGGTGGGTCAAGAGGCAAGAAACAGTTGAAGAAAGGTGTAGTACCCAGTCAGAACCTTCCACGAGAACATACCTACATGAAATTCGGCAATCCTAATAGGGTAATTGCATGGTCATTAGACAGAGTGGCATTAAGGCCCATATCGTCAGTCGTCCCTACAATAATTGTAGGGCGCGTTTATGGCCTCCTTGATTGTCATAGTTTTCTACTTCTCCGTGTCAGCGCTCTATTTTGAGATTATGTCACAAACATCGATTTGCATCAAATTGTGCTTGCTTTTGAGTTATATCATGTTTTATCAGCCTGAAATTTCCTACAATTTAAAAGGAAAGCAAATCTTCACAATAGGAGAGCGCTGACACGGGACAAGTGTAATCTAGAAATTTTTGAAGGAGAGAAAGCAGTATGACAATCAAGGAGGCCATAAACGCGCCCTACAATTGTAGGGACGACTGACGATACGGGCCTAAATATCTGTCCACACCTTAAAAGCTTGGCGACCATACATTTTGAAGAAGAACAAAATTAACGCAAAAGTGTCTGCAGAAATTTATTTGTGATGTCAAATATATGACATTCATGATGATGTAAGATCATTTTGAGGTCCAGTTTGCAAATTAAAAAAATAAAATATGTGGTTACCAAGTTCTTGAAGGGATATATGAGCCCTGTCTCAGTGAAGTTGGCCCAACTATCCAAACTGTTTTTTATGAAATTTTTCATATTACTGGAAACATATTAAAAAGTAAATGTATTTCAGATAACATACAATATTTTTATTTAATATTAGCCTAAAATACATTTTTTTGTAACAAAGAAAAATATCTAACTAATTAAAAAAACTTCCTATTAATAAAAATCAACGATACCAAATAGAAGCAAATCACTACTGCATAACATCTTGTTTTCTGGTGAATAGTGCTTCGATACGTCTTGACGTTCTGTCAACTTATGCTTGGCAGTCATCTAGTGTAAAACTGTTCCAAATTTTAAAACTGAAATATTGTTTTCTAACATCCAACCTTTTACTTTTTTAGCCATTTGGCAAGCAGCACCATCTTGTTGGAAGATACATTCAATATTGTTTAAATGCATTTGTTCAGTTAGGGGTATTAAGTTATTTTGATGCACATTAATGTACTCATCAGCATTCATAATATACTAAGTGACATATAAATCCGAACACCCAGTTTAAATGGTTCTATTTTAATAAAATTTTGTATAAGTACTTAATGAAGCATAATAAGTAAATGATAAAAATTTCAAAATGATTGCACTGCTTTAAAGCATTTGACCTTTAATAATGTGTGGATGCACCCTGATGTGCTACGCATTCTCCAACGTGCCTAGGCATGCTTCTGATCAGGTGGTCAATGTCCTCCTATGGTATCTCATTCCAGGCAACCACCAACTCCTCTCGAAGTGCTTCTAGAGTCTGAGGAGGACGTTGCAAATTGAGCAATCTCCTACCCATCATATCCCACACGTGCTCAATTGGGGATAAGTCGGGAGATCTTAGTGGCCATGGTAACAATGTGACATCATTATGTTGAAAGAAGTCTATTGTGACTCTTGCAACATGTGGTCGGGCATTATCTTGTTGGAAAGTTGGATCTGCCAGGGTGTCAAGATAGGGTAAAAGATGGGGTTCTAGAACTTTGTGGATATAACGCTGCGCGTTCATGTTACCTCTGATGAAGATTAAAGGTGACCTGGAACCATGAGCTATAGCACCCCAAACCATAACTCCAACAGTGTGATGAACATGTCTTTCAACAAAAAACTGTGGATTCCTCCTTTCACCACGTCGCCTTCTAATCCTGGCACGACCATCGTGCATGCCTAAACAAAATAGAGACTCGTCACTAAAGACAATACTGTTCCATTCCTGATCCCAGAGAGACCGTTGTCTGCACCACTCAAGGCGATTACGTCGGTGTTCTCGAGTTAAAGGGAGGACCCAGTGTGGCCGGTATGAAAACAAGCCAAAACTTCTCATTCGTCGGTAAACACTTCGCATGCCAATAGGTCTTCCGTGTTCTGCAAACCATTCATTTGCAATCGACCTGGTAGTGGAGAAACGGTCCCTTAAGGCCAATGATCTTAGGCGGCGATCTTCACGGTCTGTTGTTCTACGGCGGCGTCCAGTGCCCCTTGCTCTTTGCGTACGGCCTTCTCGAAGCCATGCCTGACAACACCTAACCACAGTGTCTACACTTCTTTTCACTCTAACTGCAATTGCCCGAAAAGAAAGTCCAGCTTCCCGAAGTCCCACTATACGGCCCCTATCAAACTCACTAAGTTGACGAAATCGTACAGGTCTCCGTACTCTAGGCATCGTAACCGATCGTAAAGAATGTCAAGAACCAAAATCCGCCAACGTGGATTCTTTACTGCGGCTGAAATATTTATTTTTAGAGCGTTAGTGAATTAAAAAAAAGCAGTATAAAAACCGGAATGTCCAACTGATAAGGCTGAAAATTTTTTCACTTGTTATTTACAGTAAGATAAATACATTCACCAACTTTTATTAAAATAAAACCATTTAAACTGGGTGTTCGGATTTATATGTCACTTAGTATACTTTCCACAAAGTAAGTTTCCCACTCCACTTGCTGACATGGATCCCCAAATCATAATAGAAGCAGGACATTTTTTTAAGACAGTTATTCTGAAACATTTCTTCTTTAGTTCTTATGACAGGACTCCTACTATCACCAATGCATACTTCAAATCTGGTTTCATCACTACAAATAATGGGGTTCCATTGGTTCAGAGACTATGTACTTTGGCACACGCTAATCTGTTTTTCTTCTGAATCTTGGTCAGTAATGGCTTATCTTTTGCATATAAATACTTGAAAATGAATAATAAGAGAATAATTTGCACCCTGATTTTAATTGAAAAGCAGTTTTAAGGCTCTTAAGTTGGTATTGAAATAACGCGGGCGGCTTCCAGTTTTGGGTTTTTGAACCACAGGTTCCGTTGTTTTGTACAGTTTAATAACATTTCGAATTGTTTACCACCATTTGTTAACACTGTCAGCGATTTGGCCTTTTAAATGCAAGTGAAGGATCACTTTTCTTATTTCATCAGAAACACCTTTACTACGAGCTATTTTTCATTGTTAGCAATATCACCAATTCATTGAAAGTTGATTTAAACGTCAAAAACCGGCTACTTAACAACGTAAAATACTATCATTTGTTTTACAAAGCCTACCTTTATTTTATCGAAGTGAATAAACAGACCATTCAACTTGAGTTGTCTCCATCTTGTATTTTGCTATACACAAATCATTTTGCAATGAAGATAATTTAGAAATAAAAACACTTTGAAAAACTGCGTCGGTTTTGTTATTTTTGCATATACATTCAAATAATATAATGTTTCTACAAGATATAATTTTGTTGCAGAGCAAAGTAACAAAAGTAACAAAGGTGGTAAAAAAGCCCTCTGACGGCGACAAGATTGTGAAAGTGGTCCAAAAGCCCCATACAGCTTCCTCCACGAGCATATCCATTAATATCACGAATCCATCTCCTAATTCCACTATTACAAAAACGCCAACGTCGACATTGCAATATGCGTACCTTCACAACGGCAGTGCTTTCGATATTCACCCATGGAGCAGCGACAGCACCTCGATGGTTGGCACCACGCCCATGTCGCCCCAACAGGACCCACTGGCGTTGGGCACCAACAAGACACCGCTAGATCCTTTAGCGTTCCGATATATTCCTGCTTTAACCGATACACCTAATACTAAAGGTAATATCACAGTATATAGCCATAATCATGAAAAAATTGTTTCAATCGAATCATTTAAATATTTGGGCATACGTAGACAGTAAATTATAATTTGAAGGGCACTATGAATATATTATTTCAAAAATATCCAAGAAATTAAATTACTTTTATAGAATTTCGCATAGCCTAAGCGTTTATTCTATAAAAATTGTGTACAACACTATCATTCTTCATTTGTTATATTTTTCGACTATTTTGTTCACTGCAAATGAAGCTGTATTTTCAAAATTACAAATATTACAAAATAAAGCTATGACAATCATCTTGAATAAAAATAAATATACTAGAATAAATTTTATTCTGAAAGAACTACAATATCAAAAATTTCATAGCCTACTTCGTTTTCATTTTCATATTCAAGTTAAAATATCATCTTCGACCAAATCACTTAGAAAATTTGATTGTATTGAACAATGAGTGCCACAATTATTCTACTAGATGAAGTATAGACTTTATTAAAAACATATCTCATGGAAAACCAGAATTCATAGTAGTGAAATTTTGTATAAAAATATGTAATCTTGAAGACATAATATATTTTATGATATACTGTATAATATGGATATTATGGACATTATAGCATTAATGCTAAATAAATCTAAAACAAACAAACAAACACTGAGCACTGAGGACAAATGGTTAAAAGCTTAAAAAGAAACGTTTTCACTTATAAAAAAGGCAAAATTAATGTTTTTGATGTGAATGCAGTGGGTATCAAAGGAGGAACATGATATAACAGCAAGAAATCAACCGTACTTGCATTAAAACTTGAATACAAACATATACGATAAAAGTAATTATTCCTTAACTGATTTGCAGATACAAGACAATCAATTCAAAAACCAAAGACGACGAGTAAACAGGGCCCTAAAACCAGTACAAGATTAACATTAGTTCAACGAATTCTCGACGACGCAATTCAGAAAGTGGATACTGCTTTATTTATTAAAGATAACCATGTTGCATTTGGTGTAAATGAGGTAAAACGACGTTTACCTTTTATATTCATTTATTCCTTATCTTGTTTACCTTGTTATAAACGATGTCCCATTTAATCTCCCTACCTAGATACAAAAAAAATTTCAAATAAAAGTTTTACGGTTTGGAGGGGTCAATATGATGGTGATATTGACCTATGACCTTTTAGGTCCTTTCAAGGTCAAGTCAATAATTCCAAATGAAACCCCCTTTTTTCACAGCGGAATTGAAAAGAGGAGCAATTTTTACGTCCAAACATCGCCTTCGAAGCTATTTAAAGATCAAAATAAGGCATCAGAAACCATTTTGCTCTAACAAAAATGGTCGACAGCACAGTTGTGAGAATTTGGTGGATCACCCAAAGGTGAAAATATATATGAGATGACCTGTAAGGTCGCAGTCAAGGTCACTACCATTTTGCCCCTTCAAGACTCTAGAACTTTCGTTTGAAACGTTTTTTCTAGAATGTGCAGTTTTTATATATATATATATATATATATATATATATATATATATATATTTATTTTTATACCGAAGCAGCCGCGCAGGCAGAAGCCTAAATGCCAGGGCACCGCGGCTGCTATGAGGATCCCGAAGAAACTTTTTTGAACTGTCTAAGGTTAGTAGAACTGGGAAAAGCCTCTTGTAGATCGTTCGACAATCTTGACACCCTAGGAACAAAGGAGCGATCGTAAAGGCAAGTTCTGGAGCCATTTAAAGATCAAAATAAGGCATCAGAAACCATTTTGCTCTAACAAAAATGGTCGACAGCACAGTTGTGAGAATTTTGCGGAACACCCAAAGGTGAAAATATATATGTGATGACCTGTAAGGTCGCAGTCAAGGTCACTACCATTTTGCCCCTTCAAGACTCTATAACTTTCGTTTGAAACGTTTTTTCTAGAATGTGCAGTTTTTATATAAATTTATTTTTATACCGAAGCAGCCGCACAGGCAGAAGCCTAAATGCCAGGGCACCGCGGCTGCTATGAGAGAGAACTGGGAAAAGCCTCCTCTTGTAGATCGTTCGACAATCTTGAGACCCTCTTTTCTGGTTAAACTGTACAAGATTGTTGCGTCCCCAAGCAGTGATAACCTCCAGGTCTCTCGTCAGAGAGGAAGTCGCTGCTATATTTAGGTGGGGAGTTTAAAATGTGACACCGTGCTGAGTGAAAATGCTCTTTTTCAGAAATTAGGTCTGACTTCGGAAACAGCGGAAAAAATCACCATCCAAACGCAGAATAACGCTAAAGTGATGGAATTGCTGGTAGTGAAAAACAATCCAATAATCAACAAACAGGTTGACGAAGCATTCAAGGATATCGACCAAGCGATCGATAAAGCTTTAAACAAACTCAACGCTCACGACCTGAAATCGGTAAGTTTTCAAGTTCCATATCCACCCTATCACTAATTTAATAAATAATCTAACGCTAACACTAAAATTTCGTTTCAGTCTTCGTATCCCAGTTATTGCAGAGGTACCCAGACTACCACAGACGCTATCGAGGTGGGTATTTAGGTATAGTTGTAGTTATACCATTCTTCTGCTACTCTCTCTAGTACGCATGAAGTGGGTAACAGGGGACCGCTGTCCACTGTTTTCATTCTCTTCCTGGAAATACTCTAATAAATTTAGGACGAGCTGAATGATAGAGGGGCATTCATACGTAACGACAAAGTTTTCGAGACGGAGACACAACTAAAAAACGTATGTCTTTGAGCTTACCGATCACACACAGTGGTAGGTCGCAGGTGTATATACAGGGTGGCCCATCCATGTGTGGACGGAATATTACTCATAAACAAATACAATTTGAGAAAATCTATTTTTGTGGGATGTTATACATGACGTTTGAGGGCACATTTCTAAAATATTGGCCATTATATAGGGTGTCCCAATTCCGACCTACATATCAAAGTGGATATTTTTAAAATGGGATGCCTCAAATTTTATTGCATATTTGGGTAAACCAATATTTTAGAAATGTACCCTCAAATGCCATGCATAACATATGTCACAAATAGATTTTCCCAAAATGTATTTGTTTATGAGTAATATTCCGTCCACACATGGATGGGCCACCCTATATAAGGGAGATATAGTCAAAATCACGAAAGATGACTATTACGTCATACCATAAATTGTACTGAAATAATCAATGGACGTACGTCGATGATAAAATCGCGATATCAGGAACATAATGACAATAAATTTATATTATGATTTTGCGAAGCTAGGTTATTTACTGATTATTTTTATTTTCATCTTATTTCATGGTTTTGAGTGAAACCTTAATAATAATTTTAGTGGGGAATTTTTGTTTTGAAAAAAAAACCGTTAAGAGTAGAATCCTTAAGACAGGAACACGAAAGACCAAAGTATTATTCAAAAACAACCTAACCTGCTAACTATATATTTTTCAAATATATGATGATACAACATGAAAACATCGTGTATCTTTGTAGAATACATGCAAATTAGCAATACAGTTTGTTTAGACAATAAAATTCTTTTTGTCTCAGTCTAACATATCTGAAACTTCATTCAAAATATTCACAAATCGCTGATGTTTGTCTTTGCTACAGACTAAAATGATGACGTAATCGTCATCTTTCGTGATTTCAACTATAGACATATATAAAGGGATGCTGGTAGTGTTACTTTGACCCGCCAAGAACGGTGACTACAACTATATGAGCTGCAGCGGTGATTCGTGTTTATTATAAACGAAATTTTAGGAGGAGAATCAGCGATTGAAATCGGAAATTCGATCCCTGAAATGGGAACTACAGAAGAAGAAAGCAGTATTGACAACACCCACGAAAACGACGAAAAAGCTGGTTTACTGGGTGAAAGAACCCGGATCGAGCGCTATCAAAACTCCAACGAAAACTGTGTGTAAGAAAACGGTGACACTATCTTCTAAGAAACCGGGAATGTCTCCCAGGAAAACTCCAGTTCCAGCCGTCGTAAAAAAATTCACACTGCCGTTGATCACATCCGTGACTAGTTTAAGTACTGCAGAGATGGATGATGTTGAAAAAACTGCTGACGCCGTCGACGCCTGTGTTGAAGATAAACTTTCAAATGACCACACGAATACAACAACTGACTCCACAAATAAGGCAAATGATATCGTTGATCTCACAGATTAGATTATTTTTGTGTATATGAAGAAATGTACAGCACCATTTTCGTGTTGCTTGCGTAACTTAATTTTTGTTAATATGTTCGTAAATTAGTTTTAGGTTTTTTAAGATTGTATCAAAATGAAGCAAATCACAATCCATACAAAATAAAATGGTCAAAATATATTCATGTTAACCGATTCTTGGAAGATTATTCTTGCATAGGTATATTGAGAAAAATAAAATTATTCCTGTGAGCCAGAAGTTTTTGCGATGTTCGATGGATGCGGTGAATTACGTACTTCCAAATAAATACAGCAAAATAAGGAAACATCTCAAAGTAAAAGAAGTCGGGATAAGCACAAATTTTCACACAATCACCCACGTTTGAAATATACAATCCACTCTTTATCATAAAACACACATGCATACAAACCCATATATGCTTCTTACCAACCTTTGCATTGCATTTCCATATTTTCTTCATTTTTTTTGTTTGCCACAAACCTTTAAAAAAATCAATAGAAATATGACATTCAACAAAAGTTTTCAGTAAATCTCTAAACTTGTTCAAAAATCGCTAGATCTAAAGAAATCTCACAAGATCTGGCAACGTTGACTCATAACTAGTACTACTCATAGTAATCAAAGTAACGAATACTCGAAAGTAACGACAATCAACAACTCTAGCCTGTTTGTTGTTGCCGACAGCTCCGGGCTGCGTTCATAAATTGCTACAGAGTGTACTTTGCACTACTATGTAACAATTTTAGCGTTCCATGTGTTCGCTAAGTAATGCTTCTGAAACGTCAGAAATGCACTTTTCTTCCCGTCCCTAAAACCCTGGGAATAAGACTGTTGGCACTTGTCATCCTTATGGTTCATTGCTTGATGACTTGGTCTATCAAAAAGTACTCAGAAATGGCAAAATATATATGTTTAACGATAAAAGCACTGTCTCGTATCCATAGCGTTTAATGCAGTAGAAAAATGTTGACAGAAAACCTAGTTAAAAATTAGTATGCCATCATCAAGTGTCCTTATAAGACTTTGTAATAATTTAGGCGTTCTAAAAACAAAGTTACACAGTATTCCATTGCTGAGTACGGTATTACATTACCAAAAATGAAGCTCAAGTACAATAAAAATATCTAATACCCGGCAAATTTCTAACTTGTCACATTTCAAATAATAACCAGAAATATAAAACTACTCCTGAGTTGGGTGAATACCACAATTTTACGGGGATAACTATGATATATAACAGCTGATCCATGACGTCACTGATCTTATAACCACACTCGCTTGAACGGATCGGTAAATACCATTTTCATTTGGTTGTCCGCTTGAATTTGATTCAAGTGATTTTCAAACGCATCCCTGGCTGGACGATTCTGTTAATTGTCATTTGTCAAAACGAATGACATTTGACGTTTATTAACATATGACAGATGACAAATAGAATAAAAGATCCAGAACAAGTACAACACTTCTAGTTATGTTGAATTTAACTAATTAGGTAACCTGGGAAAAGTAAAATACGGTTGAAAAAGTGTGTAATTTTCCTAAACGAAAGTAGCAAGTAGCACACCTTAAAAGGACAGTGACAATAATCTACCGGCGTTACACTTGTGTCCAAATAGTGTGTCAAGTTTGACTGAAAAAATGGCGGATCCAGGCTACAAGAGTCGTCTCCAAAATTTCAAGAACAGAGGCAAAGATCAAGATGTAAGTCAATTTTTAGCAGAATATTTGTTAACCTAAAACCCAAATATTGATACTCAAGTATATTTTTTATATGATTACGTGTTTAACCGTAAGCAAAGCCTCCTACAACATTGCATGATGAGAAAACGGGAATAAATTTTGAATTTAATAAAATTGTAGGAAATGCGACGTAGAAGAAACGAAGTCACGGTGGAACTTAGGAAGAACAAGCGCGAAGAAACGTTACAAAAGAGACGGAACGTGCCGGTGGTAGACTCTACAGATGAAGACGATATCGAAAAATCTCTTTCGAACACAAATCTAGAGCAGCTAGTGGCCCAGGCAGCTGCCGACGATAATCCTCCACTTCAGCTTATGGCCATTCAGTCAGCTAGAAAGCTTCTATCTTCAGACAGAAACCCTCCAATAGATGCTCTAATTGATAGCAAAATACTGCCTATTCTAGTAAAATGCTTAGAAAGGCAAGACAACCCTGCGCTACAATTTGAAGCAGCTTGGGCTTTGACCAACATTGCATCTGGAACCTCGGCTCAAACCAACAAAGTTGTGCAAGCTGGTGCTGTGCCCCTATTTCTCATGTTGCTGCATTCACCACGTCAGAATGTCTGTGAGCAGGCAGTTTGGGCATTAGGCAATGTTATAGGTGAGTCATATTTTACTGTGGTGCTATTGTTATAAGACTTAGACTTCCCAATCATTAATAAAAAAGTCACTTTACATTCTAACCATTAAAATATTCTAAAAGTTATGTGACAAGTGAAATATGTGACACTGCAGCTTAAAATGAACAAAAAGTCAAAACATGAGGCTTCCAGCTAGAAATTGTTTTGCATACTATTTTTCAAATGTATGCAATCAGATGATACCTGACATTTTTAGTCAAAACATGGTATTACCCTGCACTCTAGCAGTTTCACATCCCTCCAAGACAATCTTTATGACATACAAACAAAGAAGCTCTAATTTTGCCTCTTCACAGAAAGGTAAATCTGGAGGATATAGAAAATTACAACTACATTCACATGGTCTTAGAGGTCTCATTTTAAACTGCATCAAATCATAGTTATTGAAGAGAAGTAAGAATTGATTACGTCTGATAGATACCCAGTTTACCTTGGTGTACTGTAAGGATCAGTGTTTTGACCATTGTAATTTATACCTTCCACATTTCATTTTGAAGGGTAAAGTCACAATGTTTGCTGATGACACTATCACTTTCTGGCAGTTCTGTTGAAGAACATTCTTGATAGTTTTTGAAGAGATAGAGCTTTGGTGTGTATGGAATGAGTTCATACTAAATAAAAAAAATATTCCTTCAATCACTACAATAGCTTTAAATAATCCGCTTGGATTGTAGTTGGTAGACAATCTTAAGCTAGTTGGTAGCTAGTGTTCTACAGTTATGACTTTTGAATCTTAATGCTGTACGTAGAGATTTGAGGGATATTGATAGCTACTGTAGTTTTAAAAGAATGGTTTTCAATTATCTAACTGCTAGATGTTTTTATTCAATTGACGAATTCTTAAATTGTGGATGATTATTGTTAGGTGATGGACCTGTACTGAGAGATTACGTCATTCAGTTAGGGGTGGTAGAGCCACTATTGTCTTTCATCAAGCCCGAGATTCCCATTCCATTTTTGAGGAATGTCACATGGGTCATAGTTAACCTATGTAGGAACAAGGACCCACCACCACCAATGGCTACAATTGAGGAATTGCTGCCTGCACTCAATGCTCTTATACATCACACAGATGTTAATGTAAGTTATAGATACATTTCAAAGGTGGAATTATGAACAAGTTTTCAGTACATCTATAGTATTAACGTATTTTCTAAGTGTTTGTTCAATCCTAGAACAATAATCATGTAGTAAAAGCAAATCATAGATCTAGCACAGGTATGTAAAGTAATTATAGTTTTTAATTGAACCATTTACTTTCTGTTGTACATTACAATTTAAAATTATTGTTTAAACATTACATCAAAAAATAAGATAACAATTTTGCAACGAACAGTATGAGTAATAGTAGTGCTGATGGGGAGGCAAAACCTATCCCAATTTTGACCCCATCGCTTGAACAATGTATCTACTTCTTATTGAATTATCTAGCTCCAGTGATGTGTTCCACCTATTTGATCTTGCACCAATCTCTTGTGTACATTTATAGACAAACAAAAAATCCATGGATCGAGATGTAACCTCCGAGGGTGGTATTCGAATGCGCGAGCCGATGTGCTGGCACCTAGACACTTTAATGAAGCTGACTACCCAAACCCAAAGGACAATGTGAACAATATCTTTTTTAAGTCATGGCATACTTGAACAAGTTCCTTGATCTTTTCATTTCCAGTAACCAAAAATAGGTGTTTCCGTTTAAGAAAACCGTCTTGATCTTCAAATGAGCTGTAAGGTCGTAGTCAGGGTGACTAAATGTATATTTTCAAACCTCACAACTTTATTACTCAACATTTTTCTTTATGAAACGTATTTTTCGAGATACTTTGTCCCATCCCTATTTTCTGAAGACCCTCAAAAACCGATGAAAAACAAGGCACTATACAGATCTTCACATTTTCTGAGCTTCTGTTACTACAGCAGACGCTCGATAACGTAAACACGGGAAAACTTGCGCTAATGTAAACACAAACTTCGTTCTATAGGATCAAACGGAACGCGCGATAACGTAAACAATGTGTACGCTCGATAACGTAAACAACTCTCGGCGCACGGAAACAGCGCGACGGTAAAATGCTGAAGCCTCGATGATTTATGTCGGGCGTCGGGGAGTCCCCGATTTATGATGTAGAGTGTAGGGGATTCACATCTGCGATAAAATACGACACACTCGGTCAGTCGTATGATCGTTTAGGATACGTTTATACGTACGTATGTATTTCATTTTTGAACTTAAGTGAATACAATGCACGCGTTAATATATTTTACGACTATGGCATCCACATCCTATAAAAGAAAGTGTTTAAAGTTGAGTGAGAAAGTGAAAATCATAGACGAAGTTGCACTAGGTGCGGGAGTGACACAGTTAGCAAAAAATATGGAGTATCGAAAGCAACAATCTTTAAAATTAAGCGTATGAAAACTCAAATTTTACAAATAACGTGCAATACATTTGGAGGTCCGGGAAAAAGAAAAACTTAAAAAAATGCGAAGGCACCGAAAATGGAAAATTCCCTGTATAAGTGGTTTTTAAAATAACGGGAAAATCATTTCCCAGTTAGTGGCGAAGTACTTAAACAGAGAGCGAGACTGTTAAATGAAAAACTGAAAGAAACTGAAAATTTCGTAGCTAGTGATGGCTGGCTACAATGATCCAAACAAGATATGGAATTCGACTGCTGTCTATATCTGGTGAAAAATTATCGGCACAACCACAATTAGTGCAACCATTCAAAGAAAAATTGATGAAAACAATTACTGAGCTAGATTTAAGAATGGAACAAATTTACAACGCAGATGAAAGTGGCCTTTATTGGAAAATGTTACCAGAGAAAACCTGTGCTGCATCATTTGAAAAATCTGCCCCGGGAAGAAAGCCGGAGAAACAACGAATAACGTTTCTAGCCTGCACTAATGCTAATGGTTCACACAAAATAAAGCCACTGGTAATTGGGAAAGCAAAAAATCCGCGCTCATTTAAAAATGTTAATATCCCTGTTGATTACGACTGTTCAAAAACCGCTTGGATGACTAGCAGTATATCCCTGAAATGGTTCCACAGGTGCTTTGTCCCTCAGGTATGACAATCAATTATCACAAATGCTCTATTCATAATTTGAAGATGTGTTTTCAATTTGTAGGTAAAAGGTTTCCTAAAACAACAGAAGCTTCCAATAAAAGCGTTGTTACTATTGGATAATGCACCAAGTCATCCTCCCGAGCAACAACGGAGGAGCAGGGATGGGTCAATTTTCGTCATGTACATGCCGCCCAACGTAACACCTCACCAAACTATACTATAGGAAGTTTCTACTTTCGTCTATCTTATCAAAGAATCCTGAAAACTTATCTGAGTATCTATCTAAGTAACATTACAAGAAGCTGTTTTAGATTTACATATGGCCTGAATGAACTTAACCAGCAAACTATTCAAAAATGTTGGAACAATCTCTTTTGTACCAATAATGGAGGTGATGAAGAAGACGATGTCCCCTTAAGCGTAATTAGAGAACGTTTGCGATCCAATAATGATAATGTTATTAGTGTGTCATTGGATGTTGTTGATTTATTGAAAACAGTGAATCCCAACATTGTTTGTACTCCTGCTGATATTAATTTATGGAACGAAGATAAGCAGACGAATGATGCTGATAAGGAGGAGGATATGGACAGTGAGGATGATGAGAACGATCCCATTGAAGTCAGAAGTGTAGTGACTGACGCGCAAGCTATACAAGTTTTTAACCAAGCTTTAGATTGGGCTGAAAGAAAAGAAGTTTCATACACGGATATTTTAGTTCTTCGTAAATTACAAGCGCAAGCATTGGAAGACAATGCTGAGCGCAAATTTACGCAGATAAAAATTGTCAACTATTTTTCTTCTAATTAAAAAAATACTTATCGCTGTTAGAATATTTGTTTATTTTGTTATAAATAGTATGTATTAAACGTTTCTTTTAATAAATCAAATATTATATAAATCACGTTCGCTAATGTAAACATTTCGATAATGTGAACCACACTTGGATTAAATTAGTTTACATTATCGAGCGTCTGCTGTATTTACACCATTTTTGAACTCACTGTGTTTATAAAAACAAATAATGCACTGAAGAAACATATTTTTAAGATTTAGTAAAAAATAGAACACTCAAAAATATTCTTCCTATTTTCACAAATGCTTTTTTTACTTGATTTAAAAAATTGCAAAGATTGTATTTATTCTTGAAATGAAGTGTCCATTTCTTGGTATAAATTGAGAATTGTGTATTATAACATATGTTTTCATTATTCTTTTAGATTCTGGTAGACACAGTATGGGCGCTGAGTTATCTGACGGATGGTGGAAATGACCAAATTCAAATGGTCATAGATAGTGGAGTAGTACCCAAGCTTATCCCCTTGCTTAGCCATAAAGAAGTTAAGGTTCAGACTGCTGCATTGAGAGCTGTAGGAAATATTGTCACCGGTACAGATGAACAAACACAGGTGAATTATCTAAAATATTTCATTCCAATATTTCACAAGTTGTCTTCAAAAATTGTTGAATGCAGTGAGAATTAAATTTCTGAAATGTTTTTATCTAGATATAACAAATTATATTTAATGTATAGGTTGTTTTGAACTTTGATGCTTTGTCGCATTTCCCTGCACTGTTGACCCATCCTAAAGAAAAGATCTGCAAAGAAGCTGTATGGTTTTTGAGTAACATAACTGCAGGAAATCAGTCTCAAGTGCAAGCAGTTATAGATGCTGGTAAGTAGTTTGACATATAATAAAAATAATGGAAAAGAAGGAAAATATATTTTATGGCAAACTTTACAATCCTCATTTTCTTATAATTATATAGCAGGATATTTCTAATACTATTAGCATATTTTAATGTTCTATATCTTGGAAATATCTCTGCTTCACTTCCTTGGTACATTTTTACAAACATTATTTATCAGAGCATCTCAAAAATTATTGTGAGTAAACATACAGGGTGACCCAACGAAAAGGTGGCACCCTAATTTGTGAGTCCTGGTATGTCTTGGGAAAAACGCTAAGACACGTCAATTTTGATTTCTAGGGGGACGTATTTTCATCTATAGCCATACAATACAGGGTGATCCAAAAATAAGATATTGTGTTACACTTTAGAATTTAAATGGAAGCACTTATTTTTTCAATTTTTAGTCTCTCGATGAAGTTTTTAGTAACTTTTGTATAATAAAGTTTATATACCTATCTTGTATTGTTACGAAGCATAGTTTACACGCACATTAAAGTTGAAGTAAAAATTAATTTCATATAAAGAGGTAGGTCAATGTGGTAATAAGTGCTGAAAGTGGTGCCCATTTACCTCTATGCCATGGTAAAGATTTTGTTCGAATCTATTCCTCACATTTTACTATTACTACTTTTACACAAAAATGTGTTTGCACAGGTCAGTTAGAGTACAACATAAGAGAGTAAGTAAAAACAACAAACAATACGTAAAATAAGACAAACGTAAAACACACACACAAGTGGCAATAAAAGGTTAAAAAAATACTTCTAGTTTAAAATTTAGATCAACAATAAAATAAGATGGTTGAAAAATTATGAAATAATAATAATTACAAGCTGGCTAATGTCAGACAGATCAGTGCTTTCATCCAGGCATAGCGAAAAATATTTACATTTTTCAACCACGTCACGCAATTTTTTTGATACATGTTCATTGATATGGTCTTGCAATTGTTTGATACGATACTGAGACTGTTTCAAATTTTTCGGCAATTTTTAATTCATTTAAATTGTTTCGCCATTTCTATTGCACACTTTTTGATAAGCTTTCCATCACTAAAAGGTTTTTTTGCTTTGGCAATTTCCAGCGCTATTTTGTAAGAGGCGGCAATACTGCACTTGTTATCAGAGTCAGATTTTTTGAAAAAACTTGTTTGTTGTTTTAGTTTTTTCTTGTATTCCATTATGGTAGCCTGCCTCGAGTCCCCTGAATATTGCCGAAACGTTTTCTCGTGAAACGTAGTGTAATGTCGTTTCATATTATATTCTTTAGGAACCGATAGTACTTGCATACAAACAATGCACTGAAGTTTATTATTATTGTTCGAGATTCAATATTCTGATTCCCAACGGTCATTATAAACTCGATGTTCGTTCGTTATTTTTCGTTTCTGTGAAGACATATTTCACGGAGTATTTTACTTAAAAAGGCTTTAGAGTTGCTGAAGCTCTAACGAGTAGGAGACTCGCCCAACAGATGGCGCCGACAGTATGATTTGTCACAATATTTATTTTTCTATGAGGTTTGCTGCCAAAGATAATCCACAACCTGAGCAAAGGCGACTTCCAAACGCAAAAGGAGGCTGCCTGGGCCATCAGCAATCTGACGATAGGCGGAAACAAGGAACAAGTCACTAGACTGATACAGGAAGGCGTCATTCCGCCTTTCTGTAACCTGTTGGATTGTAGGGATGCCATGGTCATACAGGTAAGTTCTTCTCAACCAACTCATCCACAGAAACCTTTGCATCCTGAGCGACACACATGATCTGCAGCTTGTTAATACCATATCCCACAGGTACCAATTTGGATGCTCCCCAGATAAGACCATTCATTTCAATGGTTCTTGTTGCCTTCTTTATCTCTTTCATGTCAGTCTCATCATCCCAAGGCTTCACATCCAGTACAATGCTGGTCTTCTTGACAATTTTAAGAGCTTATATGTATATGTTATGGGGCCTAATGCTTTCCCAGCACAGGAGTAGTGAGAAGATAAACAAGTTGTCTGAATGCTATTTTCATTTTTTCGAACCTCCAGCTGGGAGTGAATTTCTAAACTAAACCATTCCACCTAGGATCCAGTAATTTAACTGCGCGTATACCTGCTATAGGTTTTATTCAGAAAAAAAAATGCCCGATCCAAGCCACGTAGTGGAATCCTAGCTTTGACTAATGTGCTAATCAGTGCGATTGATGTTTTTCTTCTTGATTTCAGGTCGTTCTGGACGGCATCAACAACATGCTGAAGATGGCAGGTCCTCAGGTAGACCAACTGTGCGCCATGATTGAGGAATGCAACGGTCTTGATAAAATCGAATCGCTCCAGAACCATGACAACATTGACATCTATAAATTGGCGTATGAAATTATCGAGCAATATTTCAGCGGAGACGTAAGTATTCTTCTTATCTGTAATGCAATTTATTACACTGCCGAACATATCGTCGGCTTTCTCACAGAGAGTCCTATCCAACGTTTAGTAAATTTTACAGGAAGGCAATAAAACGAAATCAGCGTGCGGTTAATTGAGCGTTGTATGAGTGTTGAGTGAGAGTTTAGATATTTCCGTATTGAAAATTTCACTGTATCAGCCCATATTAACTGTCGATCATATTACTGTTTCAATATTTGCGGTAGCTTATCAAGTTAATTTGGAAGAAATTGGAAAACGCACGTAGGTCACTTCGTAGAGAATTTTCAGAAGCTTGTCAGATACAGCTAAAATATATTTTTATTAAAGTTCTTATTATACTTTTTTAATATATACAGGATTATCTCAAAAAATATCTTCATTGTTTAATTCTTTAAATAATCGTTGGTCTGCTAACAGCAGAGTTTACGTGAAAAAGTGCAGATCGACTTTTGAATTTTGGATTCTCCCGTACAAAATTTCCCTGAATGTCCATGCCTAAAACTGATGTAGATTATGACACAAATATTAGGCGATGAGATGAAGAACACATCTATAACCCCAAAGTAATTTTTATTAAAAGAAAAGCAACTAATTTCAACGTTATCTTTTTGGCATATTAGTAGCTACTGTTGATGTATTATCATACACAAAAAAAGCAAAGGCAGAATTGTTAATAATTCATTCCGTTTCATGGGGCAATTTTCTAAAGAAGTTTTGGAATTCTGATGAGCGTACAACGGGTGTTGGATTTTCACATAACGAAATTAATCAGAGTACTTCTTTTTTGTTATCTTTACTGGTTCCTTATTAAGTTGTTCTAGTTTAATATCATTTAAATTAATACTTTTTGTCATCAGTATTTTTAACTCAATACAGTCAACTATACTATAACTATCTAAAACTGTAATGACTCATCGATGTTCACGTGAACATCACTTAACTACCAGTAGTCGGCGGTTCATAGGCGGGGTATGAATGTTTAACATGGGTGAACTAGATTTGTCACATGCTTAATAAAGAGTGGTTTGAAACATATTGTAAGTCAAAAATTTGGGAATTACCTTTATTCATCGTCGCTTCCACTTACATCTGACAGTAATAAACTATCGCTATCGCTTTCCTCGTTGAAATTGACTATAACTGGCTCTATGATGGTGTCGATGTGGTGGTCAAGCTGCCACATTTTTGTTTCTTCCTTCACAACATGACGGATAGCATTCTGCCAAGCTTCGGGCGTTACTAGCTGTATGGAAGTCTCAAGTAAAACCTTAACGTCTGGTAATTTGAAGGTTGTGTTATGGCGCGCAATATAACCCTTCACTTGAGCCCAGATGAGCTCTATTGGGTTCAGTTCACAGTGGTAGGGCGGTAACCGCATCACAGTGACACCACATTGACGGGCCATCTCATCAGTCACGTAACTAATGTTCGCAGGTTTGTGCTGTTTAATTTTTTCATACAATTCCGCTTTCACACATGAATCGTCAAACGGGATTCCTTTTTCGCGCAACCATTGCTGCATGTCACTTTTTCGAGATCCCATAGTCGGTACACGTTCGGCTCGACGACTGTGGTAGGAAGCATTATCCATGACGATCACAGAGTTGGGCTCAACTCGCTGAAGCACCCTTTGAAACCAGCTCTAGAAGCAGCTGGCATTCATTTCGTCATGGTAATCACCTCCTTTCTTAGAGACGAAAATCAAGTTACACTCTTCTAAAAAGCCACTATCGCTACCAATATGAGTTACGATCAATCTTTGACCTTTCCCTGACGGTCCACGAAGACCTGTTGACAAACCTTTAATGCTTGCTTGTCGGTTACTCACTAGGTTTTTGTCTATCCAGGTTTTTTTAACTGTGTGACCTGCATTTACCCATATCTCGTCCAAATAATAGATTTTTCTGCTTTGTAGCCTATATTCAATCATTTCGCGTAGGTATTTTCGACGCCAGGCGACTATTTCAGGTCTCTCTATCAATACTGATTTCCGATTACGCGTTTCTTAACGAAAATTAATTTCGTGCAGGGATTTCCTCATTACCTCGACGCTCATTTGGGGTATAATTTCATTTTCCTTGATCGCTGCATGTACAGCCTTGAGGGTTGGTATCTCATTCCTAAAGAAGATTGAATGTACGGTTCCCCTTAACGCCATTTTGCTATCGTCATCCAATTTAATGGCCTTTCGTCCCTTCAAATTAAACTTTGGATCAGTAGTGACCAAGTTTGCTATATTAACTACTACACTTGCTCTTTTTATTCGCTCCAACACAGACACGAAATATTGGTAAAGACCACACATAAAAATATCAACCAAGGATCACCGGGAAGATTAACGAAATATATATCGCCACACCTGTTTGCAGCTGCAGATCCCACACGGAAGAGATTGCACAAAATTAATTCTGGAAATACTTTTTTGACTTCTAATGTCAAAAATTAGGTCAAGCTAAAGAAGGTTTTTAGGAGATTCCTGAATTTTTAGTGTGAATATGGAGGAAAACTCTAAAAAGGATGGAGCTAGTGAGGAAGTGGAGAGTGTGGTCTCACTGAGTGAAAAGGGATTTTGTACAGAGGAAGTTTTGAAACTAAAAGATTATACCATTTCGATTCAAGAGAAATTAATAAAAGAATTGTACGAAAAGATAGACCAATTAAACAAAAAAATTGGGAAAATGCAACAGCCGTCACAAGAAGCAATTACAACTTACGCTAAGATGGTTAAAGCTTCCGGGCCTTCAACCGTTAATTCGCCTACACAAATGGTAGAATATAAGCAACAATGCGTACCATTACAAACATGTACAGCAAAAAAACAATCACCAGTATTAAAACCCACAAATACAGTCATTGTTAAGCCTAATAACCAACAAGAGTGTAATAACACAAAGAAAGACATCGCAAAATTTGTGAATCCTACCAGTTTGAAAATTGCTATTGAAAAAGTTTATGAATTGAAAGATGGTGGGGTGAAAATCCAATGTAAAACAAAAGATGATAACGCGAAGCTACATAATGAAATAAAATCAAAAATGCCAGAAACATATACAGTGAAAACTTCAGAGATAAGTAAAAAACCACAAATCAAAGTTATTGGATTTTGTCAAGAATATGCAGAAGACGAGCTAATAAATACTATAAAATCACAAAATGAATCTTTTCAAGAAAATTCACATATGAGAGTAATTACAGTCAAGAAAATGAAAACTAAATATCAAGCAATTTTAGAAGTGGATGCTGTGACTTTTAAGTGTGTTATGAATCAGGGTGTTATTTTTATCGACATGTCTGTTTGCTCTGTTTTCGAGTACATCAATGTTTTGCGATGCTATAAATGTACCGGATTTAACCACACAGCTAAATACTGCACAAAATCAGGAAGATGTCTTACTTGTGGATTAGAAGGACATTCAACAGAAAACTGTAGTACCAGTGAAATGTACAAATGCTGTCCAAATTGTAAAAGTGCAAACCAAGATTTTAATCTAGGATTACCTATTAATCATGGACCATTTGACAAAAATTGTGAAGTATATAAAAGGAAAATTGAACGTGAGAGGGAAAAAATTAATTATGCAAATGAATAGCAACTACTAAGCTCAGATTTGCAAGACGTGGCTAAATCTATAAGTGATGAATATAACTCAATATACCATTTAAACATACAAGGAGTCCTGAATAATATAGATGAAGTTCAACAGTTTTTAAGATGGAGAAAACCACTTTTATTATGTCTTACCGAAACACATGCTACAGAAGACATCACTGATGGTGAATTACAAATTACTAATTATAAAACCTACAGATGCAACTCCAACTCCAGACATACTGGAGGTGTAGTGATTTATGTTTACCACAAAATACAGATCACATTATTCGATTGTACCACTTTAGACTATGCATACTGGTATGCACATATACAGTTCAAATTATTTGGGAAACGTTATGATCTTTGTACTTTTTACCGTTCACCAAATAGTGATGCAGATACATTTTTAACGTTTTTTGAAGAAAAATGCGAAGAAATGTGGAATTTTAGAAACAATATAATACTTTTAGGTGATTTTAATTTAAATTATTATGGTAAAAGCATGAAAACAAGAAAATTGAAAGAAACCATAAACAACTATGGGTTCAAGCAAAAAATTGAAGAGAGTACCAGAATAACATCATTATCAGAGACTTTGTTAGATCTTGTTATTGTAAATTTCGAATGTGCAGGGATTAAAGCTGTACATACACCTAAAGTTAGCGATCACAGTTGGACAATGCTGCCCTTGGTAGGGCATTTTTCTGATACAAAAATTAAGAAAATCGTAAATACTATTAAGTACGAAAAACTTGAACGAGAACTTGCTGGCTGCTATTGGAATTTTGGTGAGAATATGGAAAAAATATATGACAACATAATAGGAAATATAAAAACTTGTTTAGATCTTGCAACTGATAAAAAACTGATTTGCTCGACAAAAAATACACCCTGGTATAACAAGAATATTAAGGTAGCTCAAAATTTGAGAGACAAACAATACAATAAATGTATATTCACAAAATCAAATGATGATTGGGAGGTATATAAAACTCTTAGGAATAAATGTGTATATGTAATTAGAGAAGAAAAAAGAAAATTCTACGATAAACAAATCGATAATAACAAGTGCGACAGTGTAAAGATGTGGAAGACTTTAAAAAGACTGATCAATTCGAAGCCGCATGATTGTGTAAATCAAGTTCAATTCGAAAACGGTACCGAAACAAATTCTTTGGTGATTGCAAACAAACTAAATGAATATTTTGTGGAAAGTATTGTTGATATTGTAGGTACTGCCAATGCTGCACCTGACTATATGAAAATCAGTTTCCAGGGGGAAATGTTGCATACACTTTCAAAATTTCACAGCGTATCATTGAATTATCTAAGAAAAAAAGTAAACAGTTTAAAATCAAATAACAACTGTGCCGAAATGATTACTAAAAACGTGCTGAAAAACTGTTTCGAAATTTTGGGATATCCTGTATTAAATTGGATCAATTGTTCACTGAGAAGCAGTTCTTTTCCTGAAAATTTGAAATGCTCTACAATAACACCAGTTCCCAAGATAAAAAATTCTAAAAGATGCAGCGATATGAGACCAGTAAATGTGTTACCAGACATTGAAAAATTATTAGAGTCCATAGTGCATGACCAATTAATGCAGTTTATAGAAGAAAACAAAATTTTAGTGGAGGCGCAAGCAGGCTTTCGAAAAAAATATTCCACAGAAACAGCTTTCCAGTTGGTAACTGAGAATTGGAGAAGAGCCATAGACTCAGAAGAAGTTGTCATAGCAGTATTTTTGGATTTGAAGAGGGCATTTGAAACGATTGATAGAGATATTTTGTTAGGTAAATTGAAGGCATATGGTATAACAGGAAGTGTTTTAGATTGGTTTGGAAATTATTTGTCTAAAAGGATGCAAGTTACAAAAGTTAATGACACTATTTCATCAAAAATTGAAAATACGTTGGGTGTTCCACAGGGCAGTATCCTGGGACCACTTCTTTTTATTTTATACATAAATGATTTACCTGCCATAGTCAAAAAATGCAAAATTCAAATTTTCGCCGATGACACTATGATTTATATAAGTACTAAAAATATTCAGTCTGGTATCTCTTATATAAATGAAGACTTGAAGCTTGTCTCAAAATGGTTAGCATCTAACAGACTAAAATTAAATGCAAGTAAAACGAAAGCCTTGTTAATCGGAAAAAAACAATGTACAAATGTTCAACTGAATATTGATGGTGAGGATATTGAATTCGTAGAAAATTTTAAATACCTGGGAGTTTTTGTTGACTCTCGATTAATTTTTGATATTCATTATGAAAAAGTTATAAATAAGATTAGTAGTAAAGTGGGATATTTATCGAGAGTTTCTGGATGTCTGAGTTCATATAGCAGAAAAATTATCTATAATACCATCATTCTTCCAAATTTCTTGTACTGTTCGACTATTCTATATTTAGCAAATAATTCCATTTTTGAAAGACTGCAAATTTTACAAAATAAGTGCATGAGAATAATACTAAATAAAGATAAATATACTCCAATTAGGCAAATGCTTAGCAAATTAAAATGGCTCAATGTAAAAAATTTTATCAAATATCTTGTAATGATATTCATTTATAAAGTAAAAAATAATATATTTCCATCAAGTCTAACTAATTTAACATCATCAAATGTCGACCATCATTTACATAATACCAGAAATAAAGATGACTTCCATTTAATGACCAAAAAGTATAACATATGCTACAAATCTGTATTCCATCAAGGGTTGATTGAATATAATAAATTATACTCGGAGATAAAAGACCAGAAAACTTTGACAAAATTTAAAGTAAAATTGAGAAATCACTTGTTAAATCTACAATTATAGGTTGCCCAGCATTCACATCATACACCATATGGCTTGAATTTACTAGTTCTAAGTTGTTTACAATTGTTCTGTTTATGTAGCCAAATGTGCTAAATAAATCTTTCTACTACTACTACTACTAGTTTTCTTCCTTTCATGCACCACCCTGCGAATGGTCCACTCTGGAATGCCTGTCATACTTTCACAACGCGCAAGTGCATCTCCCTGCGACATAGTTCTGTTCAGATAATTGAACACGTTGAGTATGATTTCTTTCGCGTCCCTCTTCAGTGCTTTACGAAGCCGTCTACTTGTTCCCTGGCTTTCAGTACTTCCACTCGTGCCATTTGTACTCTCCATGGTTAAGTATAACCAAAACAGTAACCACAGAAACCACAACAATAACAATCACACAACAATTCTTATAAAAACACACAATATGCGATCGCTCAACGAAACACGTTCCAATGCGTTGCCGACGCCTATGAGTCTGCCGGTCGAGGCGCGTCTTTGATTTCATTGGTTCTACCAGCGGAGAACAATCAGCCATTATTTCCATCTCTGTCTGTGCTGTTGACCACCGCAAAGCCACCGAAACGACATATGTCGTACGCTATACGGCTGTACTGGAAGGAAGCCGGGATCGAGCTCTAATCACGTGTTGATCACGCGTATGAGTCAGTACAGTTTTAAATAGTTGTAGTATAGTATTGTAGTAGCTAGACTATTTTGGTGGGCATGCCTTTTCTTACCATAAACTCCATAATACCCGTTCATTTAATATTCTGCCCTTTCTCAGTTTGCCGTGTGGACAACAGTCTTACATATTTGGTTGGATTTTGGGTAGTTAGGCCGTCGTAAAATATTTTCCCTTGACGTTTTGCCAACACGAGTGGTTGGCATCTTCAGAAGTAGCTCTTAGCTCATATTTATCTACTGGTAGTGAAAATACTTTCTACATCGGCCATTGTAGAATTAATAATGTTGAGTAGGTTGCTGGATAATTTAATAATAATTATTTTTTAGTTAGGTTTAAGGAATAAACCGATATAATTGCGTGCAAAGTGCAGAATCAACCTACCTAATGTCATTTTCGTGTTTCAGGCTGAAGACGACCCGAACATTGCTCCAGCAGCCAGCGAGACCGGCTACACATTCGATCCGAACACAAATTTGCCAAACAAAGGTTTCAAATTTTGATTTTTCGCGCTCGCGCACACATAATTTTCGTAAGCGTTGCGCTTAAAGAAACGCTGTCGCTTCCTCTTTCATAATTATTATGACGAACTTAGTCCTTTATTTTATGTACGTTCATTTTATGTACATATTTTTTATACATTGAAATATATATAATTAGGGTATTTATTTGATTTTCGGACGTAAAACATGTTGGTCCAGCTGCTAGGGATGTAACTTGGTTTTATTTTTTCGTTTATGGATTTTTAATGAAAAATTGCGTTACCTTCGAAGTTTTCAGGTAATCTTAAATAGAGAACCGAGAATTTTGGAGATAATAGTCGAAAGAACCGAGATTTTCGGGCATTTAGGGTCTAGATATTTTGATGTTGTTATTACAGGTTTTCTTCATTTCATTCAAAAGAAGACATTTTCATTCCTTATCCTCGTGTATAATGTTAAAATTGGCGTTATTTTCACGGCCGAAACACTCTCCTGACCCTTTCATGAAAATCGTACCCATGTGACCCAATTTTTGCATATTTGCTCGAATTTAGCGTCTCAAGCAATTTTTTTGTATCTGGCGATTGGACCACGTGGCATTATTTAGTATTTTTCATGTGAGCGATTAGCCTTTTCGGACATCATCCGCGGTTTTTGATTAGTTCCATTGCTGTAAAACGTATTTATTCCACGCGAAGATAGTCAACCATTTACTGTATTCCGGTGTCTGAAAGGTACTACGAGGCAGTAGCAGGGCACAAAAATAAATTTAGACATGCACTTCAGTTCCTTTTTGCATCTAACAGGTGGGCTGAAAATTCCGTATCGTTTCAATGAAAAAATATTTTTTTCGTCAAAATTCGCTTTTATTATTCAACATAGTTGCCTTCAAGGGCTATACAGCGATTATAACGTTCTTCAAGTTTTTCGATACCCTTCCGGTAGTAATCCTTCGGCTTGTCCTCAAAATAGGCTTCAGTTTCGGCGATGATTTCTTCGTTGCTGTGAAATTTTTTTCCGGTGAGCATTCTCTTAAGGTCTGAGAAGAGGAAATAGTCGCTTGGAGCAAGGTCCGGAGAATACGGTGGATGGGGGAGCAAATCGAAGCCCAATTCATGCAATTTCGACATCGTTTTCATGGACTTGTGGCACGGCGCATTGTCCTGGTGAAACAAGATTTTTTTTTTCTTCATTTGTGGCCGTTTCTTGGCGATTTCGGCCTTCAAACGCTCCAGTAACACTATATAATAGTCGCTGTTGATAGTTTGGCCCTTTTGAAGATAGTCGATGAAAATAATTCCTTGCACGTCCCAGAAAACAGAGGCCATAACCTTGCCTGCTGACTGTTGCGTCTTTCCACGTTTCGGAGGTGGTTCGGATGCAGCCGTCCACTCGGCCGACTGGCGATTTGACTCCGGTGTGTAGTGGTGGAGCCATGTTTCATCCATGGTGACGTATCGGCGAAAAAAATCGGTTTTATTGCGCAAAATCACCTCCAAACAGGCCTCAGAGTCGTCGATGCGTTGTTGCTTTTGGTCAAATGTGAGATTGCGCGGCACCCATTTCGCACAGAGCTTTCGCATATCCAAATATTCATGAATGATGTGACTGACACGTTCTTTTGATATGTTTAAGGCCTCAGCTATGTAACACACGAAACTCTTGACTTTCCATGGTTTTCAAAAATAACAAAAGTAGCGTCACTCTCGATACGATAACTCAAAAACTAATGATCCGACAGCTGTCAAATTTTGACAGGCATCTTTTGAAGGTTGGTACTAGCTAAGAAGCGTATGGATTTTATTCTGGTGGCGCCATCTCATAGAAACGATACGGACTTTTCAGCCCACCTGTTAATGCCTGAAGATAGCCGATTGAAATAGCCATTATAGACGCACCAAAAAGCGATTCAAGATCCTGGCTCCGTCTATAGAACACCAGCAGAACCAAATACTACCTCTTTGCAAAGTCAATTACACCACAAACTAAAATATGAACATTTTTCAAGATACTCAAAAACATTTGTCGAGTCAAAACCCCCGGTTTTGTAATGCTTCTTTCCATATGCCATCATTGTCCAACCACCTTCCACCAAGAAACTTTTTAAATTTTGAAATAGAAGAATGTCTGATGGTGCTAAATCAGGGTTGTATGGCGGATGATGCACTAATTCCCTACGAAACGTGTCCAGTAGCGTCTGTGTTCGGGTCGTAACGTGAGATCGAGTGTTATCGTGAAGGAGAACGACGCCCCTAGCGGCGGTTTTGAATAGCGCGCCTAATTCAACAAACTGTCGGTGAATTTCAGCATTATTGGGCTCTGATGACTCGGATCCCTTTTTTGGTCACGGGAATACAGTATATGAATGGCTTCAGGTTGATTTCGTTAATGGTAGTTCACATCTCGAAAATCCCAACAGCGTTCGTAGCCGTGAAGGTTTTGTTATAAAAAAGATACTTGTTATGCTATTGTAACGAATAGAATTTTCCGATTAGATTTAAAATGACCGTACATAGTTGAAAAAATCTGGGCATGATCAATAGAAGTGTTTTATTTTTACTAATTGTAAGTCTTGTAATTGATTCTCTCTCGTATGAAATTATTTTGGTTGAGAACATCAAAGTTATACTACCCTTGGATGTTGGGTGAGATAATCTATTGTCTCGATACAATAATACTGGATAGACTAAATTATTGTATTGTAAATATAAAGTGTACATTTTTCAACCTATATTAAACGCATGTTCTATCCAGCCATTTATTATTTAAACCTATCACCCTAAGGCGGGGCTCGCAGGAGATATGGATTAAGAAATATTTTAATTTGAAACTGTCAATTCCCTTTCCATACTAAAATAAATCGTGTAGTCCCTCGCGTAAAGCCGTAAAAGCTAATTATACTAAGTGACATAAATCCGAACCCCCAGTTTAAATGGTTTTATTTTAATAAAATTTTGTATAAGTACTTAATGAAGCATAATAAGTAAATGATAAAAATTTCAAAATGATTGCACTGCTTTAAAGCCCTTTGACCTTTAATAATGTGTGGATGCACCCTGATGTGCTACGCATTCTCCAACGCGCCTAGGCATGCTTCTGATCAGGTGGTCAGTGTCCTCCTGTGGTATCTCATTCCAGGCAACCACCAACTCCTCTCGAAGTTCTTCTAGAGTCTGAGGAGGACATTGCAAATTGAGCAATCTCCTACCCATCATATCCCACACGTGCTCAATTGGGGATAAGTCCGGAGATCTTGGTGGCCATGGTAACAATGTGACATCATTATGTTGAAAGAAGTCTATTGTGACTCTTGCAACATGTGGTCGGGCATTATCTTGTTGGAAAGTTGGATCTGCCAGGGTGTCAAGATAAGGTAAAAGATGGGGTTCTAGAACTTCGTGGATATAACGCTGCGCGATCATGTTACCTCTGATGAAGATTAAAGGTGACCTGGAACCATAAGCTATAGCACCCCAAACCATAACTCCAACAGTGTGATGAACAATGTCTTTCAACAAAAAACTGTGGATTCCTCCTTTCACCACGTCGGCTTCTAACCCTGGCACGACCATCGTGCATGCCTAAACAAAATCGAGACTCGTCCCTAAAGACAATACTGTTCCATTCCTGATCCCAGAGTGACCGTTGTCTGCACCACTCAAGGCGATTACGTCGGTGTTCTCGAGTTAAAAGGAGGACCCAGTGTGGCCGGTATGAAAACAAGCCAAAACTTCTCATTCGTCGGTAAACACTTCGCATGCCAATAGGTCTTCAGTGTTCTGCAAACCATTCTTTTGCAATGGACCTGGTAGTGGAGAAACGGTCCCTTAAGGCCAATAATCTTAGGCGGCGACCTTCACGGTCAGTTGTTCTACGGCGGCGTCCAGTGCCCCTTGCTCTTTGCGTACGGCCTTCTCGAAGCCATGCCTGACAACACCTAACCACAGTGTCTACACTTCTTTGCACTCTAACTGCAATTGCCCGAAAAGAAAGTCCAGCTTCCCGAAGTCCCACTATACGGCCCCTATCAAACTCACTAAGTTGACGAAATCGTACAGGTCTCCGTACTCTAGGCATCGTAACCGATCGTAAGGGATGTCAAGAACCAAAATCCGCCAACGATGATTCTTTACTGCGGCTGAAATATTCATTTTTAGAGCGTTAGTGAATTAAAAAAAAAAACAGTATAAAAACCGGAATGTCCAACTGATAAGGCTGAAAAATTGTTCACTTATTATTTACAGTAAGATAAATACATTCACCAACTTTTATTAAAATAAAACCATTCAAACTGGGTGTTCGGATTTATATGTCACTTAGTATATTAAGTTTTAGTCATTCTAAAACAGTATCCTTTAACCTATGATTGAATTTTTCCTGGTGCTCTCGGAGAAATTCGATCATTTTGTCCTTTTTTTTATTTATAATTTGTTTTTTAAAGTTTTCGGGTCCATAGATAAAATTATAAGGAAGAAATCTTGACCAAAACCTTTGGTTAGTTTTGGACTGTCAAAATTATCTCCATTTTGATTGGTTTAACACGTTTACCCAAACCTGGCAATTCTGTGTCTTGATTTCCTTTCTTCTTTCTGTCGAGTCATTTCAAGAATACAGTATTTTCAAATCGATAGAAAACCGGGGGAGTAGAAAAAGAGAGGGAGTGTGATTTTCTATTAATGTCAAGAATAGGGGCACAGGATCGCAGAACCCACGAGGAGCATAGTTGCCAAGGATCCAAATTCGCTCGAGTATCATAGAGCACAGTACTATTCACGTACCTCCTCGCGTTTGTGATCCTGATAGCAAGCCACCGTGGCAAGAAAAGATTGGTCGACAGCGCGATTTTTAGAAACCTACACATCTGCATCAGGATCGCAGAAACGCGCACCAAGAGGTATACATGCCATGGATTTGAATATCTTTATCGCATATCAGGAGCAGAGTTCCATTTGCACGAAGCTCCTCGCGTTCCTGCGAACGTGGTAACAGGTCTCCAATCTACCAATTTTACGAAGCTGTGGTCAAAAGTGCGATTTTCAGAAACCTTAGATCTGTGTCAGGATTGCAGAAACCTCGAAAGGCATCGATGCTATGTTTGTTAAAATTAGCAAAGTAGCTATTGCATTACTTTGAATATTGCATTTCATTCTCCGAAACCAATATTTACACTACTTTCTTTATCTGAAGAAGGTTGAAGAACAAACTTAAGCAGGTTCTCGGTATACAGGGTGTTGAGTCATATATACTAAGTGACATGTAAATCCGAACACCCAGTTTAAATGGTTTTATTTTAATAAAAGTTGGTGAATGTATTTATCTTACTGTAAATAACAAGTGAAAAAATGTTCAGCCTTATCAGTTGGACATTCCGGTTTTTATACTGCTTTTTTTTAATTCACTAACGCTCTAAAAATAAATATTTCAGCCGCAGTAAAGAATCAACGTTGGCGGATTTTGGTTTTTGACATCCTTTACGATCGGTTACGATGCCTAGAGTACGGAGACTTGTACGATTTCGTCAACTTAGTGAGTTTGATAGGGGCCGTATAGTGGGACTTCGGGAAGCTGGACTTTCTTTTCGGGCAATTGCAGTTAGAGTGCAAAAAAGTGTAGACACTGTTGTTAGGTGTTGTCAGGCATGGCTTCGAGAAGGCCGTACGTAAAGAGCAAGCGGCACTGGACGCCGCCGTAGAACAACAGACCGTGAAGATCGCCGCCTAAGATTATTGGCCTTAAGGGACCGTTTCTCCACTACCAGGTCCATTGCAAATGAATGGTTTGCAGAACACGAAAGACCTATTGGCATGCGAAGTGTTTACCGAATGAGAAGTTTTGGCTTGTTTTCATACCGGCCACACTGGGTCCTCCCTTTAACTCGAGAACACCGACGTAATCGCCTTGAGTGGTGCAGACAACGGTCACTCTGGGATCAGGAATGGAACAGTATTGTCTTTAGTGACGAGTCTCGATTTTGTTTAGGCATGGACGATGGTCGTGCCAGGGCTAGAAGGTGGCGTGGTGAAAAGAGGAATCCACAGTTTTTTGTTGAAAGACATGTTCATCACACTGTTGGAGTTATGGTTTGGGGTGCTATAGCTTATGGTTCCAGGTCACCTTTAATCTTCATCAAAGGTAACATGAACGCGCAGCGCTATATCCACGAAGTTCTAGAACCCTATCTTGACACCCTGGCAGATCCAACTTTCCAACAAGATAATGCACGACCACATGTTGCAAGAGTCACAATAGACTTCTTTCAACATAATGATGTCACATTGTTACCATGGCCACCAAGATCTCCCGACTTATCCCCAATTGAGCACGTGTGGGATATGATGGGTAGGAGATTGCTCAATTTGCAACGTCCTCCTCAGACTCTAGAAGCACTTCGAGAGGAGTTGGTGGTTGCCTGGAATGAGATACCACAGGAGGATATTGACCACCTGATCAGAAGCATGCCTAGGCGCGTTGGAGAATGCGTAGCACATCCGGGTGCATCCACACATTATTAAAGGTCAAAGGGCTTTAAAGCAGTGCAATCATTTTGAAAGTTTTATCATTTACTTATTATGCTTCATTAAGTACTTATACAAAATTTTATTAAAATAAAACCATTTAAACTGGGTGTTCGGATTTATATGTCACTTAGTATATTTTAACTGGTTGTAGGACTCATCAAAAGTAGTTGATATACAAAAAATCGCATGTAATAGTTGCATAATTAAAGAAATAGTACAAGATTGAAAATTAAAAAAAAAATAAGAATGTTATTACACAGATTTTTTGATATTTTCGACCACTTGTGTGTAAAATCTTAGCGTTTTTTTGTTTACTAATCTTATGGTTTATTTTATGTTATTGTATGGTTTTCAGTGCGAGTCTTTGGTTCGTATCGATCTTTTAATAGTGCGTATACTTCCATTTGTCTGTTTATTTTGTGCGAAAAATGGCCCATGTTTACGAAAACAATGCACTAGTGGACATAATACTAACATACGGAGACTGCCAACAAAATGCAGTCGCAGTATGCAGCTTGTTTGTGCAAAGGTTTCCTTGAAATCATCCGGCCCACGAATGTTTGTAAATTTAATTATGAGACTTCGTGACACCGGATATTTAAAAGAACAACGAGGAGCTCACGCTGGACAACCTGCTCAACCTGAAATGTTACAAATTAAGGAAGACATTTTAGAAATGGTCAAGTTGGAGTTTGTCATAGTAAAGCGTGGAAGGCAATATGAAAAGAACAGTATTGTTATTTGGTCGGTTTTTGGGTAGTTGGGTCGTAAAATATTTTTATTTGACGTTTCGCCAACACGAGTAGTTGGCATCTTCAGTTCCGACCAAATAACATTGGACGATGGCCGCGAAAGCCTTTCGCATTTGAAAAACAGTATTATTCTTATCATCATCAACGAGTACAAGCGTTATTACGTAAACTAACTCTTGTATAGGCGATTTTTGGTATATCAACTTCTGGTGACGAGTTCTACAAGCTGTTAAAATAAACGACTCAACCTGGAAAGCACCCTGTATGCTGGTAGACGAAACGTCAATCAACACAGTACTTTATTTGTAAATTTGTTTAATAAATAAATACAATAATTAGGTATACAAACTACAATATTTCATTCTATCTAGACGATTTCACTACAGCTAAAATGTCATTCACATCACTAACCATGAGCACTGATTAACGTAACGTCCGAAAAATTATCCGAGATGAAATGAGATACCGTAGCCTCATCTATGAGCATTTGTGACAGCTATCTTTCTCGTCTCCGGAATAGATGGCGCTGAAGCCAACTATGTATACAGGGTGTTCCATAATTATTGCGACAAAATGATAGGGGTTGTAGAGGGCATAAAAATATGCAATTTTGCCTTATAAACCCCTGTTCGTAAATATGCCGTTTGAGCACTACAGTTAATTTTACCTTAAGAGCTCATAGGAGAAACAAAAAATTCACCAGCTGCAAAATGTTCGTCTAGCACATTTCATGGTCTCGCCGGTTTGTAGAAAAAGCCTGCTGTGTTTACATTTTTGTTATCGTACACCCGTACCACCTTTTAAAAGTCCAAGCCATGGGTCCAGCAGACTATCTGCCGCGTCGACGTTTTTGTCGTTGGTGGCTGCAGCAGGAGTTGAGGCAACCAAACTTTGGTCGCTACGTTTTGTTCACTGACGAGTCCTGTTTTACAAAGGACGGTTATTTTAATAGCCGTAACAGTCACATTTGGGATGAAGAAAACCCTCATGCCATAGCCATCCATAGAGACCAACATCAGTTTTCAATTAACATCTGGTGCGGCATTGTGGACGAGCATATCATCGGGCCATATCTGCTTCCACCACGTTTGGATGGGCATGCTTATGGTCGAGCCTTACAGCATGTGCTACCGGAACTATTACAAAATGTGCCACTGAATATAAGAGCCAACATGTGGTTTCAACACCATGGCGGTCCAGCCCACTTTTCTTTACAAGTGCGGCAGTATTTGGACGACAAATTTCCAAATAGGTGGATAGGCCGAGGTGGCCCTGTGCCTTGGCCTGCGCGGTCACTTGACCTGACTCCACTGGATTATTTTATCTGGAGCTATCTGAAAGCTTTAGTGTACGAAACTCCTGTTCCCAACCAACAAGAGCTACTGGGAAGAGTGATGGCCGCGTCCGCACTTGTTCAGGACATACCGGGGGTATGCCACAGAGTTCGCCGATCATTGAACAATCGTGCACAGGTGTGTATTGAGCAAGGTGGAGGACACTTTGAGCAATTACTGTAGGTAAGCTGTTTCAAGAAACTGATCTTTTTTTTTTGCTGCAGCCCAAACGGCATGTTTCCGAACAGGGGTTTATAAGGAAAAATTGTTCATTTTGATGCCCTCTACAACCCCTATCATTTTGTCGCAATAATTATGGAACACCCTGTATAGGAGAGCATAGCTACAGCGCTACCAACATTTTTGAGGGAGACTTCTAATTAGGGCGGAAAAACAAAGCAGCAACAAATTCTCGTAAAGTACGCTATCGTACCTCATTGCATTAATGATATTTTGGTCGCGCGAATATAGCATTAGTTCGACTTCAGGCAAAATACGCTAATAAATGCCATGAATCATCACTCCAATCAATAGAATCAATTTTTCTTTATTTACTGACCAGAAAGACGACCACTGCTATGCCAAATGTAAATGAAAATTGTATTGCGCTTCAAAAAATAGTGGCAAGATCTTTGGAGCAAAAATTATATTCAAAAACAGCCTAAAATAATCTCTATCAAAAAAAAATCCCTGCAATAGACTGCTTAGCTATCTCTCTGTGATCTTCAACATAATCATTGGACTCCAAAGCATGGTAGTGTTTTTTTTTAATGGGAAACGTCTGTTATTGACACCAGACAGAGATAGAGCAGAAAGTGTTCGTTTCGAATGAATCATTGACCTCCCTTGATGGTCAAGGTCAAAACCTAATATCTAATCGTAGAAATGGCCTTGAAAACTATGAGTAAAAGAAATTATAGGCTTAGGCTGCCTGACGCTGACCTTTTATTTGACTTTTGACTTACACGATCATTTTAAGGTAGAGGACAATTTTTTTAATGAGATGTTATTTTATCGATTAAATACTTGATGTTTACTGATATTTTTCATGGAGGTGAAGTGCTCATCAGATTGAATTTTCCGCTCCATTTCCGGTTTCAAAAATATGAGGTCCCATTTTTAAAAGACACGTGACTTTCCAAGCATTCAGCCAATGCAAAACGGTCCAGCGGTGCAACGCTTTTATGGAAAACAGCGGTGGCCGTGAAATAGCTTTGACAGCTCGCAATATTAATCAACCCACAAGCAAAACTGACAAAGCTTATCCCAAGGCTACTGCTATTGAGCATGGACCGCTCTACGTTGGCTCAATCGCTCCCTATGTCATGGTCACCATCAGATAGTTAGGGAAAAGCGTATGTCTTTTAGATAGATTATAGTATCGATTAGATATACGTACAAGATCTGTCGCAAAGTAAACAGGACTTTTGAAAGATATCCGATACAAGTAGCGCCATCTATTATCGGAGACTAGCGTTGGATAGGTACATCTTTCATTGATGATCTGTCAAAATTGCATGATAATCGAACTACTTCACGCGGAGTTATCGCGCTGAAAGTGACAGTACCTTTTTAGCATCGGTCGAAAAATGAGCACCTGTGTTAAACTTGGTAAAACATTCACCGAAACGCATCAGATATTGATGCAAGTGTACGGTGATGATTGTTTATCTCTTAGCCGAGTTCACGAGTGGTTTACACGGTTCAAAGGGGGTCGTGAGTCGCTGGCAGACGACGATCATGTTGGTCAGCCAAAATTTGTGATTACGCCAGAAACCGTCGAAAAAGTGACTGAAGGAGACTATGTTGAATAAAATAGATTCGATTTTCCGAAACCAATAATGTTTGTTCATTTTTCTCTTTGTCTTGTTTACTTTGCGTACTTACCTTGTAATTGATCTATCAGCCAGTGGCGTAGCTACTAAGGGACTAGGCGGGGCAGTGCCACGGGGCCCTCAAGCTCAGGGGGCCCTCGAATCCTTACCAGAAGGTACATTTTCATGGCAGCGCTTTTATCGCTGGCGATAAGGCCAGGGGCCCTACAAAGCTGAACTGGTTTAGCTTTTTGTCTGACTCCGATTTTTTTGAAGTTTGCATATCCTTTGGAGACCTATAGTAGATCATATTTGATGAACATGCGAGGTCGGAAAAATTGTTTTAAAAAAAGTTATTTATTGTTAAACTTGTAGGGTACTTTTTTTAGAGTGCAAAAATTCGTAAAATTAATTTAATCGAAGTAATTTGCCTTAGAAAAAAAAGTACCCTGAAAGCTTAACAATAACAATACATAATTTTTCCGACCTTGCATGTTCATCAAATATCATCTACTATCGGTCGCTAAAAGATATGTAAACTCGAAAGACTTCGATAAAAATCCGTGCAGTTTAATTGTGGAAATGCCGAAATATACATATCATATTTAAACGGGACACCTCGCGATACCACGCGTCATATTTCGAAAAAAATTACTAGAACCAGCGATACAGCGACAGCATGAAAAGGGCTCTAAAAAATCTCAATCGAACTCCACTTTTGAAAATTCCTCCCATTTTCAAAATAAATATAACAGGTGGCAACACGACTTTAATCATGGCATCTGTTTCAGATAAATTCGAAAGTTATAAATAGGGAATTCCTCTAAATTATTTCTGAGGGTTAACCCGGTTGACAGTGTTATCAATTTGTGCGTTTTATTATTTATCGATGTGTGTTTTTGTGAGAATGATTAAAAAGTTTGTTGTATCAGGAGTAAGTAAGCTTATGTCAATAGTTTTTTGTACTGGTCTAAACAAAGGTTCAATTTTATTTGATTTTAGTACCACTCATCTTGATGTCCGCTACGTAAATAAATCTATAGATTTCGGCTACTCAATCATTAATTCAGGCGCGAGGAGATTATTTTTTGCCTCCACCGTGGTAACACTGTCGGCGATAAAATATAAAATGTTTGCCGGGGATTCCCCAACGACGTATTGTATCGTATCATTACGTTCCTCACTCCTTTACCTTTAACGTTGTCAGTGCACAGTGAGTACCTACTTGAGAACAATCTTATATAAATATTGCATAAATAAATTAGAAAACTAAAATTATGGATAAAAAGAAGAAACCCAGTGGTGCATTTAAACGCAAACAACGCCAAGAAAGAGAAGAAGGTAAACAAAAATTGCCCAAAATTGACAAGTTTTTTAGTCACGCTTCTGGAAGTACCCGTCTGGCGTACGGGAATTCGTGATTGGAAACATTTATCAGAAAGAATTAAACAACACAGTTGTTCGAGTGGCCATACGGAAGCAAATGGTAGGTCCGATCTTTACCTAATAAACCCTTGAATCTCTTCTATTTCGTTTTATTGGCCAATACCTACTCCAATTATTAAAATAATTGTAATTTATGTTGTTAGTGTTTAATATTTTTATTACCTGCCTTGCAATGCATGAAAAAGAGCTGATGATAAAGCCGTTTAGCATTTTCAAAATATTTGTATATTTAATGATTTTACTTCATAAAACCTTATCAGTTTTGATAGCAATGGGGCCCCATTTTTGTATTTGCCCCAGGGCCCTAGGTTACCGAGCTACGCCACTGCTATTAGCTTTGACATTCAAATGTCAAACGTTAAATTTTCCACTCCATATATTTTCTGTGTTAAAAATATAGGGTGATAACCTATGAACAATCTTATACCTATGCTTGGGTAGAATTTCTTTTATACTCCGAGATTCGCCGTATCCGACTTTTTGACTTTATTTATTGACATTAAGCGCAAACGATGTAGACAACTGAATCACCTTCTGTTCCAACATTCCACAAGTGTTATTACAAAACCACACAGCATCAAATACGTTCTTGCATTCTGCCTGACCTCTCCAACAAGGTCAGAAGACTTCCGCGCCTGGACGACATCGACGATTCAGTTTGGAAGCTCATATTTAAACTGCAACTGCCACAAGGACTCCCAAGAACATCCGAGCAAGAATCTGTAGCTTCAAGCTGCAGTGGAAAAGGTCTAGCTCTAGGTATTCGAGAAGCTCCAAACTTTCTACATCTATGAGAGATATCAGGTCTAGGTGGGACTACCTTATTTTCTTTAGGTACTCCAAGAGCATGACAGTGGCAAGCATTGTCTTTAATGTCGCTAGGCTTTGTACAGACTGACGATAAATTAGTTGACTCAAGTTGCAGTGGAAAGTCTCTAAAATGTATCGTGTGATAGTGAAGACTCCCATGAATGTCGTTAGGCCTCGCATACACCAAAGATGAGTTAGTTGGTTCAAGTTGCAGTGGCGCTAGGTTATGTCTAGCATCGCATGTTCTGCGATAGTACAGACTCTCTTGAATGTTGTCGTTAGGTGCGTTTTGGAGGTTACGTTCTGTAGGCATTCTTGGCCCATTTGAAGGTCATGCAGTCGTGTAGAAATTATTGAAGGTGAGTCGCACGCATAGCAAGCGTAGGTTCATGTTCATGCTTTTCGATAGAAGGCCGAGGAATTTTTTAACAATCTCGTCGTACGTCTGGGCAGAGGTTTTCACCTGAAATAATAAAAAGCAGTCATTCGTTTCGGTTTTATGACTACTCGAATAGAAAATTTACAAAAACGATATGCGGGGTAGCATTCGATTTCTGAAATTTCAGCAGTACGGACTTTTTTACCGCTGTTTTCATTCGTCGATAACACGTGAGGAGCATACCTTTAGTTTTGTAGTACCCAAGAACTGTCTAAACGTCGCCTTTCGCTCCAAATTGACTTTCTGCAGATGATTATCAGTTCCAAAATCATCAGCTGCATCTCTGTGTGCTGCATAAGCTCTTCTAGCTTCGTGCTCTTCAAGTGCAGCTTGGTAAAGAGCCCCCTGATGTCCTTCCAAGTTCATCACGAAGTTGTAGATGGATATCAAATGCGAAAATAGTTGCTAAAATCAAATCATATTTTGTTGTCAGACAGGTCTTCATAAAATTATAATCTTCATCAATGACGATGTCTGCATAATGTTTGATTGTATTTTTCGGTGAACTACACTATTGGAAACAATTAAGGGGTCAAATATGTAATTATAAAATTGATATTGTTTCTAAAGACCAGCTGATTGACTATTTCGAAAGCAACAACCTATTTAACCAGGTAGATACTGTATTCGTCCGTATCATTGTTAGTGAATTTAAAATTGGTATTCACGCTGTAGAGGCTACCCAAATAAAGATGAACAAATCAGGAATCCTGGTAAGAAAAGTTTTAATTAGCAATTAATCATACGGGCTGTAAAAAATTGGGCAAAGGAGTAATAAACTATTTTTTTAAAGACCAAAGACAAAAGTTTACATTGATCTACCCAAACGTTTTTTTTTGTTTCAATCAAAATGTCATAAAACAAAGGCTTGCTCGAAAAAGACTTTTCCATATACAGGGTGTTCCTTAATGATATGCGAATATTTAAGGGTGTGAATCTACATGAAAAATTAATTTTAGTTTGCTTTATAAACTATAGTCAAAAAATGTTTCCTTACAAAAACTCGGGGTGTTGAAGTTTTAGGAAAAAAATGGATATTAATAAATATTTTTAGAACCGCTTCAGATATTTCACTGATATTTAGTGCATAGTGAAAGTTGATAAAGCTGCATATTTTTCAATGCAAGAATAATTTTTAGCTTTAACAGTGGCGTGCGTACGGGAAAAGGAACATCTGAAGGTAGACCTCTAAGTGTGAGAACACCTGAAATTGACGAAGCATTCATTCAAAAATAATTTTTACTTGGCAAAAAACCATTGGCGTACCATTTTTTTCTTAAAAAATATCGAAGATTTTGTGTTTCAGCAAGATGGTGCAGCGTGCCATACCTCAAAAAAGGCTATAAAATGAATGGAAGAAAATAATGTACCACTTTTGAAATGGGTTTCTAGCAGTCCAGATCTGCCACCTATTGAAACTTTGTGGCACGAGATGAAAAAGGTTCTACGACAACATCCTGCTCGTACAATCACCGAACTGAGATACAAGCTTCAAGAAATATGGGATTGTTTTACACCAAATGTTTGCCAAAACTTGGTTAACACTATGCCCCAAAGAATTTCAGAGGTAATAAAAAATAAAGGTGATGTTACCTAATGGTAATCTTTCAATTGTTGCTTTGTTAACTTCGCGCATTTATTCGCACATTGTTTATTTGTTCAGATGTTCTATTAGTTATAGGTCTAAGTGATTTCAAATATGTATTTTTTACGACTAGAGTGTATCTAAAATGATTTTGAGAAAATACATTGTTTTAGAAGTAAATAGTTTCGTCATGTTTCAAGAACAAGATACTTGTAGCTTCAATATGCTGTTCTTAGAACCTCAATATTACCATTTTTACCTGAATACAGAAGATAGAATCGCGAAAAATGCACAATTTTCATTTGTTCTCTTAATCTTTTCCATCGGTGTACGAAGAAAATAGTAGATATACTGATATCACTTACCCTAGAATCCTCATCTAGCAAAACACCTCTTTGGACAGACGTCAAAAAGCAAGTATGCGCAGTAATAATGTCATCTAGACACTCGGCCTTGTTAACTTGATTTTGCATTTCGGCCCACGAACATTCCAAAACTTCAAACAGGAAATAATACTGCGTTTGATTCAGAAAGTGGATCATTTTGCTTGTTAGTATGTGAATCAAGTGCATGACTGGTCGCAACTCTGCAAAAAAGATTAGTTGTAATTTATTTTAAAAAATTAATAAGAAAAAACCGACCGTTAAGTCAAATGATTAAAGGTCAAATTCATAGTAGCTCCAGTGTTGCCATACGTAGCGGAATTCCGCTATTTGTAGCGGATTATTTTGAGAAGAGCGGCGTAGCGGCGCTAGAGCAAATTAGCCCAAAATGTAGCGGAATTTATTACATACAAAACTATCATATTTATTTCACTGTTTTAACGTTAATAACGTTCTAAATCCTAAATAGGCAGTGGCTAGAGTCTGATTTATTCCACTTGCCTTTTTTTCAATAACAGATGGCGTACGTACTGCTTTCAATACTAATTGTTTCTAACAGGTCCCAGCAGGCAGACATAATATTAGGTTTCTCGCTTTGTATTGTATTTTTCAGCTCTGGGTACATACTGTTTAGTTTCGTTTATATTAGTGTTCTTATTTTTGTGTTGATCATTTTATTGATATATCATTTGCTGCAGATTTTAATATTAAATCTAATGGTAAGTAACAAAACTGCTTAAATATCTAACATATTATAGTTTGATCCAGAAATAAATCTTATTCGCGAAATTTGTTTTTAACGCTTTTTCTTCTGGAAAATAGGAATAATGGAAAGGCGACAGCAGACCATTAACGATTTTTTTGATAAAAATCCTTCTAAAAAACAATCGGTGAAACCAAACGTGGCCGTACCATCCACTTCGACTGCATCTGTGTCGGACTCGGAGCATCCCGAACCTGAATACAGACAAAATAGAAGAGCGGAATCTAGTGGAATCAGGTCTGAGCCTGATAATTCGACTTGCGAATCTCAGGATAACCAAGAGCCAGAGCAACCTGTTAAGAAAAAGACACGAAAACAAATGTTTACTTCATCATGGCTAGAAGATCCGTTATTTAAAGGCTGGTTGGGACCTATTGAAAATGACAAGTTGAAAGCAAAATGTAAAGCTTGTAATCAAATAATGGGTGATAAAAAATCAGATTTAGTGAATCATTCGAAATCAAAAAGGCATGCCACTAATGTACAAGCAATTTCGAAAGTAAGAACGTTAGATAGCACTTTTCAGTCTCGGGAAGCACGTGAGTTGGAAAAACGGCAAATATTTGCTTGCTTAAGATATAATCTTTTAGTTGTAAGTCATTATATAAGTTTTAGAACTGTTGATCATATAACAGGAGTTAGTCAATTATGGTTTAAAGACCCAGATCTCTCTAGCTCACTATTAATTAAAAAGATCCAAATGCATAAGTATAATTAAAAATGTGCTGGCTCCTGTTATTAAAGACGAAATAATTTCAGAATTGGAAAATAAACCATTTTCTATTTTATTGGATGAGAGTACAGACCTGAGCAATACAAGACTACTATGCATTCTTGTAATGTATATTCATAAAAATTCAATTAAAACCCATTTATTAGATATAATTAAAATAAACGCAGATGAAGGTACCGCCAAAGGTTTATATTCTCTTTTTAAATAATGCGTTATATCCAATCAAGTAAAAATTACCAATATTGTTTAATACTGTTCCGACAACGCTAGTGTTATGATGGGCAATAACGAATCTTTCAAAACTTTTCTTTTAAAAGATAATCCTAATATAATTGTCAATGACTGCATTTGCCACTCTGCTCATTTAGTGGCGGTGGCGGCAGCTGAAAAGATTCCAAGCAACGTTGAAGCTCTTTTACAAAACTTATATTCTTACTTCTCAAGAAGCCCAAAAAGGCAGTGTGTTCTTGAAGAATTACAGGAATATTTCAAAAAGTCAAAATTAAAAATTTTAAGCCCTATTAAAACAAGGTGGCTTGCTTTATCCAAATGTGTTGATAGAGTTTTGGATCAGTGGGACATCTTGCTTAGCCTATTTAGATTAGCTTCCATTGAAGACAAAAATCCTGTAGCAAATGTAATACTTAATGAGTTACAGAATCCATTTGTTAAGGCGTATTTAATGTTTTTTAAATTCGTGTTGCCCATTTTTAACCAATTTAATGCTCTCTTTCAATCAGAGAAAGTTATGCTCAATATCATATCAATAGAGAGTGAGCGATTTGTACGTCATCTATGTACAAACTTTATGCGACCAGAATATTTTAAAAATGAGGAATTATATAATCTAAATCCTAATGATCCCCACTGCTTATTACCAATTGAACAAGTGAATGTTGGTCCGCATACAATGGATGCAATAAAACATTGCAATAACACGGCAATCGGACAATTTAAATTAAAATGTGTCACATTTTACGGTAGAAAGTCCCTTAAAAGATTTCCTATCAAAGACAACTTCTTTTCAGAGCTAAAGTTTCTCTCACCGGTTGATGTGATGACAATCGTCTTATTATAAGTGATACCTTTCATGACGCCGTTTTAAAAAAATTTGCCCTTCATATTGAAACCGAAAAGGCAATTTTGGAACTGAAGAAAATATGTATTTATTTTAGTGATAGTGAGAAAGAGGAAATTTTAAAAACAAAAAGTAATGTCATTGAATTTTGGTCGTTTGTAAACGACCTCAAAAATTTTAATGACGAATATTTATTTCGCAATGTAGGTAAACTGGCTCTAATCATTTTAACATTGCCTCATGGAAACGCTGATGTTGAGCGAACTTTTTCTTATATGCTTGATTACAAAACAAAAAAAGAAATAAAATAATACCATCAACTTTGTCTGCACTACTTACAATTAAATTAGACTTGGAATCAAGAAAACAGTGCTGTTTATCCTATAGTTTTAATGAGAATCATTTAAACAAATATAAAAAGAATTTATATAATGTAAATAAGGAAGAACAAGCTGAAGAAGAAGTAATTTCTGATTCTGACTGTGAATAAAATAAGTAAACGTAGGCATTTCCACGTTTCCGCTTCTTCTTTGTCCTTATTTTTTGTTTTTTTTTCTATTAAGATTAAGATATTGGTGATAGTTTCTATTTTTTTATTAGTTCCTAATTCTAAACCAAAGACAGTTTTGTTTTTTTAGAGGTACTATACTTTTTATGTTTTTACGAAAAATTGCAATTATATCATGTTACTGTTTGTATTTTTAGTAGGGTTTTTAGACAGTGTTTTAAAAAAAAGTAAATATGTAAAAAATATATTTGTTGTTCATTTTAAGCCTCCCCCCCCCCTTAAATTTTTAGACCGTAGCAGCATGTAGCGGAATTTTGCGATACGTGTGACGGATATTTTAAACTTCGCTCTGGCAAAACAGAGTAGCTCTGAGCTGTGTGAATGCTATTTTTTTAAATCCTATTAAAAGCCACATACCTTCGATATTTTTGAAAAGTTTCGACATTGTAATTTGTTGCCTCCTCATATTAGCCAAGGCAAATTCTGTTCTCTTCGCACGCCACAAAGCACCAAAAAGACTTTGATACGTTGACAATGTTTGCTGGAAAATTGTCCCTACGGGTCCGTCTACTATGTAAACCAAGCCAAAAACGTCCCAACCTTAAAAAAAAGCATTATAAAAAATTCAATAAAAAAATTGTCGCGGCTTTCAAAATTCGTCAACCATACCTGTATCCCCAGAGGAATGTGACATGAAGAAAACTGCAAGTCGTTTCAAAGTATCTTCATCTTCATATTGCGCATTAGTGACCCTGATTGCAGATTCCAAAATTGCAGTTAACGTGTGAATGTATATTTGCCCTGCAGGCTTGTTGAGTTCTGGACTGCGAATGAAATTAAACAATAAAGGGTTGTCCAATAGGGACGCAGGAAAGTAAACGTCAATTTGACATAGACGCCATCTTTGTTTTCTGTCACCGACATGTCATTTTGTTAGTTGAATGTTTACCATTGATCGCTATGGAGTCGTATTCGATTGAAGACCGCATTAAAGTTATGCAAGAGCATTACAAAAATGGTGCAAAAATAAAAAACACGTTTCGCGCGCTTCGTGAACATTTCGGTCGCAACAACCGCCCAAACGAAACAACCATCGGTCGTCTGGTGCGTAAATTCGAGGCAACAGGTTCTGTGGCAAATCTGCCAGGCTCTGGCCGGCCAAGGAGCGTTCGCACACCGGAAAATATTGCTGTTGTGAAGGAGAGTGTGAGAGACGATCCGAAACAATCAACAACGCGTCGATCCCAAGAATTGGGCATTTCGAGAACCAGTTTGCTCCGCATTCTCAACAAGGATTTGAGTGTACACGCCTACAAGATCCAATTGACGCAAGAGCTGCGTCGGGCCGACCATTTTTCGCGCCGAACGTTTTCAGATTGGCTCCTTGAACACCGCCAAATTGATGCCAATTTTTCATCAAAAATCATGTTCAGCGACGAAGCGCATTTCACTTTGAATGGGACGGTAAACAAGCAAAACTGCCGCATCTGGGCGAACGAAAATCCCCGTGAGTATCAAGAGCAGCCGATGCATCCTCAAAAACTTGACTGTGTGGTGTGCATTGTGGTCAAAAGGCATCATCGGACCTTACTTTTTCGAAAATGCGGCCGGGGACGCCGTTACCGTCAATTCTGAGCGATATCACGTGATGATAGAGGACTATTTTTTGACGCAACTTGAAGGAATGGATATGGACGATGTTTATTTCCAACAAGACGGTGCAACATGCCACACAACCAACGTCAATATCCATCGATTGCAGTCCTTCTTCGGTGATCGCGTGATTTCGCGCAGAGGAAATGAGCCATGGCCATCAAGATCGTGCGATTTGACTCCCTTGGACTTCTTTTTATGGGGATATTTGAAAAGCAAAGTCTACGTCAACAAACCCGCCACCCTCCAAGAACTCAAAAACAACATCATTGCCGAGATAAATGCCATAGAACCGACCATATTGCAAAATGTCATTGAAAATTTCGACCATCGCGCGGACGTCTGTAAATCCAGTCATGGTGAACATTTGAGCGATATTATTTTTCATACATAAATGGTATAAATGAACCTTCAAAATAAAGTACCCAACTTGATTTGAATATCAATCTTTCTTGTTTTAATATGCGTTTACTTTCTTGCGTCCGTTTTGGACAACCCCATATTTGAAAAAAACAGCCAAATGTCATTATTTATGTTGATCTTGCTTCTTATCACATTGTAGACTTCCAAAATGTCGGAATGATAAAAAAATAGTTGGATAAAAGTTTGACGCTTACGTTAAAAGATCCAACAAATGTCTGATGAAATCTCCTTGTCCCAAAAGAAGGTATCTCCTCAATGACTGCAAATGTTCCAGTAATCTGTACTTATTCTTCAGCAGTTCTAGAACCCTAAGCGACGTTTCTTTATATACACTTTCCAATGTCGCATGGAATTCTATACTTTGTTCTGGCGCGAAAAGTCCATCCGCTAAAATAGAAAGAGAAATGGTATCGCTGACAACTAGAGACGGTGGTAGACACGTATATTAGGCTGCCCCAGCCTGTGATGGCAAGCAAATCTTTGTTGGATTTGAGATACGCATATCATCTAATTTTTTTCATTTGACAGTAGAGACTCAAAAAAATAAAATTATTATTGCGATCCGGGAACGATAACTAAGCTTTGAATTTGGAACTTAGGGGCCATTCAAGTATTACGTAAGCAGATTTATTACAATTATTTACCCCCCATTTTGTACTTTCGTACTTGTATGAGATTTTTTAAAACTTACAAACAATTTTTGGTATAACTTGGATTTGACCATGTGAAACGACATCTTATTTAAACATTAAACTTTGGCTAATGGAATCAATGGTAACACAAATGTTAACCTTGCTTTACTATGCTTACAATACGTCTACTCGCTATAGTATCCAAACGAAACAATACACTGATAGAGGACATTTAGACAAGTGAACATCGCGCGGTAATTCCCCTACTCGGTTCTAAAGCGAGTAGGGGAATTACCGCGCGCTGTTCACTAAACGTATGCATTATTTGCGGGAATCCCCGAAAATGCGTTTCGTTTTCAAGCAAAGACAATGTGAGGGTTGTCATTCGTGTAAAAAAGTAAATAACTACCGATGACGTAATCATCATCTAGACTCCCCTACCCCCCATGTCATGCAAAATAAGCAAAGCAAAGACCCCCCCGCCCCTCCATAGTGCTCACGTAATACTTGAACTAACATTTTAAGATCGTTTCAAACCACACTCTTCTTACCTAATGTGGTTTTGAACAGCTTCTGCAGCGATTCCCTTCCGGGCAAGTGGCCGCTGTCCTTACAAATCTGCCTCAAGAAATTTATGCTTTTCCCGGTTGCCAAAATTTTCTTCGCTTGGCTCATTTTTATGAACGACGGCACCATATGTTGTCTGACGTGGTACTTATCGTGCCAAAGACGTTCAGCAGTTGAGACGGTTTTGACTTCGATGAAAAATTCGTTATAAGGGTCGTTGATTTCTCCGTCTAGCAACCAACGCGACAGCATTACATAGAGAGGTTTACATACTGCTTTCAATACCCTTTCTGAAATCTGAAATAAAAGGTTGCATGTAGCATCTAAAACATATGCTGTGGTTTCCATGCTGACAGGATTGTCTGACCGCTACAAAAATGATTAAATATTTATTTCGTGTATTAATGGACATATTGGAATTTTTCAAACTAAAAAACCTCCCCTTGTCTTTTCTTATTCGGGGTGTTTTCAAAGTTGAGTCATATGAGACCAGTAAATGTGTTACCAGACATTGAAAAATTATTAGAGTCCATAGTGCATGACCACTTAATGCAGTTTATAGAAGAAAACAAAATTTTAGTGGAGGCGCAAGCAAACTTTCGAAAAAAATATTCCACAGACACAGCTTTCCAGTTGGTAACTGAGAATTGGAGAAGAGCCATAGACTCAGAAGAAGTTGTCATAGCAGTATTTTTGGATTTGAAGAGGGCATTTGAAACGATTGATAGAGATATTTTGTTAGGTAAATTGAAGGCATATGGTATTACAGGAAGTGTTTTAGATCGGTTTAGAAGTTATTTGTCTAAAAGGATGCAAGTTACAAAAGTTAATGACACTACTTTATCAAAAATTGAAAATACGTTCGGTGTTCCACAGGGCAGTATCCTGGGACCACTTCTTTTTATTTTATACATAAATGATTTACCTGCCTTAGTCAAAAAATGCAAAATTCAGATTTTCGTCGATGACACTATGATTTATATAAGTACTAAAAATATTCAGTCTGGTATCTCTTATATGAATGAAGACTTGAAGCTTGTCTCAAAATGGTTAGCATCTAACAGACTAAAATTAAATGCAAGTAAAACGAAAGCCTTGTTAATCGGAAAAAACAATGTACAAATGTTCAACTGAATATTGATGGTGAAGATATTGAATTCGTAGAAAATTTTAAATACCTGGGGTTTTTTGTTGACTCTCGATTAATTTTTGATATCCATTATGAAAAAGTTATAAATAAGATTAGTAGTAAAGTGGGATATTTATCGAGTTTCTGGATGTCTGAGTTCATATAGCAGAAAAATTATCTATAATACCATCATTCTTCCAAATTTCTTGTACTGTTCGACTATTCTATATTTAGCAAATAATTCCATTTTTGAAAGACTGCAAATTTTACAAAATAAGTGCATGAGAATAATACTAAATAAAGATAAATATACTCCAATTAGGCAAATGCTTAGCAAATTAAAATGGCTCAATGTAAAAAATTTTATCAAATATCTTGTAATGATATTCATTTATAAAGTAAAAAATAATATATTTCCATCAAGTCTATCAAATTTAACATCATCAAATGTCGACCATCATTTACATAATACCAGAAATAAAGATGACTTCCATTTAATGACCAAAAAGTATAACATATGCTACAAATCTGTATTCCATCAAGGGTTGATTGAATATAATAAATTATACTCGGAGATAAAAGACCAGAAAACTTTGACAAAATTTAAAGTAAAATTGAGAAATCACTTGTTAAATCTACAATTATAGGTTGCCCAGCATTTACATCATACACCATATGGCTTGAATTTACTAGTAAATAAATCTTTCTACTACTACTACTATTACTATTTATTTTAATTGCTTGTAGGACTCGTCAAAAGGAGTTGATATATCAAAAATCACCTATATCAAGGTTGCATAACAAGAAAAATAGTAAGGATTAAAAATTTCAAATTATAAGAATGTTATTACACAGATTTTTTGATATTCCCGACCGCCGCCGTGTTAAATCTTAGCGTTTTTTATTTACTACTCTTATCGCTTCTCTAAATTTGGCAAACTTTTTGTGTTATTGAATGGTTTTCAGAACGAGTCTTTCATTGGATCAGTTGTATAATTTTTTTAATAGTGTGTATACTTTCATTTGTCTGAATATTTTGTGTGAAAAAATGGCCCAAGTTTACGAAAACAATGAACTAGTGGACATAATACTGACATACGGAGAGCGCCAGCGAAATGCGCCGTTTGTAAATTTAGTTATTAGATTTCATGACACAGGATATTTAAAAGAAAAACGAGGAGGTCACGCTCAAAGACCTGCTCAACCTGAAATGTTACAAATTGAGGAAGCCATTTTAGAAATGGTCGAAGACGACCCAACAATAAGTACCACAGGTCAAGTTGAAGTTTCTCATAGTAAAGTGTGGAGCAGAATCCTAAAAAACTGGCCAAAAATCAAATTTTTGAGTTGTATATATTCGTCTATATACGTTTAGATCTTGTTTACGGATAGTCCTAGAATGAAATTCCGGACAGGGCAGGTGTACGAGCCCCTTCCCACTTCAGTTCGCCCACTTCAAGATTTGCACCAAAATATGCCTTTATAAACTAAACATGACGAAACTATTTACGTCTAAAACAATTTATTTTGTGTCAGCGCTCCATTTTACTTGGTAATGATTTTCCTTAATTTTTTATAATGTAAACTGACTCTCTTATTATGACGAGTTCGACAAGCTGTTGAAATAAATGACTCAACTTTGTAAACAACTCTGTATAGGAGTTACATGTTATGCTTTACCTCTTGTGCGCATTTCGAACCGTGTTGTAGGAATCCATGAATAGCTGTGGTTAAGGCTCCTCCTTTCTTGTCTCTACATTGCTCAGCTATATAAGCTAACCACTCAAACCTTGTTTGATGTTCATGCATCACATACAAAGCCTTCTTCAGGGTCATATCAGAGTTTTCTTGGCCCGGAGGTTTGTTAGCCTGAAAAGACATGTTTAGACGTCGAAAACCGAACAAAAAATGAGATGAATATTAATTCAGCAAAACTGAAGAAAAGTTCCCAGCTATTGTGACGATAACAAATAGTACTGTTGGCGCCATCTGTTGGAAGACTCTCCTACTCGCCAGAGCTTCATGGCCGATCTCTGCTTTGGCGCTTGGCGACGTCTGTGAGGACTCGCCTTCTAGATCGACGCGACGTGACCTTGAATATTGTACATGCCGCTTTGTGGCCCGACAGACCTTTCTCGAATCAGCGTTGGGGGTGGTCCATTCATGTGTGGACAGAATATTACTCATAAACAAATACATTTTGGGAAAATCTCTTTATGGCATGTTATACACGACATTTGAGGGTGTGCCAATTTTGACCTACATATCAAAGTTATGATTTTTTAAATGGAATGCCTCAAATTTTATTGCATATTTGGATAAACCAATTCTAAAGAAGAAGAAGGGGTTTTGGTAATTAGCTACTGCGATGTAAGGTGTTTTGTCCAGAAAAACCGTCCACTTCGGCAACACCTCGATCCACCATTTTGAAATTTGGAGTGCTTAATTTTGTATCAAAAAACAGCTTACACACCTCAGCTTTTATCTTATTTGGTACTTTTTCGAATTTTCACTTTTGCTCATACAGGGTGGTCAAAAATGCGAATTGTACTTTTTCTCAAAACTTTCAAGTGCATCACCCTGTATATTTGGGCAAGTGTGGATTCAATTTTTTATAAGCTTTTTTTTGATATCCTCCAGTGGTTCTAGGCTCTTTATACTCAAGTCTGTTCTAGTGGTACCGAAGACTTTTTACTGTTATGAAATATCCGGGTTCAGACATAAGAATAAAAATAATAACTTACCGATGCTTGAAGAATAGCAACTGTTTTGTAATATGCAGAAAGTTCATCGGTTAATGTTGCTATAAGTGCTTGGCCTATAGTGCCACGTTGTTTCTCATTTTCCTCGCAAAACCTTAAAACGGACTCAGTCTCATTTAAAGTGTTACGCCCACAAAAAATAATTTCTTCAACTTTTTTTTCAACATCATGACCATATTTAAAGCATGCTGTGGCGACAATGTCAAAGTCTTATCTTTGTTTTTGTTTACATTAATTAAAAGTTAAAATGTCATCTTTTAGTTTTTGTGAAGAATGCAGTTTCTGAGATCTAAGTAGTACAGATATTTTTAGTTACTGCCCTTCCATTTACTCATGTTAAGCATAACAAAATGCCTTGCGTTCGAAGTCATCCAAATAATCAACAAGTCAGCAACTTTGACAGTGGTAGAATTATTGCTTATCGAGATGTTGGTTTGTTCTATCGCGAAATTGCCCGCCGTGTTAATTGTACTGCAATGTAATGCGGTTGTGTCGCTGACCAATGTTTTGGAGAAGGTAGACCTGTTACTATGCGTACATTTTATCGCGGCATTCGAGCCTTTCGACTTTTTTTTATACCGGCCACGGTTAGTGCTTTCTCTGACTGCGGACCACTGTCGTCAACGTTTGAACTGGAGCACGCAACATTGGGAGGCAAAATGAAAGTATCTTTATTTAATAGCTTCAACAGGGTGTCCGCAAAGTTGGGGTTTTCCTTTTCAGAAACAACTACCCTTGAAATAACAAAGGTAATGTGTAGTGAAAAATAAAGGAAAAAGTACTCACTCTCCAGTTGACGAGAAGGGCTAAGTACGTCTCTGCCCGAAATCATACCGCTCCAACAGAAAATGAAATCAGCTGAAGCGCTACCGAGCAGACGCAGAAACCACATTGATTGTCTTACACTTAATGGCACATCTTCTAACAAGGAAGGCAAAATGTTGCGTGAAAAGTCTGGGTATTGCATCCCGTCCAATCGATTTGGGAGAATAAATGGTCCAATGAGCATACCGTTCACCATGCCAGCCCAAACATTCACCGAAACTGTTTGTTGAAAATGACCAAACATGAGTGTTGCGAAAGTTATTCACCCCATTACGCGTGAAGGTAGATTCGTCTGTCACGAATATGCACTTCAAAAAGTCCGGATTATTGTCATGTTGATGCAACAACCACTCACAAAACCGCTCTCTTGCTGAAAAATCGTCAGGTTGAAGGGCTTGTACACGTTGGACGTGAAACGGATACAGCCCAGCCCCTCTTCACGCAGCGTTTGCCACACTTTAGTTTTTGATACTTGCACTTCTCTAGCCACGTCTTTAGTGCTTGTTGTTTTTTGAAACGCAATCGATTATACGAGTTCGTTTACCTCTACCCTCTACAAGCGTGACTGTAACCGTCGGTTGAAGGTTGCATACTAACCTGACACACTGACCCCGACCCAGTTCTGCCGTCGGGTTGAGACCTTGTACCAATCGGTGATGTCCCGGGTCGCGGCTACAGGACGGTATTCAGATATTTTTGATGTTGCAGAGCCCTTTATCTCGGTTCCCTTAAGACATTGGTGTATATGGTACTAAGAAAAATTGCTTATGTTTTCAAGATCTACACGTCGTGTAAAGGAAAACCCCAACTTTGCGGACACCCTGTATATATAATGTTATTATCTAAAACTAACACTATTTTCTTCATAAATTCTCAATTGTCTTTTGAATTTGACAAAATTTGTCGATTTGATTTCAGCTGGTAAACTATTAAAATCTATAAGGCCTTTATGAAATAAACTTTTTCCGCAAAAGTAGACCCCACAGCAGGAACATAAAAATCAAACCTACTCCTTGTATTGCAACTATGAATATCACAGACAAATTGCAAACCTTCCGATATGTGTTCGGGATGCATTCCATCCTTTATTTAATAGATGACTATCATTGTATTGTAAAATATATTTTGCTCGATACTTAATAAATTATTTACTTCTAACATGTCTTTAATTCTTGTGTATCTTAATCATCTTAATATACATCTAAGAGATTGATTTTGTTTTCTCTGTAGTGAATCTATATCACCTTTCTGAAACATGTATAAAATGGAGGAACAGTAGTTAAAGTGAGGCATGACTATTGTTTTATATATACATGTAAGTAGTGACATCCATGAACTAAGGCCCTTTGTTACCCTACACATTAAATTAACTTTTTTAGAAACTTTTTTTATAATATTATCTGCATGGCTATTGAATGTTAAATTTGAATCTATCATAACTCCTAAATATTCATACTTGTTAATCTGTTTAATATTATTATTTTCAATTATAAATCCGTTGTCTTGTCAACATTAATACTAATACTATTGTTCCCGAACCAGACATATAGTGTCTTTTTAAGTCTTCATTAATCATTTTAACCAAATAGTCTATGTTGTCACATTCCATGAACAAAATTGTATCGTCTGCAAACACCTGAATTTTGCAATTTTTTACAGCCTTTACAATATCATTTATATACAGCACAAAATGGCATAATGTCATCTTCAGCGACGAATCGCGATTCGGTATAGGTACGCACGATGGTCGTAGAAGGGTAAGACGTCGCCGTTATTGGTATGTAATCAGGACTGTTGGGGGTAATGGTTTGAGGGGTTATTGCCTATGGTAGCCGATCACCCCTTCTGTTTGTTCAAAGCAATATGACTGCTGCGCGTTATGTAGATGATGTCCTAGAAACCACTTTACCGCCGTATCTAGAGAGCCGTCCACACGCCCTTTTTTAGCAAGACAACGCACGCCCCCATATTGCTCATCGTACTACGGCCTTTCTTCAAGAAACAGGCGTTTATGTTTTGCCGTGGCGGACTCAAATCCAATCGAACATGTGTGGGATATGATGCGGAGGAGACTATCCACTTTGCACCATCCTCCACAGACTCGGCCACAGTTAATCCACGAAGTTCGAGTTGGTTGAATATTAACAAATTTTATATAATGTTTGTCTCTTATTTTTTAATTTAAAATAATTCATCTTTTGCCACAACATTTAGAACACTACATAGAATTGAATTATCATTACCACAATTATCATACAAGAGAAAATATAGATTTCAATTTACAAAATTACAATACTAATATAACTAGCAATCAATAGTTCAGATAGGAATACTTGAATTTAATAAACCGAATAATGATACTACTGCTTGTTTTACAAATGCGTGGAAGGAACATTTCACGGACAGTGAAAATTCTAAGATTTGCAAGTTCTGTTTTACTAAATATTTGTATGTCATCTAATAGTTGTAGTTATCTAAAAGAATGCTAAATAAATCTTACATAAAGAAACAAATACCTTTTAAGCTCATTGTGTAGAAAACTAATCCCAATCAGTCTTTCCAATAGAGCTCTTTGACTGGGTGTAAGTAATTTACCAGCTTTGGCATCGACTGCAAAGCCTAAACCTCCGGGTTCCCTTCTAAGGAATTTGCCTTCAATGCCTTGGAAGGAAAATACAACATCTTGTAGGAGTTCCTGCTCTGTGACAACATTTAAACCTGAAACAGTTCATTTATAAATAAGCATAATTGTCCTAAGTATGCAATGAAACCATTTCTGCGATTGATAATATTCATGAAAGTTCTGTGAGAAACATTTCAATTTATTGACATTCATTCTATGTTTTATAATTTTTTACGTTATTTACAAGTGACTAGAATTTACTATTGTGTGGACCACAACAGATGGGTACATCAGATATGGCAAATCAGATTAGTTTGAGATCCAAAAGAAGATTTGATGACGGTGAATTACAATTAAATATTCGAGATTTAACGCATGTTCAGTGTGACCAGAAATTATGGAAATAAACACGAAAGTAAATACCAACTATTTTCTCAACCAGAGACCAACACAAAAAGACTCAGAAGATAAAAATATGGACGATTATTTCAAAGACGTGTAAAAAAATAATGGTTTATTTTTGTAACATTTGTGAGAATTTCATTTTTCTTTACCCCACTTGTTTAGACATAAATACTTTTGAACTATTTTCTGTAGACAATTCAAGTATGGGAAAATGTAAATTGAAAGAGTATTGCAGACAGAAGCCCATTTTTCGTCAGATGAGGAATGCTGAAATTTTTTTATCTCTTTATCACTATAGCTTCGCCTTCATAGGTGTATTTTGTTTAAACTTTGTGAATATAAGTGAAAAATCGCATAAAGCCTTTGTGATCTGAGAAGGTGGTGTCATAAATACAAGGCACATAACTAGGTACTTATGCAAATATGTGGACCATGTTGGAATGATGTAACCCATATGAAAGAGTAGAATACAACTTGAAAAAATGTATAGGTTTGTTGCCTATACTAGTGAAATTAAAATTTCCACATACAATTACGACTATATTACAATTTGGATAAATAATGACCTTCTCCATATTTAAAAAACTCCTAATATTTCTATTTGGTGGATGGTAACAATTTAATATTACTGTTTTTTTTAAAACAACACATTATATTATGCAAAGTTCAAAATCTAGCTCCACACACTGTGCAAGTACAATTTAGATCATACGTGCATACGAGCCCCTTCCACTTCAGTTGGCCCACTTCAAGATTTGTACCAAAATATGCCTTCATAAACTAAACATGACGAAACTATTTACTTCTTAAACAATTTATTTTCTCAAAAACATTTTAGATACACTCTAGTCGTAAAAAATATATACAGGGTGGCGCACCGAAAACGAAACAGACGCATATACTAGAAGCGCAGTTTTTTTTTGAAAAACGATCAGACCCGTTGATTTTGTTTTCGAGAGGGGCACAAGTTTGGCAAAAAATCACGTTAGCACGTGCAGCCCCCTAAGCGGGGGTGATACCACCCCCAAAATCTTAAACGGAAAGGGGGGTCGAGTGATACCTTATTTTAAAGGTCCTTCAATTCCCTCTATAATGATATAAAATTAATGTACTTCAGTTCAGTAGTTTTGAAGATTTATTTTAAAGCTTAGACTTTAATAGGTATATCAGATTAGTTTGTACTACTTTCAGAAGAAGTAAGGGGATTCCATGCATATTATTTTTTAAAGGAAACATAATGGAGAAGGTATTTAAAGATATCCTTCTAAAGAAAAGGATGTCGAACAGCAATTTGAATGAAAAAAGAAGCTTTTGATGGGTGATGGTATCAACATTGACAAATTGTGTGACTGCTTTATAGCAGCTAGTCATAAGGGAATTCCATGCATATTATTTTTTTAGGTAAGGTTTTTTGTATTAATGTGTTGATCTTCTTTACACATCAATTCTAAAATAGAAAAAAAAGAGTGAGATTATCAATATGTTTGTCGTGAACAAAAAAAAACTCAAGTAACTAACTAAAAAATACAGGATAAGATATTTTTAAGACTTACATGAAATCCTTGATGAAGAAGGAATGTCAGCTTTGGACCAAGATGCTGAAGAAGCAGTTGTAGTTTGTGAAGTAATTTTATGTGTATTTGAATGTAATGTACTGTGATGAGACTTTCTCTTATCTCTACTATCAAATATATGCTTAACACTTTCTTGAGACTGTGTATTTGATAGGGCTATAGACGATGTTCGAGTCAATATCTGCCCAGAATCTTTTGTAGAGCAATGCAAAACTGACTCACTAGGGTGCCCTGGATGTTTGCCTAATCTTTGGCTTAAATGGTAGAGGAAACATAGTGTTAAATCTCTCTTCTTCAAAATTGTCTGAAAAAAAAAACATAATTTTGATGACAGTAAAAATTCCAGGTCTGCCACAGATTACTTATTTTCCGAAAGGGGCATTGGGGCATTGTATAACGTTTTTATGTGCTTTCAATGCCCATGTTCTTGCTAAGTTGAGTAGGGTTCTGATTTTTTGGTACTAAGTGAGAAAAGTCTTATGAAGTACCTAACTTTTAGCACTGCCAGACACTTCTCTCTATTCATAACTTCTGCCAGATGGTTTGAACAAGGATATAACTATAAATTGTCATTCATTTAACTTTTCATATGACAGTTTAGAGAAAAATGTTTTATATAAAAGTTACAGAGTCTAATAACTGCAATTTCTTTTTTGTATACAGGGTGTCGGTACTATTGATATGTTCTATTTAAATTAATACAACTTTATTTTATAAGACTTTTCCGAGACATCCTACATACAAAAAAACCTAGCATGTAAAATGTGATATTACACCTTATAATTTTCAGATGACACTATTTTTTCTCTAAGATAAGTTCTTGAACAGGGAGGACAATTTATAGCAGGACACCTTGTTGAAAGCATCTGGAAGAAGTTATGGTCTGAACTCTGAATATTATACTTTCAAAATGTTACACAAAGTATATACAGGCTGAAGGGAAAATAGATGCGGAGCCGGTGGGAAGATATAGTACAAGCCTATCTGGGTCGATTTTACAATTCTTAATCGATTTGTGATTTTTATACCTCATTTGAAAGGTAATGAAACGTAGATGTTTTCTAATTATTCTGTATGAAAAATTTGTATGCAACTTTTTCTAGTAAACTGAAGCTTTTGAGATGAATGAAGATTTTTTTAAGAAAACTCGAACTATTTTGAAGCTTACTGCATGAGATAATGTCATTAATGTACATCTGAGTATCAATTTTTGTATTTTAGAATATTTCTATTGTAAAACAAAAAAAAAAAATCAAATGAAACAGTCAATTTTCAAGTTCTATGACTTGTTTAACGTATAAAGGACGTTAATTTTATAGAATCTTAAAAATTAGTATAATTGGAAAACGGCTAATTTTCGGACAGTAGTTCCTATAGTAAAATAGACTCAGACTGGCTTGTACTACCTTCCCCCACTGGCTCCGCATCTATTTTCCCGTTACCCTGTATAAAAAGTAACTCTTATTATTTAACCTTTCTCACCTGGTAGCAGTAAATTAGACCTCTACTCAATTTAGCATGCACTAAAGTATTGAAAGTGTAAATGCTATTCAATGTCCCACATTTTGACTTCAGAAAACAGGTAATGTCTGACAGCCTTGGGATCTTACTCTTGTGACACCAAATACAGATATGTAATGGGTGATTCTGACTCATGTGTTATATATAACAGTATACTCACAGATCCTTTCAATTTTGAATACAAAATCTCAAATCGGTCAAGCTTATCCTTTGATTGTGAGGACAGCAAATGCCTGATACAATTCACTATATATTCTTCTTGATTCAGACTGTTTGTAGTCACTGTTGACGTGCAAGAGAGGCACATTAAAGCATTATGTGATAGTCTTTCAGAAATAGCTAAAAATCACATTTATTTCATTATGAAGAAATGTTTTAAGCTAACAAGGTGGACCTACCTGGATTGTGCTTCGACAAGACATCACACAGCTTCAATATAAGCTCCGTTATATTTTTTGTATCTATGCTATCGGCAACATCCATATTTGTAATATCTGTAGACTATACACTAACAATATAGAGAGAATCTTAAAAAACAGGTATAACAAGTTGTAAAACGAATTAATCAACAGCAGTTATGGTTCAGTTTAGGTGCACAATATATTGGATCAGTACAATTTATTTTGCTAGATAATATATACACAACTACTAGAACGTTCAGTGTGTTTTTTAAATAGTCCGTAATAAAGCTGTGAAATGAAAACTACTTATAAAATGAAAACACTGAGAGGAAAACATTTCAAAATTTTTAAGTGGTTAGAGTTTTGACAAAACATCAGTGTTGCCATGTTGCAAAAAAAAACAACAGAAAATAATTCAAAATATCCCTACATTGTTGTGGTGACATCTGTGAGCGGGTAAAGCAATTTCTAGATTTAATTATATACATTCCTATTAGGCAGCGGTATTTCGTATCTTCCCACCACACTTGTGGTGTACTTGTTTCGTAGCTGTACGTGTTGTCTGCGTCATGATGCCTCAGCTGACAATGTTTGGCTCTGATGTGATCTGCTCCAGAGATGGCACTATTGGAGGTCTACGGTAACGCTCTAGTCTTGCGATAGATGTCGCCAACAGTTGCAGATGTATCGACATCTAGTAGTTGTAAATTGAAACAGTACAACTGTAACGGCAACAATTGTCATAATTGTCAAAAAATACTTAAACATCGGCTGGTCGGATAACGTCATCTTTTGTAAATAAAATAATTGTGATTCCATAGTTTTTGTATAGTAATTGTGAAATATCTACAGGTAATTAATTGATTAAAGATTATAAATCGATTCTCGTTATTTCATGTTAACCATTAAAAAACAGTGTATAAATTTTTATTTTTCCATAAAATAGTAAAATGGCAGAGCTACTGTCCGTGCCGTTGAAGAAACCTAGCGATGTGGATATTGTAAAGCCTTTGAAAAACCTGATCCAGTCTCGATATAGCACTGCTGACAAACCTGAGGACTGCTCAGAAGCCATCAATGAGTTCGCCAAAATGCGCACGAACGCCCTATGGAAGGCGTTCGAAAAATACGAAAGCTCCTTGGATCTTATTTATGGGTATGATTCATACAATTATTTATCACTCTTCATTTTGAATTGGATAATAAACAGTGATTGTCATTCATAATGAGATCGGATATGCTTCTTAAGCTGAGTTGTTAATTAAACATTTAATTGCAACTAGTATGACCTTATAACTTTCCTTGATTCCTTGCTTATTTTTAGTGTTCCAAGAGGCAAAAGTATTTTATAAAAGGTGGTGGTTATTTGTTTGTTATACATACAGGGTGATTCAGAAAAAGGTGTTATATTTCTAGGGTGTACGAGCCCCTTCCCACTTCCCAGTTGGCCCACTTCAAGATTAAAAAACTACGACTGTCACCAACACAAACTTCAAATCGGGCCTCATCACTCCATTGTATTGCACATCATTGTTAAGGTGTCCATTGTTCTTTAGGCCATCTAAGCCGATTTTTCTTTTGCAGTGGAGTTAATAGTGGCTTTTCTTTGGCCTATAAACAAGTTGTGCAACTTTAGGATTTTTACTTCACTTTTTTTTATAAGAAAACTTACCTTGCAAGTTCTAAATCCCAGTTTGTGGGCCTCTCTATGAGTTGTGGAGCTCGAAATTCTCCTTCCAACAGCGTCACTCCACAGAACACTTAATTGTAAATAATTGGCACGCCTGTTTTTCACGATTATTCTTCTTAATGCTCTTCGGTTGGCATTTGTGATATTACTTTTTTTACATATCGTGGCTTAATATTAACTGAACCAGTTATGTTAGGGAGTGATAAAGTTGGTGTTTTCTACCATATATTATCAAAATATTCATTGTTAATATTTGAAACCTATAACACCGTGCTACATTTTTATTATTTGTGTTTGATAAGAAAAAACTAAGATTTCAATAGTTGGGCTAACTAAAGTGGGAAGGGGCTCGTATAGATATAATTGTTCGAAAAATGTCCACTTACTAAGTTACCAGGCATTGGAGTTATAATTTTAAAAAAAAATGCTCTGAGTGAATTAGGGTTTAAATTTTGGGCAATTCTCTACCTTAGCTACACCAGCCATTTTTTTTTGTCTTTCTAAATAGACACTAGGCTTGGGTTGTAAATGATGGAAATTAGATTAAAAATGCCCACAAATGGGTTAGTTGCCGGATATTTTTGATATTATCTGGGTTTTAAAAGGAATAAACACCAAAATCATGACATTTGCATAATATAACCTTTCCTATACATATCCCAAAATTGCCATATTGAAGAAATATAAGAAAGTCAATGAAACATACATAGTAGCTATCCTTTTGTTCCAGAATTTCTTCCCCTTCGAGTTGTGGTCAGAATGGTCAGATTCTGACAAATTCCTTATCATTATAGTACATCAAATTGGAAATTCTATTTATTGCTCATTCATCATTAAACTTGCTCCAAAAGCTCTTAAGAAGTGGGTCTAAATTCAAAATCTGTCAGAACTTTGCAACCTGGCTATTAGATTTGAAAATATACTAAGTGACATATAAATCTGAACACCCAGTTTAAATGGTTTTATTTTAATAAAAGTTGGTGAATGTATTTATCATACTGTAAATAACAAGTGAAAAAATTTTCAGCCTTATCAGTTGGACATTCCGGTTTTTATACTGCTTTTTTTTAATTCACTAACGCCCTAAAAATGAATATTTCAGCCGCAGTAAAGAATCAACGTTGGCGGATTTTGGTTCTTGACATCCTTTACGATCGGTTACGATGCCTAGAGTACGGAGACCTGTACGATTTCGTCAACTTAGTGGGTTTGATAGGGGCCGTATAGTGGGACTTCGGGAAGCTGGACTTTCTTTTCGGGCAATTGCTGTTAGAGTGCAAAGAAGTGTAGAACACTGTGGTTAGGTGTTGTCAGGCATGGCTTCGAGAAGGCCGTACGCAAAGAACAAGGGGCACTGGACGCCGCCGTAGAACAACAGACCGTGAAGATCGCCGCCTAAGATTATTGGCCTTAAGGGACCGTTTCTCCACTACCAGGTCCATTGCAAATGAATGGTTTGCAGAACACGGAAGACCTATTGGCATGCGAAGTGTTTACCGACGAATGAGAAGTTTTGGCTTGTTTTCATACCGGCCACACTGGGTCCTCCCTTTAACTCGAGAACACCGACGTAATCGCCTTGAGTGGTGCAGACAACGGTCACTCTGGGATCAGGAATGGAACAGTATTGTCTTTAGGGACGAGTCTCGATTTTGTTTAGGCATGCACAATGGTCGTGCTAGGGTTAGAAGGCGACGTGGTGAAAGGAGGAATCCACAGTTTTTTGTTGAAAGACATGTTCATCACACTGTTGGAGTTATGGTTTGGGGTGCTATAGCTTATGGTTCCAGGTGACCTTTAATCTTCATCAGAGGTAACATGAACGCGCAGCGTTATATCCACGAAGTTCTAGAACCCCATCTTTTACCCTATCTTGACACCCTGGCAGATCCAACTTTCCAACAAGATAATGCCCGACCACATGTTGCAAGAGTCACAATAGACTTCTTTCAACATAATGATGTCACATTGTTACCATGGCCACCAAGATCTCCCGACTTATCCCCAATTGAGCACGTGTGGGATATGATGGGTAGGAGATTGCTCAATTTGCAACGTCCTCCTCAGACTCTAGAAGCACTTCGAGAGGAGTTGGTGGTTGCCTGGAATGAGATACCACAGGAGGACATTGACCACCTGATCAGAAGCATGCCTAGGCGCGTTGGAGAATGCGTAGCACATCAGGGTGCATCCACACATTATTAAAGGTCAAAGGGCTTTAAAGCAGTGCAATCATTTTGAAATTTTTATCATTTACTTATTATGCTTCATTAAGTACTTATACAAAATTTTATTAAAATAAAACCATTTAAACTGGGTGTTCGGATTTATATATCACTTAGTATATCTGATAGCGACAGTCTGGTGGGATTGGAAGTTCCAGTGTGCAATTTTTTTTTGTCCAATCGAATATCTCAACTCAGCTGAGAACCAACTGGGGAAATGTGTGGTTTTATATCTTGATTGCTCTTCGTCCTATACATGTTACAGAACCAAAAAATAATAAATTAAATTGGAGTTCTTTAGGTAACAGTACTTTAGTTGGTGTTGGTTATAGTACTTTTAATTGAATTGAATTTATTTTGGAAGTAATCTGTACAAAATAATACAACTTATGTAAATTTTATCATATACATTTTTTTATTGGGATGCTACCTTTATGGTTTAGTTCTTGTTCAAAATATTCTTTGCATCCCTATTTACCAGACTTATTTTTTTAATTACATAGATATATTTGTTTCAGATATTATGACCAAATAGTAGCCCTGGAGAGCAAGATCCCTCCAAATGAACTCCAAGTTCCCTTCAAATGGAAAGATGCTTTTGACAAGGGGAATATCTTTGGCAGTAAAATGAGTTTAAGTGAGATTTAGAATAAACACATTGATTAACTATTCTAATGTGATGTTTCTTTTAGCTATCCCGTCATTGAGCTATGAGAAAGTATGTGTCCTTTTCAATATAGCAGCTTTACAAAGTGGAGTTGCAGCCGCTCAAAGTGTGGACAATGATGATGGCTTGAAGCTAGCTGCTAAGTTGTTACAAGTATGTAGATGGGATTTTTCATGAAATTTGCAAGTGTTTCAGAAGCTTTTTGGTCAGCTGGATCTTTGGACTACAAAGGACCCGGCAACATGCTTATGGGAAAAATGGTTTTGCCTAATTTCGCTGAATTTTTTATACAATATTGATACTTATTTGCCATTCTATACAGTACGAAAATACACAATACGTTAGCAAATAAATAATCTTGCGCTCACAAAAGCTACGCATCTTGACATCCCGAACAAATTTTTCAATGGGCACAGTCCCCAAAACTTGATGGGTGCCGTCCAAGTCAGTAACATATGTCCTGAAAGTTTTGGCATTAATGGATTTTTTTTAATGGATAAATTTTTTTAAACACTAATTAGTTATCATAAATTACAACTCAATACTTAACTAAACTGCATTATCGAATTATGTGAAGTGGCCCATTCTGTCCTACCAGACGCAACTTTCTTCGAATGTCTCTCACGAGGTCCTGGACGGAATTCGGATGAATTTTTCTCAGTTTTTCGTAAATTCACCGTCTTAATTGTTCTTCCTCTTGGGCTTCCCAGCTTCCATGATAAACCTCCTGGACAGTTCCAAAAATCCTCTATTGTGATCAAAACGGCTTATATCCATATCAGCTGATTCGGATCGGCCACGCGTATTATCCGCTTATTATTGAGGTTAGCGATTAGAATTTAGTACGCAAAGCAACGAAAATCATCGAGCAGGAACTTATAAGCATTAAAGAGGGAAATAAAGGTATAAGGCGCCGCAAAATAGCAAAAGAATAAGTCTCCTAATAGTGTACGTACAATTTCCGTTACTTTCCCCATTCGTGGGCACATCTTCATGGCAGCCGATCGTTGTTTTGGTAAATAGTTGAAAAACTACTTGAGAAGAATCCAGTGATAATTTCTAAAGAATAATGTATTGAAATAAGCAGTGAAATTGAGAAAGTAAAAGTTATAGGAACCGACTGAAAAATAGTTGATATCAAAGGAAAAGATATTCAAAAAAATACATGCTATTTCAGAAATAAAACGGATATTCATTAGGAAAACTAGTAAATTGAATGAAAATGAAAGAATCAATAACAACGCAGAAATTGTTAAAAAAGGAAAATCCGGCCAAAACATATCGCTTTACGCGATTTAACCAAGGAACTGTTTGACAGACAAAATGAAAATGCCTAAAGCATCTGTTGCAAGAACACTTCGGTTCAGAATCGAGAAAGGATTTTGAATGATATAAGAAACTTCTCGCTCCCACTATCGATGGCGCTGTAATTGAGGGTAAAGAGGCAGAATGCTACTGCCTCGGTGAGGACCGAGCACTTCGTATTTAAGCTTGTACAATTCAATAAAATATTTATAGTTTCTTCAGTTTTTATTCCTCAAATTTCACCTGTTTTGAATCAAAACCACCTATATCCACATTATTTTATTTTTTCCTATAATCATAAGAAATTGTACTAGATTGGATCAATACATTAATATACACAGAATAGATATTTTTTGTTTCTCATAAATATATAGGCGAATGTATCAGAAGTTTTTTTCGTTATCCTGGACAATTTATAAAAATGGATATATGCGGCTTTGAACGCAAGCTCATCAAATGTTATCATTCTGGAATATTCGACAGATTTCAGCTTTGGGTACCTGCCCAACCAACTTCTAGATACTTTTTCTCATTTCTAATTTATACATCTTAAAGTGAAAATCTAGAAATAAATAAATGCCAACAGACAGTAAAGTAAGTAAACAAAGTTTTGTTTCCAAAGGCAACTTGATATTATTCTGTGTTTGTTAAAATTAAAGCCAATGAATTTTGTGCTAAAACTTTTAGGTCATTCGTTATAATGGGGTACCTCTTCTACTCAAATATCTGCTTTAAGTGCAACAATAGTATCGGTTAATTTCGCTCAATTTTGCGTATGTTATATGTCTCGGCATCTCGAACAAATGTCATAATCGGCACCGAACCGAAACCACTCTTCCACTTGAAGCAAATATTCGAGTGTGGCCTATTCCATGATTTCGATGTATGCCTCATAGCTTAAACGTTTGGCTTCTAATATATGATTATTGATATTTGATTTTTCTTATCGAGGTTGCGCCTGTTTTGTACATTTCTAAATCCTTTGGTATGTTTCAGCAAGCTGCAGGAATCTTCAACTACTTGAAGTCAACAGTGATGCTATCAATACAACAGGATCCAACTCCAGATCTGAATCCAGACACCTTAGGGGCACTTTCTCAATTGATGATAGCACAGGCTCAACAGATGTTTGTGCACAAAGCAATACATGGTAAGTTCACAAGATTATCATTTTTTTTACAAATTCTCTCACAAAAATATAAGTATAGTCATTGATTAACGTGTACTCTGTGACATTAGAACTGTTACACCTAGAAAATATAGTTTCAAGTTTTTTTTTCAACATAGTGACTATATTTAAAGCACTCTGTGGTAACAAAGTCATCGTTTTATCTCTGTTTTTGTTTACCTTTGATAAATTGTTAGTTTTTGTGAAAAAAGCAGTTTCTGAGAGGTGAGTAGTACAGATTTTTTTAGTTATTGCCCTTCCATTTACTCATGTTAAGCGGAACAAAATGCCTTGCGTTCGAAGTCGTCCAAATTATCACCATGTTAGCGACTTTGACAGGGGTAGAATTATTGCCTATCGCGAAATTGGCCGCCGTGTTGATTGTACCGCAATGAAGGTAATGAGTGTGTGACGTGTGTGGATAGAAACGCGTACACTCTATCGCCACATTCGAGCCTTTGGACTTGACTTTTTTATACCGTCCCCAGTTAGTGCTTCCTCTGACTGCGGACCACTGTCTTCAACGTTTGTCATCTTCAGCGACGAATCGCGATTCTGTCTATTTAAGCACGGTGGTCGTAGAAGGATAAGACGTCGCCGTGCAGAACGGCGTGGTATTGGATTTCCTGTATTACTCCCACAGGACTGTTGGGAGTAATACTTTGGGGGGTTATTGCCTATGGTGGCCGATCACCCCTTCTCTTTGTTCAATGCAATATGACTGCTGCGCGTTATGTTGATGATGTCCTACAAACTACTTTATTGTCGTATCTAGAGGGCCGACCACACGTCCTTTTTCAGCAAGACAACGCACTTCCCCATATTGCTCGTCGTATTACGGACTTTCTTCAAGAAGCAGGCGTTAATGTTTTGCCGAACCCACCCGTTCACGGGATTTTAATCCCATCGAACAAGCGTGGGATATGATTGGGAGGAGACTATCCACTTTGCACCATCCGACACAGACAATGCCACAGCTAATCCACGAAGCTAAAGTTGCTTGGAATGAGGTGCCACAACCAGACATCGATCATTTCATTTTGTCGATGCCTAGACGTATACAGGAGTGTATTCAGCTGCGGGGTCGCCCAACACATTATTTTTTCTTATTGTCAATAAAAAATCTTGATAATATTATGGTTTCATTCTTAATGTAACACTACCTCATCGCCAAAAAATCAAGTTCAATTATTTTTTCTGGGTGTAACACTTCTAGTGTAATTGAGTATATTATCGTTATTATTATTATTATTTGTATTTTAGATAGCATGAAGGACTCTGTTATCGCCAAATTGGCCTCAGCCTGTGAGGATTTGTATTCAGAGTGCCTAAAGACTTTCCAAAGAGAGAACCTGAAACATATATGGGATAGAGATTGGCTATCAATGGTAAGAAATGTAGAACCTGAACCTTTTTATGTGCATTAAATAATAAAAATTACCAGAATGGTAGTACAAGCCCTAAGACAAAATAGATCGGACATTATCTAATTTTATCTTAAAGTTTGGTAATTTCTTTTTATAAGACATTGAATATATTGTTTGGTTATTATATTAACAAAATTATTATCAAGTAATTTAATATTAAGAAGAACAATTGATTCTTAAACCAAAACGTCAAACTGTAAACACTTTTTTGTTTCCAAGGCGTGCGATTATTTTCTTCTCAATATCGTGTCCGAACATTTATGTATCGGCAAAATGTTGCGTGGTTATCAATATTAGATTGATTGTATATTAAAATATCATATTAAAAACAGTTTTGTTAGTATGATGTGCAAACAATATATTTCATTGTCTTAGAAAAACAATTAATTTTTCACCTCAAAAATAAACAAAGTTTTAGATAAAATTCGGTAATGTTGGAACATTTTTGTGTTAGGGCTCATATAAAGGGTTGTCCAATAGGGACGCAGGAAAGTAAACGTCAATTTGACATAGACGCATCTTTGTTTTCTGTCACCGACATGTTATTTTGTTAGTTGAATGTTTACCATTGGTCGCTATGGAGTCGTATTCGATTGAAGACCGCATTAAAGTTATTCAAGAGAACTACAAAAATGGTGCAAAAATAAAAAACACGTTTCGCGCGCTTCGTGAACATTTCGGTCGCAACAACCGCCCAAACGAAACAACCATCGGTCGTCTGGTGCGTAAATTCGAGGCAACAGGTTCTGTGGCAAATCTGCCAGGCTCTGGCCGGCCAAGGAGCGTTCGCACACCGGAAAATCTGGCTGTTGTGAAGGAGAGTGTGAGAGACGATCCGAAACAATCAACAACGCGTCGATCCCAAGAATTGGGCATTTCTAGAACCAGTTTGCTCCGCATTTTCCACAAGGATTTGAATGTACACGCCTACAAGATCCAATTGACGCAAGAGCTGCGTCGGGCCGACCATTTTTCGCGCCGAACGTTCTCAGATTGGCTCCTTGAACATCGCCAAATTGATGCCAATTTTTCATCAAAAATCATGTTCAGCGACGAAGCGCATTTCACTTTGAATGGGACTGTAAACAAGCAAAACTGCCGCATCTGGGCGAACGAAAATCCCCTTGAGTATCAAGAGCAGCCGATGCATCCTCAAAAAGTGACTGTGCGGTGTGCATTGTGGTCAAAAGGCATCATCGGACCTTACTTTTTCGAAAATGCGGCCGGGGACGCCGTTACCGTCAATTCTGAGCGATATCACGTGATGACAGAGGACTATTTTTTGCCGCAACTTGAAGGAATGGATATGGACGATGTTTATTTCCAACAAGACGGTGCAACATGCCACACAACCAACGTCAATATCCATCGATTGCAGTCCTTCTTCGGCGATCGCGTGATTTCGCGCAGAGGAAATGTGCCAATGCCACCAAGATCGTGCGATTTGACTCCCTTGGACTTCTTTTTATGGGGATATTTGAAAAGCAAAGTCTACGTCAACAAACCAGCAGCCACCCTCCAAGAACTCAAAAACAACATCATTGCCGAGATAAATGCCATAGAACCGACCATGTTGCGAAATGTCATTGAAAATTTCGACCATCGCGTGGACGTCTGTAAATCCAGTCGTGGTGAACATTTGAGCGATATTATTTTTCATACATAAATGGTATAAATGAACCTTCAAAATAAAGTACCCAACTTGATTTGAATATCAATCTTTCTTGTTTTAATATGCGTTTACTTTCCTGCGTCCGTTTTGGACAACCCCATATAATAGTTTTTTCGCTAGATTTCAGCAAAACAAGCAGCATTTGGCGCTATTGCAGAGTTGTATCAGAGTATGGTTTGCAAGGCCAGCAAGAGTATTGGAGAAGAAATATCTAGATTGCAGGTAAAACATCCTCTTTTCTACCATAAACTTTATCATCATACAGCGTTTTTTAAATAACGGTAACAGTTTTCATTTGTAGCCATGTTCATGTTACGTTTTTTTCCAGAGGGCTAGTGAATTGTTCAAAGCAGCAACATCTCGTTGCGGTAAGAGCCTGTTTGAAGATTTGGCACTGAAAGCGGAAAGGAATCTTGCAGAGGCAAAGAAAGACAACGATTTCATCTACCATGAGAGGATCCCCGATATCAAAGCTGTCGACCCTATTGGCAAAGCACAACCAGCTAAAGTGTTGCAGGTTGCTTATCCTATGACCTCTAACTTCAAAGGTAAGGAAAGAAAACTTTGACCGTTCGATTATAGTCACATTCAACTTTTTGTACTGGTTGTTTTTTAGCAAAATTTCTGATTTCAAAAACGATCCAAAATCTTCATCTAGATACATAGAAATGGAATTAAATATCTCTAAAGATTCAATCCATCACATTTTGACCAAGAATCAGAAAGGTACGTTTACGGTTTGTTCCGCACAAGCTCTTGCATGACCAAAAGTTGCTTCGAATTCAACATTCGAGAGACATCATTAAACAGCCCAAAACAAACAAAGACTTTCTATACAACGTTGTGACTGCTGACGAATCGTGGTGTTTTCAATGCGATCCCGAAACCAAGTGTCCATCCCAGTTAGGTTTATAAATATTATATATATATATATTTTTTTTTTTGAGACGTGGTCATTGTCGTCTAGACCAGTTAGGTGAAAAATTAAAGCTTCCGCCTTTTGTTGGGTACTTCGACAAAATTTAAGCAAAGAAGACTCTTTATAATTTTTTTAATTCTCTCTAGCTTTCAATGGACTTTGCCATCATCATATATATATATATAGGTGAAAAATTAAAGCTTCCGCCTCTTGTTGGGTACTTCGACAAAATTTAAGCAAAGAAGACTATACTTTTTTAATTCTCTCTAGCTTTCAATGGACTTTGCCATCATCATCAGGAGAGTAGTATGTGAAATGACCATTTTGTGCAATCATCAAGTGGCTTCACGATGTAATGCTCTAATGTTTTTAAATAATTTTTAATCTGTTTTTAACTTGTTCTTGTCATATTTTATACAATTTTGACCATTGTACCATCTATCCAGCTCTCACCATGTTACTGGACGTTTCCCTCATCCTATATGTAAACAACAATTAGCAACATCCTCACATACTACTCTCCTGATGATGATGGCAAAGTCCATTGAAAGCTAGAGAGAATTAAAAAAGTATAAAGAGTCCTCTTTGCTTAAATTTTGTCAAAGTACCCAACAAAAGGCGGAAGCTTTAATTTTTCACCTATATATATATATATATATATAATATGTATATATATATATATATATACAGGGTGGCGCTTCGAAAACGAAACAGACGCATTTACTGGCAGCTCAGTTTTTTTTTAAAAACGCTCAGATTTTGTTTTCGAGGGGGACACAAGTTTGGCAAAAAATCACGTTAGCACGTGCAGCTCCCTAAGCGGGGGTGACACCACCCCCAAAATCTTAAAGGTCTTTCAATTCCCTTTATAATGATATACACGTAATGCGTAATGTTCCTGTTCAACATCAACCTATTCGCAATGTACCGCCGATCATAATGATTTTCAATTATGGCTCTTAATGCAGGATCTATGGCGTCTTCCAGTAATTCCATATACATTTCAGCGGTCAAATTTCCAGGTAAGAAAAAAGGACCAACTAAATGATCGCAAAAAATACCAGGCCAAATATTTATTTTTTGTGGCTGCTGTGTATGAACAACCTCATGATAAATTCTGGGATTAGAATCGGCCCAATATCGGCAGATATGACGATTTACTACGCCATTTAAGAAAAAGGAACATTCGTTGGAAAAGCAAGTGTTCAATAGAAAATGTTCATCGTTTATAATTCGTTCACTCATATCTTCACAAAATTGTAATCGCCGATCAAAATCGCCTTCATTAAGTTCTTTTACCAGGTGAATTTTATACGGATGAAAACTATGGGCCTTTAGAATCCGTTGGACAGTACGTCGACTAACACCACACACAGTCTCCAATTTGCGGGTACTTAACGTAGTGGCACATTTCAAATCTCGCAAAGAAATTCTTTCTCGATGAACAAGTACCAGTTCTCAAATGGCCTTCACAGTCTCCCGATATAAATCCCATTGAAAATCTATGGGAATACTTAGATAAGCAAATAGGAGATAAAAATTATTCAAACAAGGATGAACTTTTTGCCGCTTTAGAGCAAAAGTGGAGACAGATTGATGAATCTTATATCAAGAAACTTCTACAATCTATGCCGAGACGATGCCAGGCGGTGATTGATAATAATGGTTATGCTACAAAATATTAACACAAACATAGTTGGTTTTCTATAATTCAATGAACTTTGCTTCTTTTTCTATAATTGTTTTGCTTTGTCTATATATTTTTGTCCTTCATAGTTCTAGTTTCTTCAATCAATTTTTTATTGAAGGGAGTCTAATGAATTTATTTATGTATAAGTGAGTATTATGATATAACGAAATATGTATACAGGTTGGTGTATTAATAAAACAAGTTAAAAAAGAAATACAGCACAATATTAATTTGTCTATATACTTTTGTCCATTACTGTATATATATATATATGATATTTAAGCAGCTATTACTGTTGAACTAAAATAGCGATATACGTTTTTTCTAGACCTGTTCACGGAACTGGTCCCTGTCGCCGTCCACCAAGCTCTAGCATCGTACGAAATCCGCAAAACGGAAATCGTCAACACGGAAATAACGAAATTGCGCGAGGCCAATCAACAGCTGAACAGCCTTTTGGCCAGTCTCAATTTGCCTGCAGCTATTGAAGTAACGGACGGAGGCAGTTCAGTGCCGCCCTCGTTGCTGGAGAAAGCCAGCTCTGTAGCTGGATTGGGCGGGATTCAGGAATTGGAGAGGATGATCAACGAGCTGCCTGAAGCTCTGAAGAGGAATCAGGATATCCTGGACGAGGTACGGTCTTTGTCATCGAGGTAGGGATGTTTGTCTAGCCAATCAAAACAGCAGATGTTTAAAATTATATTTTATTGAACGGCGTTTATTGGCGAGATGGAGATGTTGCTTTGTTGTTTGTTTGTTAATAGGATACAAAATTGTACATGGTAGCTAACTAAGAATGCGAGGTACTGCGGGAACGTATCCATCGTAGAGGCTTGCAGCAAAAAAACTTGGCCATAAGAAAAACCTGGATATTGGGAACAGTTAACCCAGTCTGAGTAGGCAGCGAACGTGTTAACTAATTTTTCTGGAATTCCTTTTTATTATTAAGTTGTGGCCCTAAAAAGGACCGATTGAAAAAATATTTTTTTTAATATCCCCATGAATGCTCGAAATGCTGACCAGCAAAACTGAAACTTCAATTTCGGCTCTCGCAATGTTACGTATTGCATTACGAATCCGTTTTTTTGCTGGAAAAAATATGGCCCAATAATTCTGCCTCCCAGTATGCCACACCACACATTTAAACTCCAACGCCCTTCGTACTGAAGGCAACCAATGCGGATTTTCTGCAGACCAATAATGCATATTGTGCAGATTGACTCTCTCGTCACTATTAAAGGTGGCTTCAATGGGTCAATAACGTTTACACCCTGTATACAAATAAATTTAATCTACGTTTATCCACAGACCGATCGAATGCTGAACGAAGAAAAATCCTCCGACGACCAGCTCCGTCAGCAATTCAAAGAGAAATGGACGCGAACTCCATCCGAGAAACTGACGGAAATGTTCAGGTCGAACTCGGCCAAGTACAGGCAGATCATCAACAATGCGATTCAAGCTGACAAAGTGGTCAAGGAGAAATTCGAGTCTCATCGCAGGGGCATCGAGCTGTTGAGCGGGGGACCAGGAGCTATCGAGGCAGCGCTGCCTACCGGAGCCAGTCAGAACTTGGGAGATTCCTCGGCGGTCGCCACGCTCAGACAGCTCATGGAGGAAGTGAGTATACGATTTATATTCTTAATTCAAGCTAACGTTACTAAAAGAAAATCAACGTTTATTAATTGCCTATAAAAAAGGAACTAGAGTTCTCTTTCTTGTGTAAGAGTTTCTACAACTTTTAACTTGAAATTTGAAAACCCTGCTTATAGACCCTGATCCTTCCTTTCATTTAGTAAAACCATGGTGAAAGTCGATTAGGTACTGGGTTAATCTACTTGACACTATTTTCTTGTATATCTGCAGTCGTTTTGAAACGAGACCATTACAGCTTACGTTATTTTTATCAACATTTCTCCCAGGAGTGCAAACGCTAAGATAATTATTTTTAAAACCGCGCTTCATAATAGCAGTAGCTGTACAGTCTGATACTAGCTTGAAAACTTGATAACATATTTCCTTGTCCATATTTTAATTTAAATTATTATGGTAAAAGCATGAAAACAAGAAAATTGAAAGAAACCATAAACAACTATGGGTTCAAGCAAAAAATTGAAGAGAGTACCAGAATAACATCATTATCAGAGACTTTGTTAGATCTTGTTATTGTAAATTTCGAATGTGCAGGGATTAAAGCTGTACATACACCTAAAGTTAGCGATCACAGTTGGACAATGCTGCCCTTGGTAGGGCATTTTTGTGATACAAAAATTAAGAAAATCGTAAATACTATTAAGTACGAAAAACTTGAACGAGAACTTGCTGGCTGCTATTGGAATTTTGGTGAGAATATGGAAAAATATATGACAACATAATAGGAAATATAAAAACTTGTTTAGATCTTGCAACTGATAAAAAAGTGATTGGCTCGACAAAAAATACTCCCTGGTATAACAAGAATATTAAGGCAGCTCAAAATTCGAGAGACAAACAATACAATAAATGTATATTCACAAAATCAAATGATGATTGGGAGGTACATAAAACTGTATGGAATAAATGTGTATATGTAATTAGAGAAGAAAAAAGGAAATTCTACGATAAACAAATCGATAATAACAAGTGCGACAGTGTAAAGACTTGAAGCTTGTCTCAAAATGGTTAGCATCTAACAGACTAAAATTAAATGCAAGTAAAACGAAAGCCTTGTTAATAGGAAAAAAAAAACAATGTACAAATGTTCAACTGAATATTGATGGTGAAGATATTGAATTCGTAGAAAATTTTAAATACCTGGGGATTTTTGTTGACTCTCGATTAATTTTTGATATCCATTATGAAAAAGTTATAAATAAGATAAGTAGTAAAGTGGGATATTTATCGAGAGTTTCTGGATGTCTGAGTTCATATAGCAGAAAAATTATCTATAATACCATCATTCTTCCACATTTCTTGTACTGTTCGACTATTCTATATTTAGCAAATAATTCCATTTTTTAAAGACTGCAAATTTTACAAAATAAGTGCATGAGAATAATACTAAATAAAGATAAATATACTCCAATTAGGCAAATGCTTAGCAAATTAAAATGGCTCAATGTAAAAAATTTTATCAAATATCTTGTAATGATATTCATTTATAAAATAAAAAATCATATATTTCCATCAAGTCTAACTAATTTAACATCATCAAATGTCGACCATCATTTATATAATACCAGAAATAAAGATGACTTCCATTTAATGACCAAAAAGTATAACATATGCTACAAATCGGTATTCCATCAAGGGTTGACTGAATATAATAAATTATACTCGGAGATAAAAGACCAGAAAACTTTGACAAAATTTAAAGTAAAATTGAGAAATCACTTGTTAAATCTACAATTATAGGTTGCCCAGCATTTACATCATACACCATATGGCTTGATTTTACTAGTTCTAAGTTGTTTACAATTATTCTGTTTATGTAGCCAAATGTGCTAAATAAATCTTTCTACTACTACTACTACTACATATTCCAGGTAGAGACAATCAAAGCAGAGCGCGAGGCAACCGAAGCGGAATTGAAAAGTGCAACGACTGATATGAAAGATTCTTTCCTTAGTGCTCTTGCTAAAGATGGTGCTATAAATGAGCCTGCGCTTTCTTTCGACAATCTAGGAAAAACATATGGCCACTTGCAAAAGCAAGTTCAGGAGGGCATAGAGAAGCAAGGTCCTCTAATTGAGAGAATCAAGGTAATAATTATACCGTGCCAACTTTCATCTTTAAATATTTTCGAGTGGTGTGGTGTTCTAGGACGCATATTCATATTTCATTTTTTCTACAGAACGCCCATGCTCAATTTGTCTCTGAAAGAGGTTCCTCAGCTGGCGGTAGAGATGCCATGATGAGTTCCCTAGCTGCTGCTCACGATGCATACAGGGATCTGTTGAACAACCTACAGGAGGGGACGAAGTTCTACAATGACCTTACGCAGGTATGCAATTTTAATTTCAACTCAAAAATTGGTGTCCATGTTTTAAATACCCCCTTGAATAACTTGCATCAATATAACGAAATTTCGCAAACCAGGGGTATTTTCGTTTAATATGATTAGAGTTGAGTTAGAGTAATAAATCTTCTAGAAGTACTATGAAAAACTCTTCTCTTTTGCAGATGTTGGTACAGTTCCAAAACAAGGTATCAGATTTCTGCTTTGCTAGGAAGACAGAGAAAGACGAGCTGTTAAAAGATCTGACACAGGCATCTAGCAGGACAGTTTCTACTCCGACCCCTGCAACACCTAGTTATCATCAAGGTAAATAGCGTTGAAACAGTATTTTCCAATAATTTACGTGTTTATTCGCCTACTATTCAATGTTAGTTTGTTGCTCTCTGCACAAGATGCAAGAGTTTCATCTCAGCTTTGTTGATTTTCGTTGTTCGTTACTTGAAAATATGTAACACCTGAAACCTTAAAATTCCTCGTTATTGTATGACGTTTTGGTCCCAACGGTGACCTTTTCCAGGTACAATCGACGCTTTTCAATTCCTATACTGTGAATTACTACACTAGTCTAAACGTAATCTCAGCATGTTACAGGAACATTCAGACTATTGTGTTACTTGGTAGTAAACGGACGTGTTTTTACTTGCTCCTAGTTTTTTCTTTTTTATTCATTGGGCCCGTTCAAGTATTACGTAAGCAGATTTATTACAATTATTTACCCCCTCTTATCCCCCTTGTCAGCAAAAGTAAGCAAAGCCCTTATCCCCTCCCCCCATGCTTACGTAAACATTTGTCAATTAATGTATTGTTTTTTTTAATATTATAATTATAACGTTATAATTATAATTTGAAAAAAAAAGAAAATAGATTTAGGATAGAGATTATATTTTACTGATACGGTATTTAACATTGAGTAAAGGACAAAAATATTATTTCTTACTAACATAAACTTATTTTAAATTTTTGGTACATATATTAAATTCAAATTAACAGTCTTCAGTCCATAAAACCCGAATCCATGATTGTAAGTTTTCGATGACATTGGATTGCTTCGATTGCTGCTCACTGTTGTGAGTTTGCTCGCTTTCATCGGATTTTGTGACCAATTTTTTTTCTAAGGTGACAGACGAAATCATTTTAGGTACCTATGAGTACTAGAAATATTAGAAATCTCCAAAAAGTTTCTCTTTACTGATTAGAAAATATTATGGCCTATCTCAAAATATAGAGGTAATATTCATTATGTTATAGATTTATTTCTTATGATTGATTCCGTCAATTGGTCACAAAGTACAGGATGTTAGTTTTATACATTTTATACAGAAAACTAACACCCTGTATGTCGTGACCGGAACGAATTGCTCGTTTAAACATATTAGATTTAAAGCCATAGGGTTTTGTATTTACGATATATATTGCCATACTTTGTATTTATGTAGCTTAATAATCTTTAGCAGAAGCCATAGAAAGTTTTTATTTTTAGGCAACCTGTAAACCTGCAGAAAAAACACAAATTATACAGTCAGCTTCTGATATTAAAAAAGAGGAAAAAGATAAAATAAAACCTGGTAATGAATCACAACAGCAATGCGAACCACTCAAAAAATATATAATCATTTATAATGAGTCTGGTTACTTGGGAGTCCATTTTGGAAAGCCTAAGACTACGGCATAGGGTTTCTCAACTGGCTACCTGCTAGGTGTTGACATTGGGGTTTCATCGCAGAACCTCTGTGCTGTTCTTGAGAAAAAAAACTGGGATCTAGATGCCCATTCACTCTCTTACACGGAAGCCGTTTGAATCGACCAGTCAGAGTTAAGCTGTCTGTTCTGAATTCTGAGCCAGAAAATTCCGTAGTCAGTCGTAGTATGGAATTTTGAAATAATATTGTGACGATAACAAATGGTACTGTTGGGAGACTCTCCTACTCGCCGATCTCTGCTTTTACGCGGACCACGACCGCAGAAGCCGCTTGGCGCTACAATATTGCCATTGCACTAAGTTACTTTTTTCCAGATCCGCCACCGTCTTCAGCTCCATCCAACCCTCAACAGCAAGGTGCGCTGCCATATCCTACCCAAGTCCAAGGGATGCCAGTACCATACGGTGCCACTCCTCAAACTCCTTACCCGACGTATATGCCACCGCCAATGCCTCAAGGGTACAACCCATATGCCACTATGCCCTATCCCTGTAAGTACTAGACTCAGTAGTCTACACATAAACTTATTACCATATTCACCTATCTCTTTACGGCATATTAATTTTGACTTTAACTTTAATGTGCGTGTAAAGTTGTTTTTTTGATTTTTTAATACTCGAAGACTAATTTTTAATTTTAAAGACTTGTTACTATGGGAACTATATTGTAAAATTCTATTACAAACTTACGCAATTCACGATTGCAGATAGGTATAAAAATAAAAAAAGGGGGTATCCATTTAAAAATGTAAAGTGTAACGTAATTACTTATTTTTGAATCACCCTCTATTCTATGGTTACACTGGACAACAAATTTTAGTTTTTTAATTGTATCTTGTGGGAAAAGTGCACTTCTTTGTTAATTTTGGGGCGCTGAATCCAAAAATGACAATGAAATAAAAAAATTAGTTGCGGTTTAGAAAAAAAACGTTTTATTTTTAAGGATATATTAAAAAAAGTAACAAGATTCATATACTTATAAGAATCACTATATGCGCTGTCTTTTTGCTGTTCTTTTATGGATCGTTTCTGGAGCATCTCTACCAAGAGTCCAACAGTAGTCTGCAAGCATGAAAGGATTCCACTTTCCCTGGTACCTTCTTTCCATTGTTGAAATATCCTGATGAAAACGTTCGCCGTGCTCATCACTTACGGCTCCGCAATCGTCAGGAAAAAAGTCCAGGTGTGAGTGTTGGAAATGTATCTTAAGAGACATATTACAGCCCATCTTTTGATACGATGGCAGCATATTTTTGACAAGGGTTTTATAGTTGTCAGCTTTTCTATTTCCCAAGAAATTAGTGACCACCAGACGGAAATCATTCCAAGCAGTTTTTCCAATACCTGTTAAAGTGTTTTCAAACTGTGTATCTTTCAAAATATTTCGAATCTGTGGCCCAACAAAAATACCTTCTTTAACCTTTTCCTCACTTAGTCTTGGAAATTTCTGACGCAGGTATTGAAAAGCTGACCCATCTCTATCTAATGCCTTGACAAAGTTTTTCATTAGGCCCGACTTGATATGCAGTGGTGGTAATAACATTTTTTTCGAATCTACTAATGGCATATGCTGTACATTTTTTTGACCTGGCTCTAGGAATTGACGAACAGGTCAGTTTTGTCTGGTTTAATGAAGTGCCTTTGCCCGACTGTCCCATTCACACAAAAAACAGCAAAACTTTGTGTAGCCTAGCTGCAGCCCAAGTAAAAGTGCAACAACTTTCAAATCGCCACAAATATGCCATTGGTGCTCATCGTATTTTATGCATGTCAATAGGTACTTCATATTGTCATATGATTCTTTCATGTGAACTGCATACCCTACAGGAAGAGATGGTAAAATATTTCCAATATGCAGTAACACTGCCTTTAAACTCAATGTTGAACTGTCTATAAACAATCTCCATTCTTCTGGGTTATAGTTTATATTTAAAGCCGCCAGTAAGCCGTTAATGTTACTGCAGAAAACCAAGTTATTCTCCATATTGAAAAATGGTTCTAAGTCTTTGTGGCGTTTACGAAAAACACATACCGAAACATCGTCTTCTAACAAGTTCCACTGCTGCAGTTTTGATCCAAGTAACTCTGCCTTACATTTTGGAAGTTCTAAATCTCTTACAAGATCATTTAATTCTGACTGTGTTATTTTGTGCGGTTGGTGGCATGACGTGCTCGGTATAAAATCAGGATCTCTTGACGTTGATGACATATCTTCTTCCTGATGAATCACTCGATCTGATTCGTTTTCTGATTCGCAAGTGTAGGATTCTGGGGGTTTTGGAACAGGATTTTCGTCACTGTGAGGCACAGGTCTCATCGCAGATGGTATGTTTGGGTAGTTAATAACCGATTTTTTTTTTCTTGGACATGCCTGTGGCTTGTCCAACACAAGGTACCATGCAAAAGTAACAATCATTAATATGATTTGTAGGCTCTCTCTAAACTATTGGGACAGCAAAGCGCATAGACCGTTTTTTGCCATTTAAACAGCTCCTCAGACTTGAAGCACATGTATTACAGCAGATGTGGGGTGCCCACTGTTTGTCTTGATCACCTAGTTTACAACCGAAATAAAGCTGATATGCCTTTGTTATTAGTGGAGTAATAGACCGTCTCTGAGACGCAAAAGTCACATCACCACACACGTAACAAAACTGATCTGGATTGTTTACACACTTTCGAGACATCTTGCATGAACGCTGTCAGCCAACTGAGGAAAAAATGGCTAATATAAAACAATATAATGTACACGTATGTATAACGTAACACAATCATGCCGATTACATCATCTTTCCTTGCCGAATATAAAAATATAGCACGTGTATTCTTGTGAATTACAGTATATTAACACTGTCACAGCAGGAACACATATAATTACCGTATCTCTAAAACTTGAACTAATATTGAAAAAATAAGTTTTATTCCGGTTTTAGCACATTAAAAATAGTATATTTTGTTGATTTTATTTAGGATATTTTTTGGCTGTTGATCAGTGTTATCGATGGAAAGACGTCCTCATACAAATCAAAATTGACGTGTCTTTTGCGTCTAATTCCCAAAATATACCAGGAGAGTCACAAATGGGGTGCGACCTTTTCGTTGGGACACCCAGTATATCATAATGAAACTTAACAAATTCAAATCGTCTTTCTAGCAAACTACCAGTTCCCTCAAGGTGCTTACCAAGGACATCCAGGAGGAGTATATCCTCCTCAACAAGGAGGTCAACCAGGCTATGCTCCTCAACCTGGAGGTTACCCGAACGTTCCACCAGGTTCATACGCTCCTGGTACATACCCCTCCAACACTTGGTAAACAGTCATATATACATACTTTTATAATTTTCTAATGTGAATTTAGATTACCTCTAAGCAGATGCAAAACTTGAAGACCGAGTGCACTATAGACGTCAATATGTTGCTTAGATTTCCGTTGAGAGTAGAACGATTGTTGTATTTATTTATTATGACAATTTTCAACCTCAACCATTGTTTAGCATATTCTCTACCTGGAGATGGCTATCCATATACCGTATTTCGGCGCTTAAAAGGGATCTGAAATATGCTAGCGCCAACTATGAGGCAGTAGCAGAACACAAAAATGAATTTATAAACCTACTTTGAAAAGAGCTGGAGTGTGGTTCTGCTGCTGCGTCATAGATGGATCTAGCGTCTTTCAGTTCCCTTTTTGGATGCCGGAATATCGTATATGGTTGGCTTTCTTCAGGTAGGATAATCAATGCTATCAACCCAGCATTTTGTTGAACTTCATATAGTATCTTTTATCAATGTGTTTCTAATAAATAGGATTCTCCGTAAGTCTCTATTTCTTTATGCTTCTCAACGATAAAAATTGTTAAGGATTTTCTTCTACTCTCAGTGGTGAAATTACAACAAATAGTGGAGATTTTTAGCATATTGTGTTATTTCTACTTTTTATTGGTTTAGTCGAATATAAATTAATTATCGTGCCTTAACAATTATTTGCACACAAATTGATTATATTGTGGATTATGTAATTTTTGTATCGACCTATATATGATATTTTTGTCCAATTCTTCTTATAACACAATGATAAAACGGTGAAACGCTTCAATTATTAATCGTTAGAGTAGTCGACATATATTTATATTCCCCGTCTATAAGACGCTATACTTTATGTATATTTAGTTAAGTATATTGTTGGATTTATAAGCATTGAAAAAATATAAATTAGTATACAGTTGACGCTGTTTCATTCAAAATAAATCACATATAACAACTTCGCATGAAAATCGTGTAATTAAAAATTATGCCGAATGTATAGTCCATCGTTACTGTAAAGGCATATTTACCGTATCAAAAAAAAGATGGCATCGGGTAGGTTCACGCTGCACTTCCCACGCAAGGCTGTCATCACTTGGCTCTAGATGTCCCGTTGAGGGAAAATTGAAGCTTCTTCGATGCCCGGCGGCTTCATACTCTATAGTGCCTCCTATTGAACGCTAGATGCGCTCTGTTTGCTCTTTTGACCTTGAGTAATATTTTCACAGCAACAATGGTGAGAACGCCGCAATTTTCAAGGAGCTTTTTTTCTCTTTTCGTTTATTAGGTAAATAAAATATCGAAGCAAAATATACAATATATATATTTCAAGAGAAGAAAGAATACGGCGATATATTACAAAAGAGAAAAATTACACATGGTAATAATCGACACGACGACGCCGCGCGGGTTCAGACTCGATACTGCCTCCTATTAAACGCTAGATAGCATCCTGTTCGCAGAGGATTCCCTTCATTTGACCTTGAGCAACTTTTTTACGGCGGCAACCACGTCCTTGGGTTGTGGCAACGCCGCAATTTCCAAGGATTTGGTGTAAGGCATAGGCACGTCCGCACCTGTTATCCTCAAGGCCGGCTGGTCCAGGTGGAAGAAAGCCTCGCTTTCCATTATCTGCGCTAATATTTCTGCACCGATACCGCAAGTGGGCCATCTGAAAAAGGATGGAGAAGTTGTTAAATAAATCATAAAAATTATTATCAGAACAGGTTAGCCCCTGTTATACTACAACTATTTAAAACTGTAATGACTCATACGCGTGATCAACACGTGATCAGAGCTCGATCCCGGCTTCCTTCCAGTACAGCCGTATAGCGTACGACATATGTCGTTTCTGTGGCTTTGCGGTGGTCAACAGCACAGACAGAGATGGAAATAATGGCTGATTGTTCTCCGCCGGTAGAACCAGTGAAATCAAAGCCGCGCCTCGACCGGCAGACTCATAGGCGTCGGCAACGCATTGGAACGTGTTTCGTTGAGCGATCGCATATTGTGTGTTTTTATAAGAATTGTTGTGTGATTGTTATTGTTGTGGTTTCTGTGGTTACTGCTTTGGTTATACTTAACCATGGAAAGTACAAATGGCACGAGTGGAAGTACTGAAAGCCAGGGAACAAGTAGACGACTTTGTAAAGCACTGAAGAGGGACGCGAAAGAAATCGTGCTCAACGTTTTCAATTATCTGAACAGAACTATGTCGCAGGGAGATGCACTCGCGCGTTGTGAAAGTATGACAGGCGTTCCAGAGTGGACCATTCGCAGGGTGGTGCATGAAAAGAAGAAAACTGGAGCTACTACTGATCCAAAGTTTAATTTGAAGGGACGAAAGGCCGTTAAATTGGATGACGATAGCAAAATGGTGTTAAGGCGAACCGTACATTCATTCTTCTTTAGGAATGAGATACCAACCCTCAAGGCTGTACATGCAGCGATCAAGGAAAATGAAATTATACCCCAAATGAGCGTTGAGGTAATGAGGAAATCCCTGCACGAAATTAATTTTCGTTACGAAACGCGTAATCGGAAGTCAGTATTGATAGAGAGAACTGAAATAGTCGCCTGGCGTCGAAAATACCTACGCGAAATGATTGAATATAGGCGACAAAGCAGAAAAATCTATTATTTGGACGAGACATGGGTAAATGCAGGTCACACAGTTAAAAAAACCTGGATAGACAAAAACGTAGTGAGTAACCGACAAGCAAGCATTGAAGGTTTGCCAACAGGTCTTCGTGGACCGTCAGGGAAAGGTCAAAGATTGATCGTAACTCATATTGGTAGCGATAGTGGCTTTTTAGAAGAGTGTGACTTGATTTTCGTCTCTAAGAAAGGAGGTGATTACCATGACGAAATGAATGCCAGCTGCTTCGAGAGCTGGTTTCAAGGGGTGCTTCAGCGAGTTGAGCCCAACGCTGTGATCGTCATGGATAATGCTTCCTACCATAGTCGTCGAGCCGAACATGTACCGCCTATGGGATCTCGAAAAAGTGACATGCAGCAATGGTTGCGCGAAAAAGGAATCCCGTTTGACGATTCATGTGTGAAAGCGGAATTGTATGAAAAAATTAAACAGCACAAACCTGCGAACATTAGTTACGTGACTGATGAGATGGCCCGTCAATGTGGTGTCACTGTGCTGCGGTTACCGCCCTACCACTGTGAACTGAACCCAATAGAGCTCACCTGGGCTCAAGTGAAGGGTTATATTGCGCGTCATAACACAACCTTCAAATTACCAGACGTTAAGGTTTTACTTGAGACTTCCATACAGCTAGTAACGCCCGAAACTTGGCAGAATGCTACCCGTCATGTAGTGAAGGAAGAAACAAAAATGTGGCAGCTTGACCACCACATCGACACCATCATGGAGCCACTTATAGTCAATTTCAACGAGGAAAGCGATAGCGACAGTTTATTACTGTCAGATGTAAGTGGAAGCGACGATGAATAAAGGTAATTCCCAAATTTTTGACTTACAATATGTTTCAAACCACTCTTTATTAAGCATGTGACAAATCTAGTTCACCCATGTTAAACATTCATACCCCGCCTATGAACAGCCGACTACTGGTAGTTAAGTGATGTTCACGTGAACATCGATGAGTCATTACAGTTTTAGATAGTTATAGTATAGAAAAAGTAAGGTGCGATTACTTAATATCGCTACAGTATCGTGAATCTTACACCGAACTTCGATCTAGTTTGCCGCGGAGATTGTTAGTGGACTAACATTTTTCAGTATTATTTTTTAAGTGTAATATGTTGAGAAACAACATTGGTAAATAATATTTGAAGCGTTCCCTTGTATTCGATACGTTACAGAATCTTCACGAGCGGCAGTGGCTTTGCTCGCGATAAGTTTCATGTTCCATTTTCGTTATGCAAAACGCCGCTATTGAAAATATTTTCAGGATTTTAGGGCAAGTCTACAGGGTGGCCAACTAAGAGTGCGAGGTACTATATCTGGGAACCCATCGATCGTAGAGGTTTACGGCAAAAAAAAAAGTTGTTACTAAAACATTTTCAAGCTTCTGAAATGGCTGCTAGGCGCAGTAACTGCTTGAATCTAAAAAGGTGGTGTTTCTCTGAATTCCGCTATATTAACCTGACAAAAATAATAACTGATCATTGAAGTCGACGATAATGTGAACTTTTTTAGTATGGCATTTTTGCTGTATCTTTAAAAACAAAGTGATGGGGAGTATTCCGTAAAAAATACCCTGTATCATCGAAACGGCTGAGCCGATTGTAACAAATTTGGGCTAGTTGAAAAGAGGGCTACAAATTTTGTATTCGAAGTTTTGTTAGTTTAACATGTTACCGCTAGAGGGCTTTTTCGGCATTCCTACTGAAATTGTTAATTTTCTCAGAAAAATTGCATTGGTATGATTTATTTATGAAAATGTAGCTAAATTATGTCTAAACAAGCTCGCGAAAATCGCATCTCGATATCTTGTTCCTAACCTACAAGTTAGACCAAAGGATTTTTTTAACTAATTTTTCGGGAATTATTTACTTCTGTATTCCTAATAATAACGCTTAATTGATCAGATGGGGAATATTAAAAAATCTTACCCTTGTTCCACGGATAACAGATGATTCGTTTTCGTGACTGATTTGACGATGGTTTCCATATCGAGAGGCCTTAGACTCCTCAAATTTATAACTTCACATTCTATTCCTTTACCAGCTAGTTCTTTCGCTGCTTCTAATGATGTTTCTACTGCTTTTGAATGTGCTACTACTGTTATATGCTTTCCTGAAAAAAAATAAAACACACAATAGTCATACGGTCCTTCAGATTATATATTTATGAATGAATTATCGACTTTTCAAAAACAGGAACAGGACAATTCAAAGACAATGCAATATTTGAGGAGTAATTTGAGAGGCACTCATTCACAATTCTTTGTCGCAGGTCTTCTAATGATGTTGGCTGAGTAGCATAGATTTTGTTTTTTAAATGACCCCACATAAAGAAATCCAAAGGTCATAAATCTGGCGATCTTGGGGGCCATTCAATGGCACCTCTTCTACCAATCCATCGATCTGGAAACGTCTGATCTAAATATTGTCACGTAATCCGTAATGTGGTGGGGCACCATCCTGTTGGAACATCAACCTATTCGCAATGTACCGCCGATTATTCTGATTTTCAATTATGGCTGTTAATGCAGGATCTATGGCGTCTTCCAGTAATTCCAAATACATTTCACGGGTCAAATTTCCAGGTAAGAAAAAAGGACCAACTAAATGATCGCAAAAAATACCAGCCCAAACATTTAATTTTTGTGGCTGCTGAGTATGAACCTCATGATAAATTCTGGGATTAGAATCGGACCAATATCGGCAGTTATGACGATTTACTACGCCATTTAAGAAAAAGGTACATTCGTCGGAAAAGCAAGTGTTGAATAGAAAATGTTCATCGTTTATAATTCGTTCACTCATATCTTCACAAAATTGTAATCGCCGATCAAAATCGTCTTCATTAAGTTCTTGTACCAGGTGAATTTTATACGGATGAAAACTATGGGCCTTTAGAATCCGTTGTACAGTACGTCGACTAACACCACACACAGTCTCCAATTTGCGGGTACTTAACGTAGGATCTACATAAACTTGCCCTAAAACTCCCACTTCTATTGCTTCGTTCCTTATGGGATTTTGAATGTTGCGTTTTTTATTGGCGACTGACCCAGTTTCCCGAAATTTAGCTACAAGTTCTAGAACATATTTTCGATGCACGTTACTGTTCTCATGCCGCTCATTAAATATTTCTGCTGTTCTATTAGCGCACTGATTATTTCCGGAAAATATTTCGATAATTTCAACTCTTTCTGCTGTGGAATATACCATGGTTAATTTATGTAATAAAGCATTACAAGTTATTTTAGCAACAAAGTTTGGTCAAATAAATCGCAAACTATGTAGTAAATTCCTATTTAAAATAAGTATGAGATATTTCCTTATCTTTCTTCAAGAAAGAACTTTTTTGCCACTTTTTTGCTCCAATAGCTATTTTCAACAACAAAATGTTAAACAAACCACGGGCGTAGTGAAGAAAAGCATTTACTTATTAAGTAAATTCTTTTAGTGAAATTTCTTCTGAAAGTAGTACACACTAGTCTGATGTACCTATTAAAGTCTACTTTGAGCTTTAAATCGATAAATCTTCAAAACTACTGAACTGAAGCTCATGTACTTTACATCATTATAAAGGGAATTGAAAGACCTTTAAAATAAGGTATCACTCGACCCCCCTTTCCATTTAAGATTTTAGGGTTGGTGTCACCTCCGCCCAGGGGGCTGCACGTGTTAACGTGATTTTTTGCCAAACTTGTGTCCCCCTCGAAAACAAAATCGACGGGTCTGAGCGTTTTTCCAAAAAAATCCTGAGCTGCCAGTAAATGCGTCTGTTTCGTTTTCGATGAGCCACCCTGTATAATCATAGTGTATCGTAACACAGATAGAAATATAGACGTTTATTATTATTAATGAGCACGAAACAACGCTGTCTGCAATTGGTCATGGTTACAGGAGACAGGAAGCAAACATGTCAATTTCAGAACAAAAATACGTTCAAATTTTCTCAAAAACCAATACAACTTGCAGGAAAAATGTGTCTAGAATAATTCTTTGGGTACAAAAATTATTAGAGTTTCTTACCTGGTTTTTCTATTTTGGCTTTCCCTATAGGTAGAACAAAATCTTTACTTAATGCCTCATCCGACATTGGGTACTGAACACCGTACAAGATTTCATTCTCTAAAAACACGACCGGGTCTGGATCCCTTATAGCAGCTTTTAGCAGCCCTTTGCAGTCCTCGGAATTGTATGGTGATACCACCTATCGAACAAAAATATTGTTTACGTCAAACCTGAAGCGATCAATCTCCATGTCCTGGTCAAATAAAATCACATCCCCTCTATGCTCACTTCGAGCCGGAGCGCTCTGCGAGTAAGTAGGATTTAGGTGTGCTTGTTGAAAGTAACCCTTTTTTTACCTGCCGTCGGCGTGGAGCTCTCTCTGATCGAGGAACAACGCATCAACATCAAGTTTCTTGCAAACCCAGGCAAGAATGGCCGTGAGATTTTTTAGTGTTTAGAACAAGTTTACGGAAACAATTCTCTGGAAGAACCAACCGTCAGCAAGTGGTTGAAAAGGTTTCGGGAAGGTCGAGAAGAAAAAATGACCAAAGCTCAGAACGCCCCTCCACATCGAGCTCTGAGCGAAATCTTGAACGAATTCGGGGCTGTGTTCTTAAAAATCGTCGATTGACAGTTAAAATTATAGCTGAGGAACTGTGAATCCCCAAAACAATCGTCCACGAACTTCTGACAGAAAAACTTAATATGAAAAAATTGTGCGCGAAAATCGTTCTAAAGCTCTTGATTCCAGAACAGAAAGCAAGGAGGGTTGCTTACTGTCAGGATTGGTTGGAAGCAGAGGAAAGGGGGAGTTTCTCAACCGGGTCATCACTGGAGCCAGAAAAAAAAAACGAGTGAATAATTTGCATTTGGAAATTCTGATATTTCCTCATAATAAAAATGTATTAAAAACACGCCATTACCTTCAATCCAGGACAGTGTGCGTACCAAGCCCCATAACACTGCGAGTGCTGTGCGGCGACCCCGGCGGCGGCCCCGTTCGGCCCCCTGAACACAATCGGAACGTTCACTCGCCCTGCTGACATGTAGAAGGTTTTCGCGGCGGAGTTGATGATGTGATCGATGGCCTGCATGGCGAAGTTGAAGGTCATGAATTCGCAGATAGGCCTCAGACCGGCCATTGCTGCACCTGTTGCTATACCTAGAAATAGAAAAGACACAAATCGTGTTCAGAAGATGACTCAGTACTCAGGTGTATAGTTTAGATACGTATTGTACTCTTCACATTATGGCATAAAAAACAGTCATTAGAATGGTTGCCGACATTCCTCACAAACAGAAAGCAGTATGTAGCTATACACCATTTAAACTCTGGTGAAGTTAATTCTGGGATTGAAGAATGTTTGATGGGTGTCCCACAGGGGACTGTTCTAGGCCCTATTTCATTTTTACTTTATGTAAACGAGTTACCTAATGTTGTACCTGATGCATTGATAACTTCATTCGCAGATGATAATTGTAGCTTCTAGTTTTTTAGAGGAACAAGGTAACAGATGTTTAATTGAAAAAAAACTGGAACTATGAAGGACAAAAATATATAGACAAAGCAGAACAATTATAGAAAAAAGAAGCAAAGTTATAGAAAACCAACCATGTTTTTGTTAATATTTTGTAGCTTAACCATTATTATTGATCACCACCTTGCATCGTCTCGGCATAGATTGTAGAAGTTTCTTGATATAAGATTCATTAATATGTCTCCACTTTTGCTCTAATGCAGCAAAAAGTTCATCCTAGTTTGAATAGTTTTTATCTCGTATTTGATTATCTAAGTATTCCCATAGATTTTCAATGGGGTTTATATCGGGAGACTGTGAAGACCATTTGAGAACTGGTATTTTTTCATCCAGAAAGAATTTCTTTGCGAGATTTGAAGTGTGCTTCGGGTCATTATCTTGCTGGAAGATTGATCTTAAGGGCATATTGTCTTCCATATAGGGTAACATGACATGCTTTAGTATGTCTGTGTATACAAACTTATCCATAATGCCATCTATTCTATGTAAAGGTCCCATCCTAAACCCGCCTCCATGTTTGACAGTGGGCAAAGTGTACTTGGGGTTCAATCTTTGTCCACTATGACGTCTAAAGTAATGAACATCATATGATCCAAACATATTGAACTTGGATTCGTCACTGTAACATACCCTGTTCCAGTCACAGATGCTCCAGTCAAGATGCAACCGTGCAGATTGTAATCGGTCCTTACGGTTTTTCCTCGATCATTTAATCTTCTACTTATAGTTTTTGTAGAAACACTGGGGTTTTAAAGCGATCTTTGCGTATTGAGCGCATACAAAAGAGATTTCTCAGATCCATTTATTAGACAAGAAAATCTATCCATATATGGTTTCTTATCGAAGTATGCTTGACTCGTATTAATTCCATAAGCTTACCTGTCGCAGGATACAGCAGTCTATTATTATTATATACTACTTAATAAATAATATTAAATTTCATAAATGTAATCTTCTGAATTTTGTAGCTATTGTTGTTCCCAAGGTGATTCTTAGATACAAGAGAGATACATTTTTTAATATTAAGTACCCTCTGGACATTCCCATGAGTCATATGTTAATGCTTTGCAATGAGCTATTTAAAAAAACTGATATTGACTTTTTTAATACAGACGTGAATTCACTTAAAAACTTATTGTCATTAACAGATCTCACTAGGTCTTAGTCTAAGCAGCTATTGGTGGTTGTTTTATTATTTTATATTGTTTTGCCTGTGATGAATTTTATTGAAACTGATTTGTATCTTAGTATCATAAATGTGATAACTTTTTTTTTTAATTTTAGTTCTAGTCTTGGCTCATTTAAAACTTATATTTCACTGTTGCCTCGCGTTGTTTTACTCTAGTTTTAAGTTGTCTTGCATTCTAATTACTCTAGGGTGGTTTGTGAGACTTTAAGCAAATAAATAAATATTTGTTCAACATTGCCCAAACTGCTTCACGCTTCAGCTTCAAATTTTTGGAAATGTTGACTTGAAGTTGACCATCTTTGTATAACTCGATGATCTTATTTTTCCAATCGAAAGAAATTTCTGGACCACGCAGCATGGTCTTAAAATCACTCAACTTATTCCACAATACTTGATGAACACAAATTAATCCTCTTCTGACACGAAACTGTACTAAACTAATTTTGAAAAGAATTTGTCTACATATTTTTGTCCCTCATAGAAAAGTGCTTATATTCAGACTTGTGTTCATTGCAGATAATGTAAAAACAAGGAACTTAGTTCTTCCACTAATAACGCATTTGTTTATGGAGCAATGAAGTATGAATTCGTTTTCTAAAGGTATTTAGGTAAATATTCATATTGTCTATATACTTTTGTCGATTACTCTATATTGGAAACTTGTTTATAGACATTTAAAAATAGAGAAAAATTCCCAACACATGGCCAAATGCATTCAATTAACACGAGGATTAGTGAAGACTTTTATATACCACCCTATAGAACTCAAATTATGTCTAAGTATAAAAAGGTAAATGGCTTAAACATGTTTAACCTACTTCCCTCGGAAATAAAGAATTTTGTTTTAGATTTGTTAGCATTAATGCTACAATATCCATTGCCACAGTCTACAGACATTTAAGAATCTCTTACAAGACTATTTAATTGAAAATAGCTTTTATAGTATGTAAGAGTATTGTAATATATACAGTTAAATCTTATTTTTTGCTATTTTGTTTTTCCTTAGATATAGATTTGAAAATGTATGACAAATCCTATACATTTTTTTTTTGAGGAGAGGAAACAAATAAATATAAAAATTGTGAGTTGTCAGCAAAAGACTGAATAGTGCAAAATTTCACAACCCTGTTTACATCTGCTATACAGGGTGTCCCGAAAAAAGTGCGCAATATTCTACTAGCCATTTCTAGAGCTTAAAATAGGAAGAAAAGTTTATATAAACATAGGTCGACAAATGTCGCCTAAGGGCGAATTTTTTCCTTAATATTTCCGAAACGTGTTGAGATAAAGACATAAAATTTGGTTTTCTAGCCTAGTTTTTTATGCTGGATTTAAAAATATTAACAATTTTAGACAGTTTTGTTTGGAAGCGTATGTAACAGAGACGGACTCAGATTATTTTAGCCCCAACATTTTTGTTGTGATTCTATTTTTGAAATTCAATTTTAGAATTTGAAAATTTAAGATTTTCTACATAAAAAAGGTACACTTATTGAATATCGATATATTGTGCCATTTATGAATAAAATCAAACTAAAAGATTTGTCACTTGATAGGAAATGTACTGCGAATTTAAATGAATTGTTGATTATAACAGGTGGGCTGAAAATTCCGTATCGTTTCAATGAAAAAATATTTTTTTCGTCAAAATTCGCTTTTATTATTCAACATAGTTGCCTTCAAGGGCTATACAGCGATTATAACGTTCTTCAAGTTTTTCGATACCCTTCCGGTAGTAATCCTTCGGCTTGTCCTCAAAATAGGCTTCAGTTTCGGCGATGATTTCTTCGTTGCTGTGAAATTTTTTTCCGGTGAGCATTCTCTTAAGGTCTGAGAAGAGGAAATAGTCGCTTGGAGCAAGGTCCGGAGAATACGGTGGATGGGGGAGCAAATCGAAGCCCAATTCATGCAATTTCGACATCGTTTTCATGGACTTGTGGCACGGCGCATTGTCCTGGTGAAACAAGATTTTTTTTTTCTTCATTTGTGGCCGTTTCTTGGCGATTTCGGCCTTCAAACGCTCCAGTAACACTATATAATAGTCGCTGTTGATAGTTTGGCCCTTTTGAAGATAGTCGATGAAAATAATTCCTTGCACGTCCCAGAAAACAGAGGCCATAACCTTGCCTGCTGACTGTTGCGTCTTTCCACGTTTCGGAGGTGGTTCGGATGCAGCCGTCCACTCGGCCGACTGGCGATTTGACTCCGGTGTGTAGTGGTGGAGCCATGTTTCATCCATGGTGACGTATCGGCGAAAAAAATCGGTTTTATTGCGCAAAATCACCTCCAAACAGGCCTCAGAGTCGTCGATGCGTTGTTGCTTTTGGTCAAATGTGAGATTGCGCGGCACCCATTTCGCACAGAGCTTTCGCATATCCAAATATTCATGAATGATGTGACTGACACGTTCTTTTGATATGTTTAAGGCCTCAGCTATGTCAATCAACCGTATTTTGCGGTCTCCCAAAATTATTTTGTGGATTTTTTTCACGTTTTCGTCCGTAACGACCTCTTTTGGGCGTCCACTGCGTGCGTCGTCTTCAGTTGACATGTGACCGGTACGAAATTTAGCAAACCACTTGCGAATGGTTGCTTCGCCCGGGGCAGAGTCCGGATAACACTCATCAAGCCATTTCTTGCATTCGACGGCACTTTTTTTCATCAAAAAATAATGTTTCATTAACACACGAAACTCTTGACTTTCCATGGTTTTCAAAAATAACAAAAGTAGCGTCACTCTCGATACGATAACTCAAAAACTAATGATCCGACAGCTGTCAAATTTTGACAGGCATCTTTTGAAGGTTGGTACTAGCTAAGAAGCGTATGGATTTTATTCTGGTGGCGCCATCTCATAGAAACGATACGGACTTTTCAGCCCACCTGTTACATAGTTAGGCATGTCTGCAAACAAAAGTTGTTTTGATTTGTTATGACTTATTTTGACGTGAAGCTGACATTGTTAGCAGTGTAAAATTACTAGATTAAAATCAAAATTTTTATTAAATCGATTTAAAATGCCAAGATTTACAGACAGAACTGACTGATATGCATTTTGTGTACCAGTTTTGCATTGGCAGCCGTAAGAGAATATCAAAGAAGATTTCCCAATCGCATAGTACCTGGATGTCGAATGTTTACTGATATTCACCGGAATTTGTCAAACCATGAAAGTTTTCAGCACATGGAAGGCTCAGGAAGGCCACTGGAAATCATCGTTTGTATATTGCTTTAAATATGATTGAAAATAATCCGCAAATAAGCATACGAAATGTTTCAGAAAATATGGATATACCTCGATCAATAGTAAGAAAAATGTATGAATACCTATTTGATAGTTATCCTAGAAATAATAATTTTAGATAGGAAGAATGACAAGAATGCAAGGATTACATCTTTATCATTTTAAACGGGTGCAGCATTTAACGGAGGCAGATTTTTTACCACGAATCGAGTTTTGCCAGTGGATATTGAATTGAAATGAAAACACTATTCCTAGAATATTATGGTCGGACGAGTCAATATTTACTAGGAATGGTGCTTTTAATTTCCATAACATGCATCGCTGGTCAGATCAAAATCCAAAAGTTGTTCGCCATACAAATTTCCAACATAGATTTTCAATGAACTTATGGGCAGGAGTAATTGGGGATCAAGTAATTGGGCCTGTTGTACTTCCCAATCGTCTTAATGCAGAGGTGTATCTGAACTTTCAACAACCACACGTTTCGGAAATATTAAGGACAAACCATCTTCAGGGGAGCCCCTTTAAAAGCCTGTAGCGCCCTATGTTTATATAAACTTTTCTTCCTATTTTAAGCTCTAGAAATGGCTGGTAGAATATTGCGCACTTTTTTCGGGACACCCTGTATAGCAGATGTAAACAGGGTTGTGAAATTTTGCACTATTCAGTCTTTTGCTGACAACTCACAATTATATTTATTTGTTTCCTCTCCTCAAAAAAAAATTGTATAGGATTTGTCATACATTTTCAAATCTATATCTAACAAAAAACAAAATAGCAAAAAATGAGATTCAAACTTTTCTTCCTATTTTAAGCTCTAGAAACAGCTGGTAGAATATTGCACACTTTTTTCGGGACACCCTGCATACAAGTCCAGTGGTCCAAGAACTCATCCTTGAGGCACTCCTGAGGAAATCATACATTCTGTCTAGAAAATTATGCATTAGACCTTTTGGGGTCTATTCATTAAAAAGCTGTGTATTAAACTCAGCGAGGAATCACCAAAACCATAATGCTTGTATGTCCTCCCCAGGGGTTGATCAAGGCTGGATCATCAGCGACCCCAGTCTATTCAGAAAGCTGGTGATGCAACAGTATCGTCTCTCATCTTCCTGTTTCCTTAGCTGACTGATTAGTTGTAATGCCTGTGGCAAAATAAAGTTAATCATTTTGCCACAAGGATAGCAGGGGAATTCTTCTAGTGATCAGGCCAGTGTATCATCCCACATGTTCTTGATCAGTTTATGGAAGCGAGTAGAAAATGACTTCAGGAAGTGTAAGTAGTTTTAAGGGTAAGAGACGTAATTAGTAACATGCAACTTATTATTTTAGGTTCACTGTAACTATTAAAACCAAACATAACTAAGGCCGGTATCGTCAGTCGTTCCTACAATTGTAGGGCGCGTTTATAGCCTCCTTGATTGTCATACTGTTTTCTCTCCTTCAAAAATTTCTAGATTACACTTGTCCTGTGTCAGCGCTCTCCTATTGTGAAGATATGGTTTCTTTTTAAATTGTAAGAAATTTCAGGCTGTTAAAACATGATATAACTCAAAAGCAAGCACAATTTGATGCAAAAAGATGTTTGTGACATAACCTCAAAATAGAGTTCTGACACGGAGAAGTAAAAAACTATGACAATCAAGGAGGCCATAAAGGCGCCCTACAATAAATTGTAGGGACGACTGACGATACGGGCCTAACTTATACAAAAATCACATTCAACATTCCAAATCTTACCGGCAAATCCCATTTCAGTGATAGGCGTATCGATGACCCTCTTATCTCCGTACTTCTTCCACAGCCCTCTGGATACCTTGTAAGCCCCATCATACTGTGCCACCTCTTCACCCATAATAAAAACTCTTTCGTCCCTTTCCATTTCTTCGTCCATAGCAGAGTTCAAGGCATCTCTCACTGTCATCGGCTTGGCGCTTAGGGCTTTGCTGGTGGACAGAGAACGGGCGAAAGTGACTTTGCCGGCGGCCCCCAAACGTTGAAGAGATTTTACGGTCGCCATAATTTTGCGGTTGATTCTGAAACGAATGCCCCGCTGTGAGGTTTAATACAGGAATATTAAGCGAGAAAGCACCTACCTACAGATTTGAAAAATTCAAGGTGACAGAGGTCGTCCAGATGTGTGGTCGGATTTTGCTAGGTTCGTGTTATCAGTGGAAAATACGTAACCGTCGTCGCATTCTGAGCATATACGTCAACCAGCCGACGGAAAATCTCAGTCAAACTGTCATTTCTAGTTTTTGCTTTTTGCCTTTTCGAAAAGCCCGATTTTAGGTTATGATTTTCGTGATTCGTCCGCACATGTGCTATGCAGTGTTGCCAGAGCGAAGTTTAAAATATCCGTCACACGTATCGCAAAATTCCCCTACATGCCGCTACGGTCTAAAAATTTTAGGGGGGGGGAGGCTTAAAATAAACAACAATTATATTTTTTACATATTTACTTTTTTTTTAAACACTGTCTAAAAACCCTACTAAAAATACAAACAGTAACATAATATAATTGCAATTTTTCGTAAAAACATAAAAAGTATACCTCTAAAAAAACAAAACTGTCTTTGGTTTAGAATTAGGAACTAATAAAAAAATAGAAACTATCACCGATATCTTAATCTTAATAGAAAAAAAAAAAAACAAAAAATAAGGACAAAGAAGAAGCGGAAACGTGGAAATGCCTACGTTTGCTTATTTTATTCACAGTCAGAATCAGAAATTACTTCTTCTTCAGCTTGTTCTTCCTTATTTACATTATATAAATTCTTTTTATATTTGTTTAAATGATTCTCATTAAAACTATAGGATAAACAGCACTGTTTTTTTTGATTCCAAGTCTAATTTAATTGTAAGTACTGCAGACAAAGTTGATGGTATTATTTTATTTCTTTTGTTTGTTTAGTAATCAAGCATATAAGAAAAAGTTCGCTCAACATCAGCGTTTCCATGAGGCAATGTTAAAATAATTAGAGCCAGTTTACCTATATTGCGAAATAAATATTCGGTATTAAAATTTTTGAGGTCGTTTACAAACGACCAAAATTCAATGACATTACTTTTTGTTTTTGAAATTTCCTCTTTCTCACTATCACTAAAATAAATACATATTTTCTTTAGTTCCAAAATTGCCTTTTCGGTTTCAATATGAAGGGCAATTTTTTTTAAAACGGCGTCATGAAAGGTATCACTTATAATAAGACGATTGTTCAACACATCAACCGGTGAGAGAAACTTTAGCTCTGAAAAGAAGTTGTCTTTGATAGGAAATCTTTTAAGGGACTCTTCTACCGATTTTTGGTAAAATGTGACACATTTTAATTTAAATTGTACGATTGCCGTGTTATTGCAGTGTTTTATTGCATCCATTGTATGCGGACCAACATTCACTTGTTCAATTGGTAATAAGCAGTGGGGATCATTAGGATCTAGATAATATAATTTCTCATTTTTAAAATATTCTGGTCGCATAAAGTTTGTACATAGATGACGTACAAATCGCTCACTCTCTATTGATATGATATTGAGCATAACTTTCTCTGATTGAAAGAGAGCATTAAATTGTTTAAAAATGGGCAACACGAATTTAAAAAAACATTAAATACGCCTTAACAAATGGATTCTGTAATTCATTAAGTATTACATTTGCTACAGAATTTTTGTCTTCAATGGAAGCTAATCTAAATAGGCTAAGCAAGATGTCCCACTGATCCAAAACTCTATCAACACATTTGGATAAAGCAAGCCACCTTGTTTTACTAGGGCTTAAAATTTTTAATTTTGAGTTTTTGAAATATTCCTGTAATTCTTCAAGAACACACTGCCTTTTTGGGCTTCTTGAGAAGTAAGAATATAAGTTTTGTAAAAGAGCTTCAACGTTGCTTGGAATCTTTTCAGCTGCCGCCACCGCCACTAAATGAGCAGAGTGGCAAATGCAGCCATTGACAATTATATTAGGATTATCTTTTAAAAGATAAGTTTTGAAAGTTTTGAAAGATTCGTTATTGCCCATCATAACACTAGCGTTGTCGGAACAGTATCCAACAATATTGGTAATTTTTACTTGATTGGATATAACGCATTTTTTAAAAAGAGAATATAAACCTTTGGCGGTACCTTCATCTGCGTTTATTTTAATTATATCTATTTAATGGGTTTTAATTGAATTTTTATGAATATACCTTACAAGAATGCATAGTAGTCTTGTATTGCTCAGGTCTGTACTCTCATCCAATAAAATAGAAAATGGTTTATTTTCCAATTCTGAAATTATTTCGTCTTTAATAACAGGAGCCAGCACATTTTTAATTATACTTATGCAATTGGATCTTTTTAATTTAAGTGAGCTAGAGAGATCTGGGTCTTTGAAACATAATTGACTAACTCCTGTTATATGATCAGCAGTTCTAAAACTTATATAATGACTTACAACTAAAAGACTATATCTTAAGCAAGCAAATATTTGCCGTTTTTCCAACTCACGTGCTTCCCGAGACTGAAAAGTGCTATCTAACGTTCTTACATTCGAAATTGCTTGTACATTAGTGGCATGCCTTTTTGATTTCGAATGATTTACTAAATCTGATTTTTTAGCACCCATTATTTGATTACAAGCTTTACATTTTGCTTTCAACTTGTCATTTTCACATAACGGATCTTCTAGCCATGATGAAGTAAACATTTGTTTTCGTGTCTTTTTCTTAACAGGTTGCTCTGGCTCTTTATTATCCTGAGATTCGCAGGTCGAATTATCAGGCTCAGACCTGATTCCACTAGATTCCGCTCTTCCATTTTGTCTGTATTCAGGTTCGGGATGCTCCGAGTCCGACACAGATGCAGTCGAAGTGGATGGTACGGCCACGTTTGGTTTCACCGTTTGTTTTTTAGAAGGATTTTTATCAAAAAATCGTTTATGGTCTGCTGTCGCCTTTCCATTATTCCTATTTTCCAGAAGAAAAAGCGTTAAAAATAAATTTCACGACTAAGATTTATTTCTGGATCAAACTATAATATGTTAGATATTTAAGCAGTTTTGTTACTTACCAGTAGATTTAATATTAAAATCTGCAGCAAATGATATATCAATAAAATGATCAACACAAAAATAAGAACACTAATATAAACGAAACTAAACAGTATACACCCAGAGCTGAAAAATACAATACAAAGCGAGAAACCTAATATTATGTCTGCCTGCTGAGACCTGTTAGAAACGATTAGTATTGAAAGCAGTACGTACGCCATCTGTTATTGAAAAAAAGGCAAGTGGAATAATTCTCTTCTCTGTTCCTAGATGGCTCAAGCGGCACCAAATGCACCAATTTTATTATTAATGTGATAATAAATCAGACTCTAGCCACTGCCTATTTAGGATTTAGAACGTTATTAACGTTAAAACAGTGAAATAAATATGATAGTTTTGGGCTAATTTGCTCTACCGCCGCTACGCCGCTCTTCTCAAAATAATCCGCTACAAATAGCGGAATTCCGCTACGTATGACAACACTGGTTAAAAAAGATTTTGCTGAATATAGGCTACCAGAATTACAAGAACAAACAACACCGGTTAACCGGTGTGATACTATATAGTATATACAGGGTGTTTGGAAGGTCGATACAAAGTCTTGGGGAGGGGATACCAGTTAAAGTCTTTTAACTCTTACCGGAGCAGACATGGTCAAGAAATTTTGACCCAGCTGGCGCAAAGGGTTTTAACGCTTTTTTATATCAAAAAAATGACTTAATTTGCAATAAAAAATTAAAAATACGTAACAAAAAATGTTTTTTCCGGTTTAAGTGTCCATATTTTAGAAAAAACTGGTGGTATATGTTTTATACCACCACGCCAGTTGAATAATATCAAATAAAATAACTTTCAACTCAAAAGTATTTATTTTCCTACCAAGAATACAAAAAAAAATCTCATTGACATCAAAATGATCACAAAATTTAAGAAATATCTTAAAAAATGTCTTAAAAAAAATTAGCAACGTAATGAAAAAACATAAAATTCATTTTGAACTAAATCGTATGGAAGCTTTGAAAGCAGCTTTTTTGCTTGCCTAAACACAGGGGTATCTTGCAAATTGTGCACATCCAGTCAGTTCGGACTCGTTTAGCTTTGCTACACTGCATAATGCGCATCTTCTTCTGGATCCCCGTTCTGGGTGATGTGCTGCTGAATTGAGACGTACATCCTTAGGTACATGTGGTTTCGTCTTTTTGATTTGGATTATTGGACTAAATTCCGTTTGTCTTTTCGATGATGAAACTAATGTGGACGCAACCAAACCATGAATGATTTCTCTCCTGAAATCTGAAAAATTTGGTGGTTCATCTTTCGACCACTGCTGCGATAAGGGCCAAACATTAAATAAAAAGCTTCTCGAATGTTTCTTATTAAATGGTGTCTCTCAAAATACAGGGTGTTAGTTTTCTGTATATATGTATAAAACTAACATCCTGTACTTTGTGATAAATTGACGGAATCAATCATAAGAAATAAATCTATAATATAATGAATATTACATCTATACTTTGAGTTAGGCCATAATATTTTCTAATCAGTAAAGAGAAACTTTTTGGAGATTTCTAATATTTCTAGTACTCATAGGTACCTAAAATGATTTCGTCACTCACCTTAGAAAACAAATTTAGTAGATTGGATTTATTCTTAGTCGCCGCTTGCAATTCTTCTTCGATTCTCTTAGATACAATAATATCTAGTTCCTTGTCGGATTTTGCTTGTAATTTGTAATTTCGCCACACTTCGTTAACTAGCTTTTGTACTGTCGTACTTGTATGAGATTTTTTAAAACTTTCAAACAATTTTTGGTATAACTTGGATTTGTCTATGTGAAACGACATCTTATTTAAACATTAAACTTTGGCTAATGGAATCAATGGTAACACAAATGTTAACTTGCTTTACTATGATTACAATACATCTACTTGCTATAGTATCCAAACGAAACAATACACTGATAGAGGAAATTTAGACAAGTGAACACCGCGCGGTAATTCCCCTACTCGGTTCTAAAGCGAGTAGGGGAATTACCGCGCGCTGTTCACTAAACGTATGCATTATTTGCGGGAATCCCCGAAAATGCGTTTCGTTTTCAAGCAAAGACAATGTGAGCGTTGCCATTCGTGTAAAAAAGTAAATAACTACCGATGACGTAATCATCATCTAGACTCCCCTACCCCCCATGTCATCCAAAATAAGCAAAGCAAAACCTGATCTTTTAGGTTAGGAACAAGAGATCGAGATAGGTTGTAACATCATTAGGTAGTTTTCCATAAAAAACATATCAATTTAATTAATTTAATTTAATTTTAATTTTTTTTGAGAACATTAGCTATTTTTGTCGGAATGTCAAAGACATGTGGAACTAACAAAACTTCAAATATTATAGTATTTGTAGGCCAAGAATAGCTCTTTTCAACTAGCCCAAGTCTGTTAAAATGGGCTCAGCCGTTTCGAAGATACAGAGTGTTTTTTATGAAAACCTTTGAAAACTCCCCACCACTTTATTTTTACAGATACAGTTGGAAAAAGGGTTCACATTATCCTCGACTTTAAAGATCAGGTATTTTTTATGTTAATAGAGTCCAAACCATAGAAAGATCACTTTCTTAGATTCAAGGTTGCAGTTACGCCTCCTAGCGACCATTTCAGAAACTTGAAAATATTTTCCAGGTTTTTCTCTTGGCCGTTTTAGTATTAACTCTGTTTGCCGCAAGCCTCTACGATGGATTTGTTCCCAGATACAGTACCCCACATTCTTATTTGGCCACCCTGTATAATAAAAACAATAAATCGTCTAAATAACTACACTGTAGAACACTAGATATCTACCTTTATTTGTATATTGACAAAAAAAGCACAGAGGTAAAATTTAATTTCATATTTATTCTAAAATGTGTCATTCATATTACAAAAACAATGAATAACCTAAATAACTATCCTGTAGAACACCAAACACATCATCACTAGAATATTGTAATATAAAAAAGATTTACATAATTTCATAGGTTCTGAGATGTCAATAAGAACCTTACACGTTAACTTTTCAGGGGTTACCTAATTCAGTGCTTCAAATGCTTTTTCAGCAGAATCGATGCGCAGAATTAATATACTAACATCAACAAATTTTTATACACCCCTCCTCCACACTCCTAGAGACACCTAATACTTTCCCCTTAAATTTTTTTCAAAATAATCAGGACTTTCTGAACCGTCAAAAAAGGAAGATTGAGCTGTTTTTATTAATTTTTTTCGTTTTTTGATTTATTCTCCGCCGCTATTGGACCGATATGCAAAATCTATAAAGCATTTTCGTTCGTAGCATAGTGATAACATTGTGTGAAAAGCTTCCCAAAATCCGAGCGGTCTTTCTCAAGTTATAGACGGAAGTGAGTGACAACATCACCCACACACCATCTTATTTTTTATTTTATTTTTGCCTGTAGCGATAGACAAATCTTCTGTTGCTAACTAGTGAACGTTGATGTTATGACTATACAAATGCCCGCTTGTGTCCATCCTGTTATGTAGAATGTTGAATATCCATATGATGATCCCAAGTTTTCCAAGGAACATGCTTTTAGCCAGGAATATCTTCATGAGAATCAATGCAAACGGAAGGAACGTGGTTTGCATTATGAATGGCATCGCTATCATCGGCGTTATCCGCTTCAAAAAGTCGTCTCGGTTGGTGTTCTTTTTCCTTGCACCTGAAACTGAAACACAAAAACGAAATCTTTCATGTCTTCTCACGAGAAGATTAAATGTTAATCGCTTCATCATAGGTTGTAAAAATTCGCACCATAATGGAATAAAATTCAAGCAATTTTCTATCCAAATCTTTCAATCATAAGCCAAATTTTGGAAATTAGATTTTCTTCAAACGTGAATCGATAGCATAAATGATAACCGCTTTCTATCCTTAATCGGTTCTTTAAAATTATTACTTTTTTTTTGATGGTAGTTGCTGTGGGTTGCATAAGAATCAGCGGGGCTCCCAGGATTTCAGTCTGGAAGTGGTAAAATGCAAAGTAAATTCTCAGTGTGACGTACTGAAGTGTTATAATGATTTAACATTAAAAGGATGGACATATGCAGACATATGAATTTGTTACAGTAATTTCTGTAGAAAATACAATTTGTTTTAATTTTGAATAATACGAAATCAAAGTGTAAATAAAGCAAACCAAGGTCGAGCAATCTTCATATATTAAAACAAAAATGCAAAATAACATGACATAACAATGTCAGACAAAACAACAAAAAATACATCTTCATGAAAAAATAACAATAACAAATATGTTACGACTTCTATAAAGTATAAAACTGAATATAAATCAAAATAAAATTCTTAATCATGAGAAAAACACAAAAAATAAAAAATATTCATCGCATAACTACATTCTCTTAGCCAGTCTCAAAAAACAAAAACATATAAACTATGAAACTACATCAGTTCACAGTCTCAAAATAAAACAATCATTACATTAGCTTAGAAAGTGATTTGATCAGAGTTTGAACATACTTTTATATCAATCTGCTGGAGAATAAATAAAACCACATATCTTGATTGGATACTTTGGAAAAGATCAACGTGGTGGTTTAAACCCTTACCTACATCTGCTTTTTTATATATTGGTCAACAGAAGGGAGATGGATTTGAGAGACAACCTTAGGCAAAGTTCAGATGTTATCATATTACAAAATCAAGGCGCATATTCTTTTTGCTGGCGAACCGATCTATGATTGTATTCACGTCTATTTTAATATCTCTATACATATACAAAAGAGCTAAACCCACTAATGGCTCTTGTAGCATAGTGGAGCGCAGCCAAGGTTTTATCCTCTTTAGATGGGAGAAACTTCTTTCAGATGTCGCAACATTTAGCGGAAATGAAATCAATAATTGCAGGCATCTATTAATTGAAGGAAAATAATTTTTCATCACATGATAAATACAGTGACATTCCACATCTTGTGTATGTGACTTCCAAAGGTCAAATTCTGCTTTTAAACTGGTACTCATTAAATTTTTGTTTTCGTTACTATTTAGTCCATGCAAATATTTAGAGATAGTTTCTTATATGTCCATTACTTCAGCTTCAGTTTTCTAATTAAATACTGACGCAAAGAAAATATTAAAATTGTATATATTCTTCATGGAACCGGTATACCAAATCTTGTAATATATTATCTAGCTAAGGGACATATATAGGTTCAGTCTGTAATGATTTTCCTTGACAGACGTAACTATATGTCCGTTCATTTGCCTTGCTTTTTTATTCTTGGCACAGTCACTTCAATACCCATGATTTCATTATAGATGCAATATTCTAAAGTGTTTTTCGGAATTTGCGCGTCTTGTAAAAGTGAAATAATATTTCCTATGAGTTTGACATCGTATTGTTTGTCAATCGTTTTTGATTGTAAAATCTTACTCAGGTTGACTGTTAAAGCTAATATATCACTCAAACACTTTACTGATACGATAAACTGGGTGGAGTAATGGCAGTCTTCAAAGACACCGCTTTTGAAGAAGCTTCGCGGTCTTTCCAATTTGATATAATATTTAGTACCTCTACAATTTTCTCGAATTTGCTTTCAAATTGGAGCACAGAATCATGTCTCTCGGTCCATCGTCTTTCGCACATACTATGAATTTGATATCCGTCTAGTTTTCTTTTTAATACTGTATTTCTTTCAGCGGACGCTTTGAAGAACGCAATTAAAGCTACAGTATTTCTTACTGCTTCGACACTGCTGCTTTTCGAAGTTGAAAAAATCAAGGCATGATTTGCGCATAGGTTTTTTTTTGGCAAACATTTTTGCAATTCCATTACAGCGCCCTTTTGTTCACCTAACATTAGGTTACACGTATCAGTACCAATGCCCACACATAGTTTTAAGTCTAAGTTATTGGTTTTATTGAAATGCTTGACTGTTTGAGTAAGAATTTGACCTGTGAGTTTGGGCTCCATTGTATCTTCATCAAAATTTGAGAGGTAATCCACAAATCCCATGAAGCCCTCGTAAATATGTTTTTGATAACAATACCGCAATACGATTGACTTTTGTGATTTATGGCTAATGTCTATAGTTTCGTCAAATAATGGGTGATTTTTTCGCTAGTATCTTTTTGGCATCACTGTTTTTGACAGATGACGCGTGAATCGTGTCTTGTATCATTGTCAAACTTGTTCAGTTTGGTGTATAATTTAACCATGAATCGACTTACAAACGAACAACGCTTGCAAATTATTGAATTTTACTATCAAAATTCATGCTCGGTTAAGATGGGCAATTTGGTCGGCCTACTGAGGGAGCTATTCGGAAGCTTGTGACTAAATTTCGAACCCAGTTTACATTATTGGATTGAAGAAAGTATTGCGGCTGTATCCGCCAGTGTTAGTGATGACCGTGAAATGTCGATTCGCCGCCGTTCGCAGCAATTGGGCCTCTGTTACCCCACGTGGAAAATTTTGCGACAGGATTTGGGTGTAAAACCTTATAAGATACAGCTGGTGCAAGAATTGAAGCGACACTACCTCCCACAACGTTTCCCATTTGGTGAATGGGCGCTGGCAAAGCTGGAGGAAGATCCACATTTTTATCGAAAAATTATGTTCAGCGACGAAGCTCATTTCGGGTTGAATGGGTACGTTAACAAGCAAAATTGCCGCATCTGGAGTGCAGACCCGCCAGAAGCATTGCAAGAGCTACCAATGCGTCCCGAAAAAATCACTGTTTGGTGTGGATTATGGGCCGGTGGCATCATCGGGCCGTACTTCTTCAAAGACGACAATGGCCGGAACGTAACTGTGAATGGCGAGCGCTACCGTGCGATGATAACAAACTTTTTTTTGCCCAAAATGGAAGAGCTGGACTTGGCTGACATGTGGTTTCAACAAGACGGTGCCACATGCCACACCGCACACGAAACAATGGCCCTATTGAGAGGCGAGTTCGGTGAACAGTTTATCTCACGTTTGGGGCCCGTCAATTGGCCGCCTAGATCGTGTGATTTAACGCCGTTGGACTATTTCTTGTGGGGCCATGTTAAGGCTAATGTCTACAGGGATAAACCAGCAACGATTGACGCACTGGAAGCCAATATTGAAGCATTTATTCGTGAGATACCGGCCGATATGTTGGCGAGAGTGCGCCAAAATTGGACCTTGCCGCGGCCAACATTCACATGAAATAATCTTTAAACATTAAATTATATCGACCGTTCTATATTTTTGAAAATCAAATCCTATACCTCTTAAAAAATCACCCGTTACATATGTGGTCTCATTTGGTCAGAAAATCATTGAATTCAATCAACATGGAAACTCTATGATACGTTTCAGATGTTACTTTACAACTATGTATCAATTATTAGAAATAAATGATTGTATTTTAAAAAATACGAGACATCACTTTTGATATTAGCCATGTATTAACAACATTCAGACTCTTAAATGACGTCGTAGAATTGGCAAACTAAGAACTAGTCCAATTTGAAATCGTCTTACCAAGTTGATCGACGAGAGGGTCCCCGCCACGTTCGTCCGCATTTTTCGTCGTTTCTGCGGTTCCAGGGCACACCATCTCGATGAATATCAATGACCAACACAACACGGCTACCAAATAAAACTTGAATATCATGCTTGAACTCAAGTCGCTTCTTGCAAGTGAAACCGGCGATAGCTGTTAAGCATGCTGATGTTTCTTTCGATACGGTTGCAACGAGACTGGTTCAGAACCACGCAGAACTAGATTCGCTTTCGGAGTGGACTATTTTACTGCGCCGTTCATTTTTTGTCGTCGGCTTTGATTTATCATATTTATTGGTATCGTTGGTTTAGTCCTCCAGGCGTCATATAAATATGCATGTATACAGGCTTTTTCCGAAAAAACATGGAAATATTTCTAAGATAGAAAGTAGAGGGTGTTCCATAATTAACGCAAGATTTGAATTTGCCGCCATGTTTACAGTAAATTGTAGTCAGCCCTGAAAAAAGAACAATTTGACACCTGAGAGGCTAGGCTTAGTAAAAATGGAGCGTTATACGATACAACAACGAGTTTTCATTACTGAACAATAAGGGGCCGTTCAAGTATTACGTACGTAAAAACATTAAACTTTGGCTAATGGAATCAATGGTAACACAAATGTTAACTTGCTTTACTATGCTTAAAATACGTCTATAGTCAACGCCAAACAAAGTGGCGTGCACGTCATCACGATAAAAATTCCCCGACCTAATGCCTAGGTTTCTATCACAAACAATTGCTCTATTGCAGTTTCATATTAATGTGATATATAAATTGTAAAATGGTCATTACTCTCTTATTATGGTTAATAGTCATATAAACATTGTTATTAAAATATCACATAAGTTGCTTTCTGATAAATTTAGACGCATTATGCGAAATAAAATGTTTTGCAAACGCTCCAATCACTTATCGACATGTAAACGCACTAAACCGATTTCGCAGCGTTGACACATTGTCACCTTGAAACTTATTTAAACTGGGAACTGACATTTGTATTAATTTTAACACTGAATCAATTTGTGGCATTTCAAATCTTTATAAATCCTTTGGCCCCGCATACTGTAAATCAACAACTGTTTGTTTCAAAACAAAATTATTCATTTTACGAGTAGATAAAGGCAATTTTGGTATATAAAGATGCCCAAACAGTTAAATAGTCGGTGCAAGGAACTCGTGGCCTCGTTAATGCACTACTTTGAGCGAGAAAGGGACAACAACGGGCCTTTGTTGCCTTTAAATGCTGTTCAAGAGGTAGGTTACTAATAATTATATGTAATGTATATTAATAATAGTGAAATTTTATTTCATTTTTTGTAGCATGTTGCTGCTGCTTTAAAAATTAGTTTAAGGACAGCTAGTCGTATTTCCGAGGGTATGAAAAGTGATGCAAATTTAGAATCGCCCAAGAAAAAGCGGAGTTATATTAAACGTGTAACCAACACAGCGACATTGGATACAAGTGCCATTCGAGAAGTGATCTATAATATGTATCACAAAAGTAAGATCTTATTATAATAACTTATCAGAAATTTGCATTAATTTGTTAACTAAATTATAAAGTCATATTACACATGGTTTCAGAAGAACAAGTTACGATACAAACTTTATGGTCTCGATTAAGAGATAGGGCATTATTTGATGGTAGTGCCACGTCTTTAAGGCGGTTGCATAGAGATCTTGGATTTAAGTGGCTTAAGGACAATCCGCGACGAGGGCTCATGGAACTACCAAGTATAGCTTTGAAAAGGGTGGAATTTCTAAGGCAATACAATCAAGCCAAGGTTGAGGCCTTATACCAGTTTGTCTTCCTCGATGAAACTTGGATATTTCAAAATGGGACCATAGGTCGCTCTTGGCAAAATGGAAACCAAAAAAGCGTGAAAGCTATTAAAACAGATGGTAAAAGGTATGTACTTTTACACAATTTGCACTATAAAATTTAAAACTAATATATTTTAGATACATTATATTACATGCTGGAAATGAAAATGGGTTTATTGAGGGTAGTGAAGCGATATTTTCTTCGAAAACAAAATTGAGCGATTACCATGGAGAGATGAACCAGGACAATTTTTTGAAATGGTTTCAACATCAGTTATTAGAAAAATTGGAGAGTCCATCTATGATTATACTGGATAACGCCCCTTATCACAGCATGATATTGAACAAAGTGCCCAACAATGCATGGACAAAAAAAAATATCCAAGACTGGTTGACAAATCAAAACATACCATTTTTAAACACAATGTTTAAAACAGAGCTATTGAGTATTGTTGCTCGGTACATAATGCTTCTTACTTACGTATATATATATTTTGGTCGACAGTTTATATTTCTTTTGTTTATTCCTATTCTTAAAATAACTGCTTTTTTAGAAACAAACCACCTAAAATATACGTGATTGATGAATTGGCGGAACAACATGGGCACAAAGTTCTTCGTCTGCCTCCTTATCATTGTATATTTAACCCTATTGAGTTAATTTGGGGCATAGCAAAAGGTTACTATAACAGACATATTGGTAGAGATGGTAACAGTGAAAAAGACTGTTTGGATATGTGGAAGGAGGCTCTACAAACGGTTACCCCAGACATGTGGAAAAATAGTGTTCGACATACTGAGCAAGAAATTTTTAAATGGTATGAAAGAGAACGAATTTTTGATCGACCAGACATCGAACCTTTAATAATCAACTTTGAGAGTGATGAAGATTCAGTAAAATAAATACCATGCATAAAATTTGGAGGACCCCATTTGGATTTTTATTCAGTACCTTTAAGCTATCAATTAAATATGGTAGTTTCATAGTGTCATCTGATCAATAATTGTCATACTTAATGATTATGCAAGTACAGATCTATAATTTTATTATACTATTTATGTTTGTTCTCATTTGAGGTTAATATTGCTTATAAACCTAGATATGTAAATAATAAATTTTATTATTTTACAAAAAGTTTGGCAACAATGTAAATTTTTCAACACACCCACCTTGATGACGTGCACGCCACTTTGTTTGGCGTTGACTATACCTACCGTGTTGTTTTATTTCCATATGCAAAACGTAAAAGACATCCCTCGTAAAGTCACTAGATTTTGAGTTATTAAGCTTTTAATAAAAAAATTAAGGGAAAAAAATCACATCATCCATGGAAACAAAAGACAAACAGTGGGCTAGTTCCATATTGCCACTAAGATACAGATTTGACGTAAAAACTAATATCAATAAGAACAGTATAAATCAGCTTCAAGCGCAATAAAGAAAAACAACTATAACAACAACATAAACAAACAACTATCACTACTCAAGACCTAATCTACAAAAACTGCTCGAAAATATCTCCACCATGTTGAATGCATAGTCTTTAAATGAATGACCGTTGCACATACCTCACTAGGGGTTCCCTTATGGTGAGAAAAGCATCCTTAATCGTTTCCTTCATAATTTCCGGGGTAGGCGGTGGATATTTATAAACCTCTTGCTTAACGTAGCCCCATAGAAAGAACTCCATCGGTGTCATATCCGGTGATCTAGGAGGCCAAGGTATAGGCCCACCACGACCGATCCAACGATTGTTACTCCAGGTGTCCAAATAGTTACGCACACGATTATAATAATGCGCAGGTGCGCCGTCATGTTGGAAGTACATATGCATTCGAATTTGCAGGTTGACATCCTCCAAAAAAAAGGGAAATGCTCGAACAAAAAATTCCAGTATTCTGTACCTGTTAATCTGTTGTCGAAAAAAAAAGGCCCGATAACTTGTCTGCCAATAACTCCTCCTCAAGCATTCAAGCTCCATTTATTTTGGAAATCTATTATCCTGACCCAGTAAGGGTTTTCCGTCGCATAAAATATTATGCCCGTTGACAACACCTATGCTGTTAAAAGTTGCCTCATCAAAGTAGTGGCTTCACTCACTTTATTTAGCATTATTCTACTAAACTAACATATGCTTGTGAATAATCCTTTGGACAGAAGTTCTGCATATATCTGTTTCTGCTCCATTTTGCCCTGCACTTAAATGGGGATTTTGCTGCAACTTTAATAAAACCTCATACTGATTCGCCTCATTGGTGGCACTTGGATTATTCATACATTTTTTACTATATTCCACTGCTCCACTTGATTCAAAACGTTCTCATAGTGTGGAAAATGTTTCGCATAAAATGGTACCGTTGCTTATAAATGCGAGATGCTAGGAAACTATTTATTCGGGCTTCGCCCAAAACGAACACCATAGTCACCATTTCTTCTTTAGAAAAATTCCTTTTCAAACACGTTTTTATTATAATGCTCACAAAGCTAATTTTGAGTTTTTGATCAACAAGTAATTTGCTTCCAAGGATGATGTGATATTTTCGGGAATTAAGCCGTTCCATAAAAGACCTGTTAATAACCGAAAAAAGCCGTGAAAAACCCTTATTTGTCTAGTATAAAAAAAGCTTATAAAAAGTTGAATCCAAACTTGCACAAATATACACAATTTTTGAGAAAAACTACAATGTGCATTTTTGACCACCCTGTATGAGCAAAAAGCAAAATTCGAAAAAGTAACAAATAAGATAAAAGCTGAGGCGTGTAAGTTTTTTTGATACAAAATTCAGCACTCCAAATTTCAAAATGGCGGACTGAGGGGTTGCCGAAATGGAGGGTTTTTATAGACAAAACACTTATATCTCAGTTGCTAATTACCAAAACCCAATTGTATGTTATGTCAGTTTTTATCTTTTGAATTGGTTTATCCAAATATGCAATACAATTTGAGGCATTCTGTTTGAAAAATCACAACTTATCCGACAAATTTTAACCACATATGCACTGACACAAAAGAAGTTGATTTCTCAAAAAAAAAATGTAATAAGAGTCCTACAGAAATCGAGATAATAAAATAATACAGTTAAACAGTTCACTTACTTATAAAAGCTGTTCAAAATTGTTTCCATTGACTGCAATGCAAGCTTGGGCGTGTCTAATAAAATTTCTGCGCATTGATTCAAATACACCTCCTTGCTGCTGTGCCTGAAGGCTCAAATTATGGGCAGCCACCGTGATTCGGTCACGCAATTCTTCAATATTCTGAACTAGAGTACGGTATACCTCGTTTTTCAAGTATCCCCATATAAAGAAGCCGAGATGATTTAGATCGGGAGACCGTGGAGGCCACGCAATTGGTCCACCCCTTCCGATCTAGCGTATCTGGTATACCGGATTAAAAAAATCAT